CGCTCGCGTCTTCGTTTATTCATAAGGTACTCCGCGAACGATACGTTTCCCGGCTCGCTGGAAATTTCACTCCGTCCCTCGCGACAGGACTGCCGTTGTGCCGATCGACCGTCTCGTTTGCGAGTTCGAAGCGCCGGGAAAAGCTATCATGAGCGAAACGCGAGGTTTGTTTAATCATAACGAGAACGCACTGGTTTTCCAGACGACGTCCAGATCTCGCACCTCCGCGAGCGAGCGCGAAAACCAGTTTCTTTTCTCTCCCTCTCTTTTTCTCTTTTTCGAATTCCTAAAAAAGGAATGTTGTGACGGGAGGGACAAGGACGTCTGGCTTGCCGAAAACGTACACGACCGAGTCCCCCCCCCCCCCCCGGGATGGACCGGCCTGTTCTCCGAGACGATCGAAATGGAAGCGAACGTAAATCAGAGAGTGCGAATGGATTCCTCGCTTTTGCAAGTCGCGCGATGAACGCATCGATCGCAAAAGTGGGATCAACTCGTCGCTCTAACTAACTTCATTCGTCGAGTGAAAAAAATATAAGAGAACAACGGGCCGAAGTAAAGCGGAGCGTGCGAAAGAAAAGGAGAAGCGAGAAGGAAGGCGAAAATATCGAACGCGCCTTGAAAGTTTAAGACCGTCAAATTGCTCCGCTCCATTTTCATACGCGGCTATAAGATTTCTCGCGTCCTTCGGCCGTCCGCGTACGTTTCTTTCTTTCTTTCGGTCGCTCGCTCTGAAAAGAAGCGATTCAATGCGAAAACGCTGGCGGCGGCTGCGGGAGATCCTTTTTGATTGACGCGTGCCCGAAATACGTATAGTCACTTTGTTATCGCGAGGCTAGCGATGCAAAATTCACAATAAGCGAAAGTTTGTTTTTGTTAACGCAATTGGCGACGTGTCAGTAGCTGTTTTCGTACAACAAAATTGAGCTCGAAAAAAAAAATATACGATTGTCGAGCAATTAAGTACTCTTTCGTTTCGCTGCGACGAGGGAACAAAAGATAGCGACGGGGACTCTAACAGAAATCAAAAGCTTCCGCGAGAGCTTTCCTCGTTGCTCCTTTTCAAGTCGTGCAGGAGTGCAGTCGCGAGGACAAAAGGGACTTGGTGATATCGCTCGATGATCTTTAGTTTGTTCCTCTTTTCGCTCGCCTCGTCTCTTCTCCGGAACAGAGATGCCGCAAGCTTAATTGCAAATGCCACGTGGACAAAAGGCTGACGGCTGGATGACGAATTCACCCTTTTTAATGCCAGACGCTTCGTTTGCACGCGAAATACCAACGAGATCTCCGTCTAAAACGATAACGCATTCAAGAGCGAAGCTGAACTTTTGGATGCGCGTTGGAATGTGAAATCTCATTTGTGCGCGAACGAGGTTCAAAGTCACGACCCGAACTACAAGTGAAATTGCAACGGAGGATCGTTGGCGCGAAAAAGAAAAAAAATGCCTCGCTAGCTTTTTTGGATGATTTTCATGGACGGTCGAGAAAAGAGCGTGACGCATATGAGCCACGAGAGAACTCGTAAAGATAAGGTTCAAAGGCGCGGAACAAAAACAGTCAGCGACACGAGAATGCAAGAGCGCGACAAAGGCCATTTTCCTCCTACTTCGATTATTCTTTTTGGGGTCAGGCGTTCAAACTTCTCGCGAAAGCGCTGCTTTGCCGAACATTGAGGCTTGGCAACTGTCGCGTGGCCTGCGTGGGGTGGGACACTATAGACAGTTTTTGTGATGGCAACCGGACAGCCATGGCAACCGGTTTGTTCTGTTCTTTCTTTCTTCCTTTTCTTTCTGCCTTGTTCTTTTTTCTCCCGGCAATGGACTCTCGCTGGATGCTGCTCGACCCACGGGACGCGAGTTTCGTTCGGCACGATGACCGAGTTTTCACGCAAATCGCGCGAGTGCGCTGCGCGTCAGCGCGGCATCCTTCGCGACTCTGCGCCGAGGGTGCTGCTCTTTTTCAAAAGGGGAGCGATGAAAATATTTTTGAGCGCGTTATTTTCGCCGACCACGGGAGAGCAACTTTCGACTCTTGAAAGAGAGTATCGCGGCGTGTTTCTCCGCCCCGGCAGAATAGATCCCGAAAGACTATTTCCGAGCTAAAACTGTCAGTTACAAAAATAGAAGTGTGTACAACGGAATATTGCATATTTTCCTGCGCGGCGCACGTACCGTCGTAAAATGCTTCTCGGGGAGACGGACGTCCGATTGCACGCGTACAGTTCGATCGCCGAACCAGTTTGTCGTGTTGCGCGACTTATGTAATCAGACTCTCCTTAAACTGCCGAATAACGGCAGCTCGTTACAGACAATATTAATTTTTGAGAGTTATAATCGTCCGGAGCGAAAGGAAGTGGTGGCGGGAGGGGGGGGGGGGGCACTCCCACGCGAACTACACAACACGAGGGAAAACGTAAGCGCTAGTTTTAGTCTCGCTCTCCCTTGTAAACTTGACGAACCCCGCCGCAGTGGCGCTTTCCACGAGGAAAAGACAAAGAGCCACCGGTTGGCCCCTAATCTTTTCAAATTACAAATAATGGCAGCCGTTCGATTATTCATCGGACGTTATACACCAGGCGCGGATATAGCTCATTGATGTCTAAGTACATATCTCGCAACTGTTCTTCGTGGGCGAGGGAAAACTTTTCTACCTCCCTCTCTCTGTGTCCCTCCGCGTCTGCACTTTAGCCGCGCTCGGCCAATGCTGCACTCCTCGCGCAAGCAACGGCATTCGAGCTCCGCGACGACACGCCAGCCAGCCGTATGCAGCTCCGGGATTGACGAGCTGACCCGCGTGCAGCACCACTTTCCGAGCCGGTGCTCCGGAAGTTCAATTCTCCCTCTCTCCGTGCGAAATCCCGCCTTCGCTCGTCGATTTTAATTGCCGTTTATCGGCCTTGCCGCCCCGAGGATAATCGCCTAGCTGATTTATTCGTCGCCGAGTTTATTGTGAAAGCAAGTTTAGCGTCGCTTTTAAATTATTGTTTGAACGGCCTCGTGTGCCTAACGGTTGTATCGTACGCAAAAAACCAAATGCAACAAAAGAAAACAATCGACATACGAGCTTCGGCAATTTGCATTTTAAGTTGGCGGAAAAACCGTAAATGGGCGTTCGAAAGAAAAGCGCTAAAAATCACTTTTACCTATGCAAACGTGCGCCGCATTAAACGGCCATCCACGCGAAGCAGACACAACATAAATCTCGCCGGTGTATTATTACAACGAGATGGTTCGTCATCAAGATAATACGCCGCGAGCTCGCGAAATGAACGAAAAAATAAATGCTTTCAAAGCTGACGGTGAAAACGCGTGTTAGAACACGCTAAACAAAGAGCGATAAACGACCATACATGCGATAATAATTTTCACGTCGCTCGGTGCTTTTTAACACTCCGCGCGTGACTGCTTTTCACTAAAGAAAACGACTTCGACGTCGTCGAGTGTCGCACAAAGAGCACTTTGGAGTTTTTCAATACATTGCAATGCAAACTAATACCCGGAGCGATCTTATTACAGCATGGATGCGCCTCTCCAAAATAGACTCATTGGCAATTAAACATGCTAACTCACTTGAATCTCTCGCGAGTTTTAATAAAGTTTTGTCGTCGTCGTCTCGACAGTTAAAAGTGAATAACGCAAATTGGCATAAAGTCCCCGCGCTCGAGAGAAGCCACTCACATCGCGCGGCCTATCAAATAGTTATCGTAGGAAATTAAATTTGTTGCGCGTGCAATTGCGAATGGTTATTTATTGTTTTTTTTTATTCTTTGCAAATGTGTAAAGATAACGTGCGTGCGTTTTACGGGAAAATGAAATTGGCATTGTCACGTTACTCATTCGCTACTCATCCATTATTCCTATGAAAAATATGCATAACGGTCAAGATTCTTATTAGCCATGCTCCAAATATTCATCGCTTTCTGCTAATTAGTTTCAAGAACCATCTCTCAATCACAGAGGGTCAAGGCAATTAATTTGTAACCCGCATGTCTAAAACCATCTAATCTACATTCATTCTGACTACGAGAAGTCTATCTACTCCCAAAAATATACATTCGACGAGCTCGTCCGAATAAATTATGTCGGCTGCTAATTTTCTCAGCAAACTCGTTCCTTTCCTTTTCTAACGCTTGCACAAGCTACTCCTCTACTTCTTATCAGGCGGCTACGATAAAAGACCATCAAAATCGACGGAATAAGGTTAGAAAATTTACATTTCACCGCACGAAGCATATCTTGCTAAAATTTGAATATCGCCGATACAACTGGGACTTCCGAAAATTTTTTATTTTAATTTCTAAAACAAAAGGCGTGCGAAAATCGCTACATTGATCGCGCAAGTGTCAGTTTAGTAACAAATAAAGTAACGTTTTTGTTTTTCTCCAATCATAGCACGACTTGACACTGAATAATTCATAGCGCAATTTTTACTTAAAGATGACATATTACGTATGACTCGCAGGCGAGCAGCGGCGTTTTGTATGGCACGCGCTGAACAAAGAATTATTGAACGAAGAGTTCGAGTTTGTGCAAGATCATGAAAAACCGATGCGTACAGTGTTATATCTTATCGTTCCCTTCCAACTTCGCCACATTTTCCCAAGGCATCTCTCATTACTCTCTGAGAAACAGAAGCGTCGCCGACGCATACCATAACCTCAATCATGCGCTTGAAAAAATGCTAGTAAGGGGGAGAGAGCACGCAAGCACGAGGCTTTGTCTCCCACATAATGTTCTTTTAATAAGAATGTTGAAAATCACCTAACGAAATAAATATTCGCGTCACCCTTTCCACCTTAAAAAAGGAGTAACACTAAATAAACACGTTCGTTCGGGTGGATTTTTTAGAGAAAGAAAGAGACGAAGATAGAGAGAGGAACAAGTCGTACGATCGATACTCGCCAAGAGAACATACATGCACACTTGCTCAAACTAACGCAATTGCGTCACGAATAAATAAAAAAACATTGAATGTTGGTCGTATTGTCAAAATTTACATACCTAGATGAGAATTACAATAGAAATTTTGTAATGGGATATCTCGAATCAGTCGATGGATGCTGAAACAAAATTGCTCCGATGATGAAGCGACGACAAGACGAAAATCACGGCGCACACAATGGCGTGCGCGCGGCGAGTCAGGCGAGTCTGCGCAGTAAAGCCACTTATTTAGAGATCGTGATGTTGGATAACAGAGGGAGCCACTATCTTTATACAAGTGAAATGAAAAATCTAAAGGTCTTAAAAGTTAGCACCCAGAATCAATTTTTTTAAGATAATCGATAAACCAATCATACCGATAGATATTTCGTCAAGATAGCAACAACTTTTCTCTTTGCCGTTTGTTGGTTCGTCCACTGGAAATCCTTTGAAATTAAGGCCCTCGCCACATATGCGCATATGCGCGCGTACGAGGGCGTACAAACGCGTACAAATCGCTAAAAATTTTGATAGTGCCAACAACAGAAAATTACTACTATTCCTCGCATGCCCCAAACGAACACACTTACTCCCGGAACAAACGTATCATAACCTTCAATAATATAGCGTTTTGATATGTTTGTTCCGGGAGTAAGTGTGTACGTTTGGGGCATGCGAGGAATAGTAGTAATTTTCTGTTGTTGGCACTATCAAAATTTTTAGCGATTTGTACGCGTTTGTACGCCCTCGTACGCGCGCGTATGCGCATATGTGGCGAGGGCCTAATAAAATAAGTCTTGGGTGCTGGCCTTAGCACCCAAACCAAAGTTGTGGTAAAACCTAGAAAAAATTGTTTAAAAAAAAATTCATACGTAAACCAATCGTTAGTTCGTAAGACGAACTAATGGCACCCATAATAAAATCATGAATAATTTGACAGGAGCCAGTAGTCATAGGTCGAAACAGTTTTTTATTTTTAGTTGCTTAAATAATCAAATTATTCTTGATTTTATTATGGGTGTCGTTAGTTCGTCTTAAGAACTAACGATTGGTTTACGTATGAATTTTTTTTAAACAATATTTCTAGGTTTTACCGCAACTTTGGTTTGGCTGCTAAGGCCAGCACCCAAGACTTATTTTAATTTCAAAGGATTTCCAGTGGACGAACCAACAAACGGCAACAAGAAAAGTTGTTGCTATCTTGACGAAATATCTAACGGTATGATTGGTTTATTGATTATCTTAAAAAAATTAATTCTGGGTGCTAACTTTTAAGACCTAAAATCTAATAGGAAGACCGGAAGATTAATGCTTGAAATAATTGTGCTGACATCTGTTGGAGAAAGAAAGAACTATTTAATGTAACTGTTAAATTTTATTGAGATTAGAAATTTTTAAATCTACCAGATGAATCACGAACAAAACATTGGTTCTTTGTAAAGATAGGAAAAAGTTACAACATATTTTATACAAAAAAACAATGTCAATTGATAATATGTTTGACATTTTAATGGAAATTAGAAGAGTAGATAAACATATATTTGAAAATAAATTAGAATTACAAAAAAGTCAAAATAATTTTATATCTTTGGAAAGACAATTGAATCACACAAAAGAGCTACAAACTAAAGCTACTAAAATATATTATGAGATGCAAAAAAAAGAAGATATTGTTGAACTAGAATTGAAAGAAGTACATAAAAATTATGATGTCATGTTAAATTTACTAAGTGATCATATAGGAATTGATAAATGTGGTGATAAAGAAGAAATGTTGTTAAAAGTTGAAGAGCTTACAAAACACAGAGATCTTTTGAAACAAAAATTAATTGCTGCTGAAAATGAAAGGGACAAGCTTATAGAAAGATTAAGTGAAATTCAAATTAAAATCAATATTCAAAAGGTTAAATATAATAGTTATTTTATAATTTCGATTTTTAACAATATTTACAATTTAATAATTATCTTCATAGAAGAAAAATACAGCTACACAAATAAGACTTCAAAAGCGCCTGCAAGAATTAATGATAGATGAAAAAAAAATTGAAGAGGAATTGAAACATATATCTAAGAACTAAAATTAGATAACATTAAAATTTCCAGTTAACTGAACACTTTTTATATTGTTTTTCAACTTGTTCTTGATTGAATTTAACTGTATTCTCTAACTCTGATAATTTAAAAGGCATATTGAGCAATTGGTTCATATGACTACCAACAGATTGAATACTCTTCCTTCTTTCATTTATTTTATCCATCAATACTTCGTTTTCCTTATCCATTTGACTGATATATGCTTCTAAAACTTCACATTCCTTTATCATTTTATCTGCATCTATTGATCGCATGTGAAGTTCGACATTACCTGGAGGTCTCCTGAAATTGAAATTATTTTTTAATTATAACATTAACAATATAAGTAATAATGAAAGTATATAGAAATTAGTTTTACCATAGTTTGGCATCAGCAGGAGCTGCAGCTTCTTCAGTCAATTTTGCAACTTTTTTCATACCTTCCACCATGCATTCATCAGACACAAGTTCTTGCAGATCATTGTCCAATGCTTTGTATAAATCTTTCTCCATGACTTGGTGTAGTTTTTTTACAACCAATGGCTTGGACTCTAGCATTGTGAAAATTTGTAGGAATTCTTCTTCGCTGTAAGCAAGTGTAACTAATTAATGTGAAATAAATAATGTATTAAAACAAATATAATTTTATTTTTAATAAAATCCAAAAATTAAACAAAATACTTGTTATTTAAGAAACCAAGTAAAATTTTAGCGGATTTCTTATATAATAAGTGCTCAGCCACATTCTCTTGATTGAAAGAAAGAGAAGCAAATATGTGCAGTAGATGTAACTCAATACTTGAGGGGGATCAAGTTTTCTTTGTCCGAAATGTAAACAAAGAGTCTTGAATTACTTTTTATATACTGCTTCACGAACTATAGGAGTGTCAATGGCATCTATATTCTTATTGTTCAGTGTAACCATTTTACCTTGATATTTAATAATATTTCATTTAACAAAATGTTTTACCTTAAGCTTGATCGAATTAAATTATAACGCTCATTATCCCGCATCGCCGATGATTTTAATGCATTTAATCAGGCCGGGACGAGGTGCAATATGAATCAAAGACAACAAATTTACATCCATCCCAACCCAATCAAACACACTGTCAGCAAACTCGAACAAAATCATATTCTTTGATTGAAAAAACAACTACTTATCGCACACACCTACCTGACACAATGAGCGATATCCTGGAAACTATTCGCAACTGCTGCACGAAACATGAGCAATTTATTAGGCTGAGTATCGTCCGACATCTTTGTTCAAAAATTCGTGGAATAAAACAAAAAGCACAAACAAAAGAACAAACTTCTCTCAAAGTAACGGCAGCCCACACGAACGACGGCAACTGCAACCAACATCAACTGTGCTTTGTCCCAGTGGCGCGCAAAAATCTAACGTGTGCCAACGGCTCGTACTCGGCTTTCTTCGGATTTTGTCGGCCAGCGACGCCATGGCGCGACTGCAGCAATGGTTTGAAGACAAGAAGTTTGAATATGAGCACAAAATAATATTGAGAGAGAATTCTTCAATTAGCTGATATTTTCTTGTTCTCGATATGAAATATTTATAATTTATAATAAATGTATTTATTTCTGTTGCAACATCAATTTGAAAAATAAAATTTATGTACTTCAGATAATTTATTCGCTTTAACTAGACGTAGCTTCTATGAACTAGTATGAGCGCTTTTCAGAATCAATGTGGGTGGGATTTTCTATGAAAATTGTATATTCTCCAATTAAAGTTTATATTATTATAAAAATTTAATAATATTACAAATTTTTTTAGAAGACGTCATCCATTCTTTCAGTAAGTTTTATAGTCAATATATATTGCTAAGAATATGTAAGAAATAATTTCGCTCTACACAGCCTTGTAAGCTCCTGACTATGAATTTCATTTTTCTGAATGATTATTAGCACTAAGCTACCAATATGCCAGATATACCAACGAATAATATTATCAGTATCCTATGTACTTTTCAACCAAGAAAGTTTTTGTATAATAAAAGTACAAGAACATTACAAAACTGTCTTGCATCTTTAATCTTTATTACTACGTACACTTGTAATAAGGAATATACGTTTATATCTAAGATTTCACAAAAAACAACAGCACGACAGTCTTACGTCCGAAAGCTACGACATCTGAGAAGCTCAGTTAAGTTTTATCGCGTGCGCAAAAATACTCTCTCTCTCTCTCTCTTTTTCCAGGATCTCACTGAGAAAAGAGTTTTTTGATATGACAGATTTTCGCGACAAAACGTCTCCTGAAAGGTTTCATTGATTACAAAGAAAATATTGATCTTAAATATTAATCTTAATATCTTAGCGCGTGGTTAACTTAATTTTTTTTACATACAGTGCGTGGTTTAACATCTATTTTTGCCTATTTCAGTGAATTAAATGACATATATTTAATTAAGTTACATACTTTGACATTGCTATTAATAATTTTCTTTTTTAATAAAATAGTAATAGCACATAATGTTCATAGATCGGGCATATTTCGTCGAGGTTTAGTCTTTTCTTCTACTCCAAAGGATCTCATGTCAATAAACTGAACGACATCCAGCGTAGGATTTGCGGAAAGTGGCTCGCTCAACATTGATATTCTATTACAGGGTTCTAAGCAGGCAAATCAAACCAGTCTTATCTACGAAAATTCCGAAATGGACAGAGAATGTAAATCCAATATGTCATTAATTGACACTAATTATCGTTATGTTTCACATAATTTCGATTTGGCGACGCCGTTAATAATGAAATGTTTAAATCTTTGTTATGACATATCGTTATTGTTATATAATATGTTTGCAAGGTCCGTAATGTAAATATAAATATAGTTAAAACTGCTCTTCTTGATATTTTCCTGGCATATGTTTCTCGACTTTATATTTTTTTCTATCGAGATATGTGCTTCTGGAGTCAAGAAAGTGCGAATAAAATATGTTAGTAAAAATCATTTAATATCATTTTGTTACAAATTTTACAAAAGAATTTTCGCTTAATTAAAAATTTAACCTCAGTTAAATTTATCAATTTATTGTATATTTAAAAATTATCTGCATACGTAAGCTCACAGTTATTTAATTACTTCTAGGCGTTAAAAAAAATTACAAAATGTGTAGAAAGTATGTGTGTTGATGGCAATACTTAATTACGAAAGAACGATGTAACAAGGGAACATTCCCAACCCTCCGCCTTCGATTTTGCTGCAATTGGGATGTGTTATAGCTTTTTGAAAAATAAAAGATACGTGTTTTTCTTTATCGACGGAAAAAGCTTTCTAAGGGATGAAAGCTACCCTCGAAAATCACCCCTCAGAGCAGTTTTCTATCTATATTTTTGATTTCAATTAATATTTTTCAATGAAACAAAATAAAAGTCAATTACTTTTTCCTAAGCATTTTTTCCATATAATTTCATTGAAAAATATTAATTGAAATCAAAAATATAGATAGAAAACTGCTCTGAGGGGTGATTTTCGAGGGTAGCTTTCACCCCTTAGAAAGCTTTTTCCGTCGATAAAAAACACGTATTTTTTTATTTTTCAATAAGCTATAACATATCCAAAGTGCAGTAAAATCGGAAGCGGAGGATTAGGAACGTTCCCTTGTAAATATTACATATTTATTTTTAATTTATCATTCGATCATAGTAGCCTTTGCATCCGATGAATTTTTATTGGCTTCTCCGTGCATTGTTTGAACACCCAATGGCAAAAGCTGTTCTGGTACCGATGTTAATACATAAAACTCGTCAATACAAGAAAATTTATCTTTTATCTCCACTAGCAAATCATACATCTTTCGCCATGTTGTTTCAGTTGGTGATATATGCAATTTCAAGAACCTCTGTTAAAATCATAAACGTATCTGTTATCAAATGCTTCTTATTATAAAAAGATGTTTGATTTATTTTAGTTACCGGTATTTCATTTAAAATTCCAGAAGAGAAAACTTTACTCATTTCTTTCTTCAAGCAATTAATTTCATCATTAGTCGTTTCGTATTTCAAATTGAATCGAATTTCAAAACCAGTTCTAAGACGTTGTTTAAGTTCTTCAGTTAGGCCAATATCAGTAAATCGCCCGTCTGCCACAAAAGCATGGCTTTTGCATAAGGTAAGGCATTCTTCTATGCTAAAATATTTTACGATGTTTCACAAAAGATTACCGTAAAATTTAGCATTCGTGGTTTTTGTCATACCTGTCAGATGCCAATATAGTAGCTTGCCCTATCTGACACGATTGAATAATTTTCCATAAAGATTGCCTTGTCGCGGGATCGAGATTCTTCGTGGGTTCGTCCAACAAAACTAACTTTGGATGTCCAATAAGTGCCAATGCGATGTTTAATCGTCTTTTGCTACCGCTACCGTACGTCTCAGTAGGTTGAGAGGCACAATCGTTCAGATCTATGAACGTCAAAGTTAGAAAAAGTTAGTTAGAAAAAGAAAAATCAGTCAAACGAATTGCCTAAGGTCTTACTAAGTCTGTCGATCCATTTCGCCACTTCACGATCGATCTTTCTATCGGCAACACCTCGCAGTCTGGCAAATAGATACAGATGATCATAGGCATTCAAAGTCTTTATCAGAGCTTCATTTTGCGGACAATATCCCATCCCTTCGTGTTGCTGCAATAGTAAACGAAACATACAATCTCGATTCAGTTTCGAACGTTGATATGCACGTACACGTTCACCGCGCAAATTTATCACTCCATGATCCGGGATTTCCTTTCCAGTTATGAGTTTCAAAATTGTTGTTTTTCCAGCGCCACTCGGCCCAGTCAACCCGAAGCATTCGTTGCGCTGTACACCAAAGCTCACATCTTCGATCGCTACCAAATTGCCGTACAACTTTCTTAATTCGTAAGCTACAAAGTCGTAATCCTTCTTTTCGCGGCCGTCGAGAAAAACAGTTTCGGTTCCGTTTTCAACGGTGTTTAAGTCTCCGTTGGTACGTTCTTTGCTGGATATTTTTTCTGTAGAGTCAAACGATGGTATTTTTAAACTGTTGATCTGCTACCTTCTGTCACTTATATTATATTCACTTACCTCGGATTTTTGAAGTTTCGAAGGCTATTTCGCGCTTGACTTTCTTCACCTGCTCTTCAAAAGCTACATCGCTGTCGTCAGGCATACCCGCCTTCATTTTACTGAGTAGCTTTGGAACAAGTTTGCATTCTAGAATAAAGAGGATCGTGAAATAAAGTAGAGGCGTCAGGGACAAAGCGAGAACGCTCATTTCTAGTGCTACGTCGTTTTCGAAATTTTTGAAGTAGGAAACGGCATTCGAGCACGATCCATCAATACATCTCATGCCTGGAAAAGAAGTTTATGAGTTTTGGTGAAAAAACTAAAATTAATACGTCTCTTACGGCAACACGGAGTGAGTTCGCACACTCTCTCACTGGCCAGATTCGTTAGTTTTCTACAATCCGAGTTTATTTGGACATCATTGAAAAACGAATGTAGACCGTGGAAGAAACTAACGTAAGGAATGATCAGGAAGAATCCTTTCTGAATTTGGCGGAATGTATTGAAAAAATGATTGTCTTCGCATAAATACAGCTTTCCAATACAGATGGTCAGTTCCACTAGCACTAAACAAATGATTTTAAAAAAATGAGTTTTTTACAATATCTTATACGATTAGCTTTTCCTATTTACCTAAGCATATTGGTAAAAGACTCAATAAAACTATCGTAGCGCTTGGAGATTTCTTTCGAAAACTAAACGTGTAGATGAGCGGTAACGCATTGTTTGCAAACAGAATGAACAGGAGTAGCAGTATCACTGGAAAAAGATATTATGAAATATTCGCAAACGAACCGACGAACCAAGAAATTTTCGATGCCCTTACGAGTCTCTTGCCACCCAAAAAGATCAAGACCGAAAATGAGATCTGCAATGACGAATGCAATGACGAACAACGCGCTTGTGACAAGTAAAACGACACAATCAAAAATAATCATGACTCCCCAGTAGGCGCCTGCCGAAACACCAGCGATCCTCTGCAGATGCTTCACATTGGACAATGATTCTCTGAGCGGGTGAACGACTAAAAACGCCACAGCGGGGAAGACAAAAAAGACGAGCATCACAGCCACGACGAAGCCGTCAAACCTTGAGTTTGTGGTCAAATTGGTAACCACGACGTCGTCTCTGAATTGAGCTAATTCTTCGTAAGAGACTTCGATGCTGCAATCTCTGGATCTAAGTATGGTTCTCAGCACAGCATTCGATACCAAGTTGATGGCAATCGGTAACGCATATTTCGCTCTTATTGGATTATACAATGCAGTGGCTGTTATGTCGTTCTGGCCGTACTCGTCGGTTTTGAACTCTGCCCCCACGAGATTCCGGTACGCATAGTTGAATTTGTCTTCATTTTACAGGATATCGAAAAATAGTTTATTAGTCGACCAATAAATAAGTACTTAAAGGTTATCGTAATGGACTATAATGAAAAAAATTTCTTACCAACTTGTAAGTTTACTATGTAAGGATTGAAGATAATCCTTCCACGACGTTCCTCTATAACCGACATGTAATTATTTCCCAAAACTATAGCCGGGTCTGTTGGATTTAGACCGGCTCTAATATCGTAGAAGTACGATGCTGTGATACTGTTATACATGTCTATTTCTATTGGTATTTCGATTTTTCGTTTCTCGGATTCGCTTATTAGTACCAGTGACGCACACAAAAGGGATACAAAAAACTAAGGAATAATGATGATAAATATATTGTTTGTAATATTTTTAAATGGTGGATCTCAAACGCATACCATCGTTAGAATTATAGCAATAGTTGAGATGTTATTCACTGTGTAAGTAGCTTTTTTACACACGAGGGATTTTACAACGTTTCTTGACTGCTTTTCATTGTCTAATTTATCAACTGTACTACAAGATGGTTCTCGAGAAGCTAATGGTGCGCTATTGTCATACGTCGCTCTGCAAAAGTAAAACTTCGATTCAACTCTTAGGTAGCAATAAGATCGAACGCTGAACGTACTCAAGATAAACTTTTTCCAAGGTAAAGCTGGAAACGTTGATTCCTGTGACGCCGAGTTCTTCTTTATGGTTTTCTATTTTGTCTAAAGAATCTGGTAATTCTTCGTTATCGGGCACACTCAATATTATTTTTTCATGATTTATACCAATCACTTCGCTCTCAGTGTCGAAATAATCGCAAATTTTCTCCAGTTCACTTTGTGTCTCTGTGTCTAACGTGACTTGTAAGTTCTCATATCCTTAGCATAAGAATAAGAATTAGTTCAGAGCAGAATGAAAATTATTATTCTTCACAGTCGTACAGTTACCAAGTAATTTTTTGAGATAGTTTGGACTTCCGTAACATTTCAATTCTCCTTCGTGTAACATCGCTACTGCGTCACCTAGAACATCCGCTTCTTCAGTGTCACGGGTACCTATCAAAATAGTGTTTTGACCGTTCATCCTCTACAAAAGCAAGGAGTTAGTAGATGAATTCTGATATGAAAATTCATGTTTATTGATTTTAGTTACCAATAATAACTTCCAAATGCGATGTTTCTCTTCTGCATCCAATCCCAAAGTTGGTTCGTCCAAAATCAGAATCTTGAAATGAACATCAAAAGATAAACAAAGTAATGTACACATAGTAAACTATATTTATTGTACAATAATTTTTGAATGTTTACTTTTGGATTTCCAATCAAAGCTATTCCAAGACAAACTCTTCGCTTTTCCGATATAGTTAATTGATTTGGAAAAGTGTTCTTTTTCTTAGACAAATTAAGCTTTTCAAGTACTGACCTCACTTCAACGTCAATAAGAGTTTTTGGTTTACTTCGGTTTTTCAACTTGAAAAAGAGAAAGTTCAATTAATGTTTCAATATACCTTTAAAAACAATAGTATTGAACTATCTTTTACACACCATATTGAAAAAGCATAATTGTTGAGCAACACATAAATCTGGAAAAAGAATATTTTCTTGTGGACAAAATCCTAAATTTCTTGTTAATTCGTCTGAATGACTCATTACGTTGTTTCCATTCACCAACACTAAACCTTCCGATAGGGTAATAGATCCTATACATGTATATGTGATTTATATGCAAGTTGAATTTAATTGACATTGTAAAATCCAATATATGACTTACCGGTTAAGATGGATAGTAGGGAAGATTTTCCTGATCCACTGTAACCAAGTAGGACAGTTGTTTGCTTTTCAAAGAAGTCAACGGACACATTTTTCAATGCGCATTTTTTCTAAAAATGACAATAATTTTCACAACTTTAAGAATCTTATACAACGTAAATGTGAGAAAATCAATGCAAAAAATATTACCAGCCCCTTTAGTAAATTAATTCTGTATGTTTTGGTCAGTTTTCGAACTTGAATTTCCGGGATACTATCTTTCTGAACACTTTCGAACAATTTATTATTGCTGCTATAGCATTCGATATTTTCAACCTTGTTGTAATCATTAGATTTGGTCGAATTTTTAAAATACTGAAAAAAAATTCACGAAGATAAACTATTTTTTTTTTTCGAAGAAAACGAATTATGAAACAAACCTTAATGAAGCTGAATGGACTTTTCTTGATTTCATACTTTCCAGGATTCATTGTATACACGTAATTGGCCATTGCAAAATGAAAAATTATACCAATGATGGAAAAAACAAGCATCATGCCAATACTGCCTTGCAATCCATAGTTGCGAATTCCAACTTCAAACATATTAGTCCAACTGATTCCCTTGACTAATAAAAATGGAAAGTTTATTTAGAAAAATTAAATTGAATTTATCTGTATCCGAGAATATCTGTACCTGATCTTTCAAGTTTTTCATAATAATTAAACTCTTCACACGTTCTGAATAATATTACATTTGGAAGAATAATCCCCAGAAAAGATACAAGACCAAATGTATTCTCCTCTATCCCACACTTCAATAACACCGTTGAATTTATGTATACGATGAATGCTCCGAGAATCGCAAAAGAAGCTGTAAAAATAAATGTTCAACTATAGTTACATTTTTTTTTAATAATTATGAATAAAAATGGAAATTTCAGTACGTCTATTGAAATATGCCGAAATATGCATGCCAAATGTGACCAGATGAGCGACATTAAGCGTTAACATTATCCAAAATATAAATGGATTTCCATATTGCAAGATTGGAAGTAAATACTCAGTGTAATAATATTTGGAAAGTAATACTATCGGTAATGTTAAAAACAAACTCCAATATAATTGGATCGTCAACCAACTGAACAAATTGAAACAATACGAAATATTATGGATTGACATCAACATCTGAAATGATGAAAAGTTTTTTTTAATCCTGTAGTAATTACAATCTTTAGTTTGGGAATATACCCACATTAATTCCGGAGAACTTTTCATTAGATACCAAATAAACTTCCACGCATAAAGTAATTAAAAACGATAGCATTAGGGCGACGCAGAACATTTGTCTTCGTTTCTCGTCAGCGATGTCTGGTTTCACGTAATGTAGACCTGGCATTTCTTGGAAGTCGATCTGAAAATTAGTCATCTCGTTAACACAGGTGTTGAACTTGAAAAAACGATTTCTTTACTTGGAGTTTGGAATCTCGATTATTGTTTTTCATATTTATAATCTCTTCGTCGACACATTTTTGAAAAGTGGCAAATCCTTTCTCATAAGTCAATTCTACGGGACTTGTCGATTGTTTAGCGTACAGCTCTTTTGATAGCGAGGTAGGTATTTTAAGCGTGTATTTGAAATTTCTGATATAATAATTGGCCGTGTCGTTTCTAAAAATAACTGCCGCTGTGAATGCGTAACCCAACCATTTGTTCCTCTGGCTGGGGTAAAATGACTCGTACACTCTGAGTATATCTTTTTCGGTGTCGAATCGATTTTTCTCTGTCGCATAGAATTGAAAAAATGAAATATTCAAGTCGGTATCTTTTAATTTGCGATTGACATACCTAAGTTGACGCGATGACAGGGGCGTCCGTCGGAATCAGGAGCGTCAATCCGTAGATTGTCTGATTGAAAACAAAGTGCTTTTTATCAAACATTGTTCAACGTTAATACATAAAATATCGCAATATTTGTACTTATGTTCATTTGAAGACAATAGTCCATTCGATCAGCGAGTTCCTCGGTAAATCTATTATTCGGCACGATGAACAAATTTACTTTGCACTGTCTGCTCATTGCCCGATGATCGATCTCGCTTTTCGAACGAATATCCGGCACCAGATCGCCGAAATGCCACACGCCGAGAAGCAAGAGCAAGGGTATGACTATTTGCAACACAACGGTCAATATCCAGTGTCTTCTGCGAGTCAAAAAGTTCTTGTACGCGAATAAGGAACGAAAAATGCTGAGCTCCGTCATCTTGCTACTCCGTATAACTAAACAACTAAAAGTCAAACTTGTGTTGCGTCTAGTTGAAGAACTGAATCGATAACGACGAGCGAACAGGGAAATTAAACGTTAGCGCTGTTTACCGCGGAGAGACGCCAGTGTGGCGAGGAAACAAAGGCCCTGGAAGCGGAGGAAAGCATAGACGACTTGCTCGCATCACGTGCGCGGGAAGACTCGACCACCCTAAGTAACGAGAGAAGGGATTTCACCCCGTCGGACAGTTGCGACGGAGCGGCGCCAGGGTGACGTCATTGATTTCAGGACTCTCGTTTCGAAGGGGTACGCGCGTGACCTCATTTCTCCTCTGCGTGCGCGCATTCGTACGCGCTAACGGGCATATGGATTTTTCGTTGTCTTTTCGGCCTGTGGAAGTCCAAAAAATGCCTGCGCGCCGCGACGCCTGTCTCGGGAGTGACACTTGCGCTGCCCTTTCGATGAGAAAATCGATTGCAAGCGTCGTTCGCACCGCGAGCGAATAATCCACGAGATAATGCGGACAAACTACGGCTCCGCTGACCGAACGACAGAGCCAGTGCGCGAGCCAACTGGAACAACGCACGCGTGGAACTTCCCGATTGCCTTCCGGCGATATTACGTATTCAATCCAGAACGATCTTTCCCGTCAATTTGCAATTATGCCTACGATCAAAGGAACAATTGCAAATGCGTCAATATGATCATTATGCAAGATGACAAACGATACAGTAGCTTTTATAATGTACTCAACAATAACATTAGAAGCAAATACGACTGCATCGATGATTATCTGGTTATCGTTCAAGGGAGTATTACTTCACTTCAAACACGAGTGCGACGCATCTATAGACGATCACTCGAACAACAACCAGGTAATCGTCGATGCAATTGTATTTCCTTTTAGTTTGATCTATCGCTTCCAATTATTTCCAAGTCATATAAAAGGCCTAAAAATTGACTAAAGTAGTGTATATCGAAATATTAGTTAATGCTGCTAGGAAGCAATGATATATAATTGTCTTACATTGCATAAAATCGATGAGAAGGCAAACATGTAATTTATAATAAATATCCAATTTGAAACTATATCCTTCCGGCTCCATTAATATTCTTGATTAATGAATTTATTTAATAAAAATGTGTATAACGGTTTAAATAATCCTTTTCTTTCAAAAAGTAAATTTTAATGTGTGGGAAAATTGAACTTTCATATTTTAACCAATTATATATGTTCAATTAATTTACTTTGGATCATCGGGCTTACATTTACGTGAAATTTCATCGAAATGTTATAATATTTGTATCGTGCAGCCAGTTATATAATTTATTGGTTTTCAAAATATCTTTGAATTATTCAACAATATACGTCGCAACATTCTTTTATTCATTTAACTCATCAATAGTTTGCTGCCTTTAATACACGTTTTGTTAGCAAATGAATGGCACAGTTTATTGAACGAAACAGTGAAGTACTTGACGCTATAATTTGAATGAAATGAAAGAAATATTTATCAAGTTCATCGCTTAATGTCATCAGATCACTTTATTAAATATCATCTATAGTTTGGACCCACTCACATTTCGTTCATCATATAGCTTTACGTAACCCACAAAATACTATTAATACAAATCACAGATGAATTGTATTACAGCATAGAGATTAACAATAAACGAGAAACCGCCATAGGTAAGCGCATGCGTTACACAGATAAATTCATTAGTATCCTTAAATAAATAGATAAACAAAACTGTTTTTTGTCAAGAACAAAAATGCATATCCTAATTAGTTTTACGATTGGTTTTGTTAGCAGCCTTAGCAAATATCAAGAATAGCTGCTCTAAAGTAGACGAAAGGACAGAATAATCCAATATGCAGGTGTAATTGTTCTTCAAGCCGATCATTACGTTGTGCATCTGCCTCCACGTTATGTTCGCCGACAGCACGTGGCATTTCATGTATCCCTATTTGGAAAATCGTTATTATCAGTAAACACAGTTCCTGTCGGAAAAAAGTCGAATGCAATTTTAGATCATACGGAGTTCTCGTCAACAACTTCACATGGCAGGGCTCCTATCAGATCCTGTTTGATGCCGTCGATTTCATTCCTCGATTTCTCAGGATCCATTTGTATTTGCACATCGTACCCAGCACTAAAACGCTGCTTCAATTCTGTGGACGAGCCAATACACACGAACTTACCATCTACCATGATGGCTAACCTGTTGCATAAAGCTTCGCATTCTTCCATGCTGAAAATATTCCGAAAGTTATTCACACCTTTCCACCAGAGATTTATAGAGCAGTTCGCTTACCTATGAGAAGTTAATATTACGGCTTGTCCCGTAGCCTGACACGTCTGAATAGTATTCCACAGAGATCGTCTAGCAGCAGGATCGACACCAGTTGTAGGCTCGTCCAATAAAACCAAGCTTGGAATACCGATGAGAGCCATCGCGATGTTTAATCTCCTCTTGTTACCGCCACTGTACGTGCCACTCGGTTGGAGAGCACAAACATTTAGATCTGAAATACATCGACAGTAGAACATTTCAAGTATCCTTTGCACATCGCTTCAAAATCTGTACGCACTGAGCCTGTCGATCCAATTTTGAACTTCCTCTTCGACCTTATTCTCCGGAATACCTCGAATGCGCGCAAACAGACGCAGATGATCGTACGAGTTTAACGACCTTATGATCGCGTCGTTTTGGGGACAATAACCCAAATTTTTTAGGTACTAAAAAAAAAAAACAAAGAAAACTGAAGTCTCCCAAACCAAAATCATCGATACAAGCATTTACTCACGTTCTCGTTCCGATTATTTCTAGCGCTCTTATCGCGCAAATGCATAATACCGTGATTTGGTATAATCTCGCCAGTCATCATTTTGAATGTCGTTGACTTGCCAGCGCCATTGACGCCGAGCAATCCGAAGCATTCGCTTTCATTGACGCCGAAACTTATATCCTGAACGGCAACGAATTTCCCGTAGAGTTTTCTCAGCTCGTAAACGAGAAAAACGTGATTACTGCAATTATTGCCATTCTCTTCGGCTTCTTCGGTTCCATTACCAGCAGTGGATTGATATTTTCCAGTGTCCACGCCTTCAACTACGATACCACAGTTGATAATAAATATATGTTTGTGAAAATTTGAAAAATCGATGCTCAATAACTCACTTCCCAATTTTGATACTTCGTAAGCTATCTCACGTTTAACGTTTTTCACTTGTTCCTCAAAAGTAGAATCTATATTGTCAGGTATACCTGAATGCATTCTAGCAATCAACTTTTCTATCAGCTTGTATTCCAAAGCACCAAGTATAGCGAAGTACAGGATAGGTGTTAAGCATAAGAAAAGATAACTCGTTGATAATGAAATTTCTTCGCTAAATTCTCTGAAGTATAAAATTGCATTCTCGCAGGTGTTGTTGTTACATCTCAAATCTAGAAAGTCCATTGAAATTTACGACCATGTGTAATCGACGCGAAAAGAAAATTGAATGGATGGATCTTTACCACAGCAAGGGGCACTCAAACAGAGCTGATACTTATTGTGTTGATAAAGTCTTTTGCACTCCTGATTGATTCTCAAACTATTGTAGAAAGAAATCTGCCCGTGAAGGAAACTGATGTATGGAGTTAGAAGAAATATACCTTTTTGAAGTGTCCGAACTGTACTAGTATGACGATACTCTTCGAAATATTCTTCTACGACGGACATTACTATTTCTATCAACACTTCAAATAAAACCGTAGCTACAGTAATTGAGTTCAAGTTTCGTTCTATTACGGAGACTTACCCAAACCTAAAGGTACAAGAGTCAGTAACTTCATAGCTGTTGTTGTAGATTGCCCCCAAAAACTGAAAATGTAAATTAATGGCAGTACGTTCACAGCAAACAACGTCAACAAACCTAGCAGTATCACTGAAACCAAATTAAATTAATACGTCATTAAGTCACAATTGAAAAACAGCAATTTAAACTCACAGGCTTCCGTGGGTCCAAACATTTTCATATCTAACGCCCAATCCGCAATGACTAAACCAACAATCATACACACAATTACGTAGAACAAAAGCAAAAAATCGAAAAGAAACATAGTTCCCCAGTAGCTGAAACACGAAACACCAGCCATCCTCTGAAGATGCTTAATGTCCGTCAGAGTCTCTCTGATAGGATGGACGACGAAAAAAGCTACAGCAGGATAGAGGAAGCAGACGAACATTATCGATACCATGTAGGCGCTCATTGCCTTTACTTCGTTTGGTGTCACGGCGAACTCATCCATTTCCGGGGTTTCTTGTACCGATATCTCGATACTGTAATTGTCGTTCATCATCGTTTTCAAGATGGCATTCGATACCAGATTTATAGAGAGTGGCTGCGCGAACTGAGCGAATTTTGAATTGTACAGCGCGACGGCGTTGACTAGATTGTTTTTGCTTGCGAATTCAGCCCCAACGACGTGACGATAGTAGTAGTCAAATAAATCGTGTGCACCGATATTCAGCAACACTGAAAAGCAGATTCACATGGGATTTGGTGTACTGAATATAATCATTGAAATGCTTACCTTCGGTCAGGTTGTCGCGACTTTGGTACTCAATTAACGCTGCGTTTGATTCTTTCACGAGGTTCTTGTAACTCTCGCCGTAAGCTTTGCTGTTCAAGTGAATCTTGTAAAAATTTTCGACGTTGTGATACATGTCTCGTCTCAATTGTATTTTCTCGGTCGCCGACGAGGTGTGATCCATCAAGGTGAAAATCGTTAAAAGTTCTGCCAACACCAGCTATGAAACGGAAAGCAATTTAATATTTTTCTAATTTGAAATATTTATGTAAAAATTGTAAAAAAGGGAGAAGTAAATAGTGTTTTCTCATTTTCGCCTCCTCATTGTTTTTTTTTTTAATTAAATGAATTAGCCATATCTAATTTTGTCTTCTTTTTTTTAATTGTATCAGTTTTGGGGTTAATTACTTTTATGAAAATTAATATTTCTTTTTTTTAATTGAAAATCAATTTTTTTCCACATCGAGTTGAAAGTTCATAAATATCTCCTGAAATAACTTGAATAATTACCAAAACAAGGACGCTAATGATCGTCGATATATTTTTCAACGAGTATGTGGCTTTTTTGGATATCAGGCCTCGCCAAGTTTGCCAAAACTGTTTATCACTGTTCAATTTTTCAGTCGTGAGCGAGAATGATTGATGCGTCTTGGACGCATCAGTATTGTCTTCGATCACCCTAAATTAAATGATAGACTCAGTGTTTTTCGGCAACGTTAGAATCAATTTTAAGTAATTACATACTTGAGAAAAACTTTTTCTAAAGTAATCACCGAAATGCTCATACCCGTGATACCAAGTTCTTCCTTATTCTCTTTCAATTTATCTAATGAATCGGGCAGTCTGTTGTTATTTGGCACGTTTAGTACGATTTTTCCAAGCTCGTCAGCGATAACTTGACTTCCCTCGTCTAAGAAAGTGCAAACTTTAGTTGTGTTGCAACGAGGTTCAGTCGATAAAGTCACTTCGATGTTTCCTCCTCCTTCGAGTATATAAAAATTGTTAATGCACACTAAAAATGATAAATTACTCGCGAGAGCTCTAGCTTTACCCATGAATTTTTTTAAAAACATCGGTGTTCCGTAACTCTTTAATTGACCCATATGCATGATAGCTATTCTATCTCCGAGTACATCAGCTTCCTCCATATCGTGAGTACTTATCAGAATAGTTTTTCGACCTTTCATTCTCTGCAGCGGAGAATATTGAATATTGGTAAAATGACTCTAAAATCATCCTTAAATACATAACCGCAGTGTTAGTTACCAACAAGACGTTCCAAATGTCACGTTTACTTTCTGGATCCAAGCCAGACGTGGGCTCGTCCAAAATCAATGTCTACACGCACATGACAAAACTTCGTTAACATTCCGCACGTCGACATTGTCATCTCTTACGAACGATGGAACTTACGCTTGAATCTCCAACCATGGCCATTCCAAGACAAACGCGTCGCTTTTGCCCGCCGGACAATTCGTGAGGCATGGCATTCTGCTTGTCCAGTAGTTTCAACTGGCTCAATAATTGTGCCACTTCGGTGTCGGTGACCGGCATCGTTTTATTCTTACTTTTCAGCTGGAACAAACAATATTTCGACTGATATTCTTGAGCGGCAAACAAGCTTGAAATGCAAAGTACCATGGCGAAAAGTCTCATTTGCTCGAACACGGAGAGTTGTGGGAAGAGCATGTTTTCTTGAGGACATAATCCCGTGTCGTTCATTATTTCGTTGATCTCGTCTTTGACGTTTCTCCCGTTCACCAACACAAGTCCTTCCGTTGGTCCAATCATTCCTGCAACGATGTGGAATCGGGATTGAAATCGTCTCAATGAACGGCAACAGGTTGTACCTGATAGGATGGACATCATCGTGGTTTTGCCTGCCCCATTGTGGCCGAGCAAAGCTGTTATCTGCCCCTTCCAGAAATCGACGGATACGCCCCTCAGCGCGTAGACCCTCTGCAAAATATCCAATTTACCAATTTAAAATAGCGCAATTTTAGCCAACGAGAACGGAATCTAAATCATACCGTCTGGCTGAATAAACTCGTTCTATATAGTTTTTTTAAATTGCGTATTTGAATTCCAGGAGCATGAGCACCCTCGGTTGCCTGCTCAAAAGGTTGACCAGCAACGTCAGTAAATTCAAAGCTTTCCACTTTGCCTTGGTCGTTCAATTTTTTTTTTCCTTTTACATGCTTTGAAAGAAAATCGACTTTTAAACGTCATGCACCCGAGGTCAGAGTGATATGAGGAGCAAACTTACTTTTAAGAAATAAAAGGGGCCTTTCTGAACTCCATACTTTCCAGGATTCATAGCATAAACATAATTTGCCAATATGAAGTGTAAAATTATGCCAACGCCAGACAGTATCAAAACCATTCCCACACTTCCTTGTAGTTCATAATTTCGATTTGCAGTGGAGAACAAATTTCCAAAACCTACTCCTTTTCCTAGAGAGAAATGGATTTTTTCAAAGTATTTATTCGCAAAGTGAACATAGATATCTCTCACGTATATCCTCGTAGTAGTTTATCTCCTCTAATCCTCTAAATAATAATAAGTCAGGAATGAAAACACCCAAGAAAGGCACGACGCTCAAACCAGAGTCCTTAAAAGCGTTCTCCTGAAGGACAATCGCACCCACGTACAAGATAAGCAGCCCAGTGGTCATAAACAAGGCTAACAAATACACGTAGAAAGCATCGTAATTGGGCGTGATAAAACTAAAATTTCATTACTTACATCTGGTGAAATACGCGGAAACATGCATGCCGAACGTGACGAGATGAGCAACATTCAGGACAAGTAGAAGCCAAAGTATGAAAGGATTGCCGTAGTGAATAAACGACATTGGCACGTCTTCCGTGGTGTACAAGGTCAACAGCAGGGTTATCGGCGTGATGTAAAGCATGCTGAAAATCAAAGCGCTGACAAGCCAACTGAGCAAGTTCAAGTGATTCGGTACACCGTTCATCGCCATCAGCACCTGCGAATATCGAAAGCTCGTTGCTTGCGTCTATCTTGCACGAAGGTCTTACAGTAGGCTAGAAACTTACGTTTATACCGAGGAACTTCTCCTTCGACGCGTGGGCAGTCTCGATGCACAGCGGAATGAAGAAAGCTGCCACAGCGAAACCAGCAAAAGCTCGCCTGATGCCAATGTCCAAAATATTAGTCTGTCCCTCGGCTGGCTCTGGCATTCTCTGTGTGCGTATCTTCACATTGACCATGTCGTTTTTCTTGATTTGTATCAACGACTGATCGACACACAGTAACAGACCAGTGAACCCGTTCTCGAACCTGTCTCTCGCGACAGTCATCGAATCCGAGTACAGCGCTCTCGGCAACGACCATGGCAGTTCGATCTTGTAGCGCAAGTTTGTTGTCAAATAACTCACGCTTTTATCGTCGAAAATCAATCCCAGCGCGTTGTGAAGCGTTCGATTTGTCTTTTGCGCTTCCATCATGTTCGCTTCGCTGTCGAAACCAATGGTCGCTACGGCGAATTGTTCCATTTGTTACGAAAGACCGTTCTTCTTGGTATCATTACATGTATACTTACGAACGTGCTTGCGAAGGCACTTTTGAACTCGCCTTGCCAAATTCTTCGTAAACTGATTGTCAGGAACAACCAGCAGTATCTCTAACTCGTCTACGTAATCGTCTGCTGATTTGATTGGATACACCGTGCTGTTGCCCGTTGTTCTGTCATAGGCACGCAAAGGGACCATGTTTCTCATGGCCCAGACGCCGAGAAATAAGAACAAAGTCGCGAGGATCTCCAAAAATAATGCTGACTTCCAGTATCTTTTGCGAACCAGAAAGTTCTTGTAGAGCAACAGCCCGAAAATGCGACACTTGTACCGGAACATTTTACCTTTCCTCGCGGATCTCGCACTAGGTAGTGGCTGAGTTAACGATCGACAATCTGATCCGGTGAACGCATTTCCCGACGAAGGAAATGGGACGAATAGTGTCCACGCCCGACAAAGTTCCGAGCAAACTCGCTGTCGCAGCGACCCACGCGTGCTGATCACTTAGCGTCGATCACTGCGGGCGCCAGTACGGCGACGACTGCGCGCGGCTGTTTTCCCCGCGCAGATCGAAGGTCAGGGCTCGTGTCTACGCGCTTCCCTCGCGAGACTGCATTGATTCTCGAGCGACCGATGCGAGGATTTCGCGCGTACGTATGGTCCAGATTTCTAATGCGCACGAGCGATGCCATTTTCTTGTTTTTTTTTTCTTTTTTCGTTGCTGAATGAAATGAAAGTTCTGTGTTTGCGGACGACGAAAGCAATTCTAGTTTCGGTTGGCAACGAAAGCGAAAATATTTACTGTTTCTCGAACATATTTGCAATTGGATAATAGATTGTAAGTATCAAAATATTATTCAATATATCTGGTACGCTTGTTTTTCGACTCATTTATTTCACCAGCAATTATTGCGATCATAGTGAAATTCTTGAATGAAATAATCAATGATACTCAAATTAACCATACCATTTATCAGTAAACTCGAATTGAACACATCAAAATGGGATTTTATAGGCCATCGCACAGACAATACAACATATCTCATTGCATCACACAGTTTGATTAACAAAAGCTGGCGTAGGCACACATTAAGTTTGATTATTAAGGCAGTAGTTAAACAGTTCTTTCAAGTATTTCTTTTTTTTCTATTTGTTTTAATAATCTGTCGATATAAAAATAGTCTTTATTGAAATACCATTAATTTTGTACTTTCGGACGTTTAAACTGTTCATTTTATTTAATAAAATGAGTAATGCCTGCAATGATTCAAGAGAAGAATGTGTAGCTAAATCGTCAACAAGAAAAACTTTAAAAAATAAAGGCAAAAATTTTATATCCAAGATCTGCACCGTAAGATTCACCTAGAACTAGTTAAACATTTTGGACAAAAAGTGTCGCGTATTACGTGCGGCTAGCTCTATTAGCAGCCTTGGCAAATAATAAAAATAATTGCTCCAAAGTCGATGAAAGCACAGAGAAGTCTTCGATGCTCGTGTACTTTTCTTTTAAATCTTGCATCACATCATACATTCGCCTCCACGTCACATCGGTCGATGACACGTGATACAACAGTGAACCCTGTAACCCAACAACAATTAACGAATCAACTTTTCAGTCATTCTCAGCTTGACGTCGAAGAATCTTTCTACTAACCGAGGTTTCGTCAATGATTTCACCTGGTAACGCTGCACTCATAATCTGTTTTATTCTGTTCACTTCGTCTTCTGTCTTTACGGGACTCAATTTCAATCGAATGTCGTAACCAGCGCCGAAGCGCTGCTTCAATTCCTCCGATGGACCTATACATACGAATTTCCCATCCACCATGATGGCTAATTTGTTGCACAGAGCTTCGCACTCTTCCATGCTGCAAATATTTCAGATTTAGCATGAACATTGTTTCTCGAGGCTTGCGGTAAAGTTAGCTTGCCTATGCGACGTTAGTATAACGGCTTGTCCCGTAGCCTGACACGACTGCACGGTGTTCCACAGCGATCGTCTAGCAGCAGGATCGACACCCGTCGTTGGCTCGTCCAGCAAAACCAAGCTCGGAATGCCAATGAGAGCCATCGCGATGTTTAATCTCCTCTTGTTACCGCCGCTGTACGTGCCGCTCGGTTGCAGGGCGCAAGGATTCAGGCCTAAAATACATCGACAAAACAAACGAGTGAATGACTACGCGACGAAATTTTCTTCCGTATCTGCATACGTACAGAGCCGGTCGATCCAATCCTGGACTTCCTGCTCGAGTTGGTCGTCCGGTATGCCGCGAAGCCGACCGAACAAACGCAGATGATCGTAAGCATTCAACGAGCTTATGATCGCGTGATTTTGCGGACAGTATCCTATTTGCCTGAGACACTGGAAACGCAAAGGTGCGCTCGATTGGTTCTGCGTGCTGCAGAGGCGTGCCAATGTTCACTTACGTTTCCGTCTCCCTGCGCATTCTGATCGCGCAAATGTACGAGCCCGTGATTGGGTACTTCTTCGCCGGTCATCATCTTGAACGTCGTCGACTTTCCGGCGCCATTGACGCCGAGCAATCCGAAGCACTGACTTTCGCTGACGCCGAAACTTAAGTCCTGTACTGCTACCACCAATGCGCCTAGGCAACTGCCGTAGATTTTACGCAACTCGTAAACGAAGAACACGTAATCCTTGGTCTCGTCCTCGTTTTGCAAGCTTGTATCGTTGCGTCTTTCGGGAATCACTTTGAACTTCTCGGTGGCCGTCCCATTCGACATGCCTGCAACTGCAAACAAAGAAAATTGCGATTATACTTTCAAATCTTCGAGAGCGAAGCCGACTTACTTTTGGCTTTGCAAACTTCGTAAGCGATCTCGTGCTTGATTTTCTTCACTTGCTCTTCGAAGCCATCGTCGCTATTGTCTGGAATACCTCCACGAATCCTAGCAAACAGTCTGCCAAGGAGTCGATACTCCAAAATCAAGAGTATGCCGAGATACAGGACAGGACTGATGCACAAGGCAAGGAAACTGATATTCAAAGAGATATCTTCATAGAAGCCAAGAAAGTATGGAACAGCCTCGCCGCACGTGTCCTCATTACACACCATATCTGGAAACCAAATGTAAATGATATGTAGAGTGTTGAATGTCAGAATACATGAGTCGATCTTCAAGCAACGTACCGCAACATATTTTTAGCTGATAACTCTCGCCACCGGTTAGACATTCGGTCTTGAAATCAACATAGTCAGCAACTTTGGCACAAACTGCGTTGATCCACGTGATGTTGAAGAACACCACTTGGCCTTCAAAGAAACTGATGTACGGGATAAACAAGAATATTGCTTTCTGGATACGTCGGTAGAAGAAAAATTCAGACTCTTCCTTAAGCTTATCGGTTATTCTGTCAAAAAAGCGATGTAAAAGACTCATGACCAAGTCGACCAGTACTGCAATAAACGACATGATAGTATGGTTAACGATTGACGTGACGATATTCTTCATCGAATAGACTCACCAAGAACAAGTGGCACGAGACTCAATAATTTTATAACAGTACTGGTGGATTTCTTCCAAAAACTGAATACATAGGCTAAGAGCAAAGTGTTTATAGCGAGCAACGCGAATAGACCTAGTTGTATTACTGAAAAATGAAAAGATTAAACCCTCGGACAATCAGAAAAATCCGAAAAGTTAGACTTACCAACTTGCTTCCAAGCGAACATTCTGAGATCGACGATGCAGTCACCAGCAACAAGACCCAAGACAAAGAGCAACGTTATAACGAAAAAAACAGTCAGGTCGAAAATGAGCATAGTTCCCCAGTAGCTGAAGCACGAGGCGCCAGTCATTCTCTGTAAATGCTTGACGTTGGTCAGCGATTCCCTGATCGGATGTACAACGAACAGGGCGACCGCGGGATAGATCAAGCAGGCGAAAAGCCCGGCTATCACGTAACCATATGCCGTCGCGGTCAATAGAATCGAGTCGCTGTTCGTGTCGCTGCGATCGTTGTCTTTCGGCAAGGCCTGAGCGGTTATCTCGATGCTGTGATTGCTGTTCGTTACGTTCCGGAGAACGGCGTTGGACACGAGATTGATGGACATCGGCTCGGCGAATCGAGCCAGTGCCGAGTTGTAATGCGCCGTGCAATTGACTCTGCTGTGGTCCTCGTTGCTCTGAAAACTGGCTGCCATGAGCACGCGGAAGTTGTATTTGTTGTAGTCCGTGTGAGCTATTTCGAGCAGTTCTATGGTGAAACAAGCAAATTAACCACTTCGAGTCACGTGTGAGTGAATTTGATAATATTTGCAGTAGCACATTACCCTCATTGAAGTCGGAACTACTTGACATTTCTTGCGACTGGCCGCCCAAATCTCTGATAAGGTGTGCATAAGCGTGAGCATAAGGTTTACCGTATTGATGTATTTTGTAGTAGCTGTTCGCATCATGATACATATCGAGCTTTATCGCTACTTCTTTTTCCCGTGACTTTTTGTCCTTTAATATCAAAATCGTGCTCGCTAACGTCGCCGAAAACTAATTGATCGAGATTTTTATTTCATTGATTAAAAACAACAGAATCATTGAATGTAATCAAAGGAAAACAAAGGTTTCTTTACCAAAAACAACATAATTACTGTTGTCGATATGTTTTTGAGGGTGTAAATTGCCTTCTTACATAACAGAGCTTTCCAGATGTGAAGAACCTGATGTAGACCTTGCAGTTTCTGGCTTGTATTCGTGAATGGCCGTCGAGATTCCGATGGGTCATTATTATCTTGCGTTACTCTACATCGGTCAAATGGATGATTTTATTACGGATGATAGTATAGATTAAGTGGAGAACGAGGGCTTACTTGGGGAAAACTTTTTCCAGGGTGATGATAGATACACTCATTCCTGTAATTCCTAGTTCCTTCTTCTTCTCCTCTATGGTATCCAGGGTGTCTGGCAAATTATTGTTGTATGGAATACTCAATACCATTTTACCGCGATCATCGCTTAGAACTTCACATGGTGTTTCCAACTTTGACCGAACATTTTCTGGGTCGCACCAAGGTTCAGTTGATAATGTTACTTCGATATTTCCACGTCCTTCAAAATCAAAATCGATTATAAATTTCACTTCGAACAGACAGGTGATTTTCAAAGAATCAGAATTTTTGCTACCTAATAATTTTTTGAGATACAAAGGTGTGCCGTAACATTTCAATTGCCCGGAGTGCATTATTGCAATTCTGTCTCCAAGTACATCGGCTTCTTCCATGTCATGCGTGCTGATCAAAATTGTTTTACGCCCCCTCATTTTCTATGAAATTAAATCATAAAGTGATTTGAATTTTGAGATATATAAATTTCTTAACAGCAGGAATTCTTTCTAGAATAAGAACCATTCTCTCGCAAAAGAAGCATTTTTTAACAAAACTCATAAAACTTCTTTTTTTTTTTAATAACGAAAACTTTCGAATTTAATCGTGAATGAATTCCATATCTCATAAAGTATTTACCAATAATATATTCCAAATGTCACGTTTACTTTCAGGATCCAGACCAGAAGTTGGCTCGTCCAAAATTAGTGTCTGGAAATGGGTTATTGCGCGATGAAAAAATTCATAATGATTTCTTTAAACATATTATACGTAATCCAGTGAACTGACGCTCGAGTCTCCAATAAGAGCCATCGCAAGACAAGCACGCCGTTTCTGTCCACCCGACAATTGGTTTGGTAAAGCGTTTCTTTTGCCAAGTAGTTGGAGTTGGTTCAGTAGCTGAATTACTTCGCTGTTGATAGCCGTCAACGACTTACTTTTGCTTTTCAACTGAAATCAAGCGTGAAATAAATTGCTACGAAGTACCCGCGGGTGAAATCGAAATTGGCTTACCATGGCAAAGAACTTGACTTGCTCAGCTACAGACAGTTGCGGAAAAAGCATGTTTTCTTGGGGACATAATCCCATTCCGCTCATTATTTCGTCAATGTGCTCGTTAACGTCCTTCCCGTCGATGAGAACTAGTCCTTCGGAAGAACTTATCATACCTACAATACCAAAACGCTGAAGGCAAATACTGACGGACGATGATCGTCATGCGAAATTTTTACCTGACAGAATCGACATCATCGTGGTTTTTCCTGCTCCGTTGTGGCCGAGCAGAGCTGTAATCTGTCCTTTGTAAAAATCGACTGATATACTTTGGAGAGCATACACTCCCTGAAAAACTTTCAAGATCAGTAAGACAACGCGAAAAGCTGAGAGCATTACTGTTGTCACGTACCGCTTTGCCAAACAAACTAGTTTTATATAATTTTTTCAGATTGCGAATTCGAATTCCCGGACTGTAGGCACTTGCCGTTACCGGCTCGAATGAATTTCCACGCGTGTTGTTGAATTCCATGTTTTCTACCTTATCGTAATCTCTAGTTTTTCTCAATCTTTTGAAAATCTAAAAGTGCAATCGTTTTTTTGAATATTTCATTGCCTTGAAAATTAAAATTATTATTACCTGCAAAAAGTATAATGGACCTTTCTTCACGCCGTACTTGCCAGGATTTATTGCGTAGATGTAATTCGCCAGCAACAAATGTAAGATAATTCCAACAATTGAAAATATAAGCATAAATCCAACGCTTCCTCCGAGTCCGTAGGCCCTATTAGTGACTTGGAACAAGTTGTTGAAGTGGATTCCTTTACCTGAAAACAACATCCCAAGTAGTGATTTGGATCAAAACCTTTGTCTGAATCGACATTACCAATATTTGAAAGTTTTCAATCGGAAAATGAAAGTAAAATTTACAAATAATGACGTACTTATATCTTCGTAGAAATTCATCTCTTCGAAAGCTCGGAACAAGAGCATGTTTGGAAAAATAATACCTAAGTAAGGTAAGGTTTTGTAAGAATCCACATTGACTCCTTTTATCACGAATACAATTGAACCGATGTAAATGACGATTAACCCAGTGACCATAAATAAAGCTAATAACAAAATGGAAAAGCACTGGATAATAGAAATGTGAAACGCTGTAAAGTCGATGTAACTAACGAGCTTACATCTTGTAAAGTATGCTGACACATGCATGCCAAAGGCTATCAGGTGAGCCACGTTCAGTGTCAGCACTAGAAAGACTATGAAAGAGTTTGCGTACTCGAAAAATCGAGTACTCTGTTCGGTCGCCGCGTAGCAGAGAATGAACACTACTGGCACTATGTAGAGAAGACTAAAAATTATTCCAGTGGTCAGCCAGCTGAGTAAGTTCAGGTAATTGGGTACGCCATTCATGGACATTAGAACCTGCAATTCATCCGTGTATAACTTTTGGGTACTTCATTTTGGCTTTCCACCGACTTTTTTCGCTTCGCTTACATTAACGCCAAGAAATTTTTCGCTAGACGTGTGAGATGTTTCTACGCACAATGGGATCAAGAATGCTGATACGGCGAGCCCACATACTATTATACTCATATATTTTACGAATTCGTTAGTGTCCTTTTTAGCCGGTATCGGCATCCTCTGGGCAAAAATCTAAAATGTATCGTTGGCATTAGCGGATAGACAAGGCGATTAATGATAAAAGCATGTGCAAGACAGCGAAACATTTTCATGATACTCACGTCCAAGCTGAAATTAGGATCGTTCTTCTTCATTTTTATCAGCGCACTGTCGACGCACAATTGAAGCCCTGTAAAACTCGTCTCGAACACATCCGTAGCTTCGGTTTCCGAATAAACGAGCGCCGAAACGTCATCGGAAATTCGTATTCTGTACTTGAAGTTTTGAGTGGAGCCGTTGACATTGTCATCGTCGAAGATCAAAGCCAAAGTCGTTTTGAACCTGCTGAACTTGGTACTTTTCTTGGCAAAATAATCGCTGATCATATCGCTCTCGGTCCGGTACATCACTATTGTAGGAAAAGGGAAAAGGGTGAATGACGATACTCTGGTTAGCCGAGCGTGTGCGTAATGTTGCGTTTACTCACTGACGAGTCCGGGGTAACATATTTGCAAGTGACTTTTCAGTCGCTGGGTGAACCTGTTATCAGGAGCTATCAGCAAGTAATCGTCCGCGCTGTACTCGAAATAATCCGCGGCGGTTTTGACTCTGAACTTGGTGTCACCGCGTTCTAATGGCGTCAAAATTTCTTGCGATATAGCTTTGTTATTGAGCGATGCACTTTTGACGCCCCACACGGCGATAAATGTCAGCATCGGGACGAGGATCTCCACGAACAGTCCCAGTTTCCAGTGCCGTTTTCGGACCAGTAGATTTTTGTAAAGCAGTGCTTTAAACATTCTAAATTGATGCAGAATCATCGTCAGACTCTTGGTGCAGAGTTAGACAGAGCAATAATGTTTCTAGCTGAAAAACACAAACACCGTGACGGTATTATCAAACCACCGGGTCGTCTTAGCTGCACATGAGCAAGTTCGATCAGTCTGTAACTATGTGTCGTGCTACTTTCTTGCTAGCACCCACGCAGTCAACGCGTTACGCTCTCCGAGCGTAAAGCCCTAATCTATTTGAGTAGCAGCCGTCGTCGGCTCAGCGAGCAGACGCGACAAAGAGAATAAATAGAGGCGCTAACCTGACAGACTCGACCGCAAGCTCGCCGCACGCGTTGCTAATCCAGCGCGAAATCCCGCGCGGCGCTAACGGCCAGCCGTTCGCAATAGTGCACGTAGCGCGCGCGAAACAACAGCGAGAGCCGTCAGAGCGAGCTCGCCTCTACGCGCGCGCTAACGTGGTCGGCGGCGCGGCACCGCTGGCGTGCGTATTTTTCGCCGAAGGCCGCGGCGCCGCCACGCCGGCCTACGCATCGATCGGGCGCGCCGCCGTCGGCGACTCGTTCGGGACGCCAGCTCGCGGCCGGTTGCGCGCTCCTATTCGGGGGCCTCGGCGCGCAGTGAGCAGAAGCGAGTCGCCGAGCTCGTTCGCCGCGCTCTCGTCGGGTTGCTTTTCTCGCTTGCTCTTTCCAATGGCGCGACGCGTTCCTCGTTGCATCTCCGAAACGATAAACGCAGCGCCGGCTACGTAATAGCCGCGTAGCTGCGCGCTTCGCCGTCGACGAGCGATTGTAAATTATTACAAATTACTGGCGCGCTGCGAACCTCTTGCCGGCAGGCGTGTACGTATGCGGCTGCGCAACATCGCTTTGAGTCACTTGTTGCCGCGACGCCCACGCGCCACTCGCGCGCCTTCGATTCTCGCTCGTTCGTCAAGCTCCGCTCGCAGGCGTCGCTTCTGTCGGTCGCAGATATATTTCTTCTTCTGCCCAAGCGGACGCATCCTTGGCGGGTCCGGGACAGGGGCGCGTTCGGTCGGACGCGCGAGGCGTCGGCGTTTCTCGGTGCAGCGATTCCACACCTCGCTGCCGCGTTAAGAAGAAGGAAAGCAAAATACCGAGCAAACAAAGCATCATTTCGCCGAGCGAATCCATTATTATTATCCTGTGATTGTTGCGAATCGAGTGCAGTGGATTTTCCCATGGCAGCTCAGCGACGCTTCCAAAAGCTTGGCGTTACAAAATCGCAGTGGAATCGCGCGGAGTCATGTTCAGGACAATTAGGCGGCAGCTATTGTTGCGCGCGAATCTGATCGCGGCGCGTGTTGCAAGGGTACATAATGCGCGTGGAGTTCTATTGGTTTCGTTTTTCATTTGTTTTTTTATTAGACGAAAATAGAAATGTGAAAAGCGTGTAGAAAGGTACGAGCGCGTCGTCGAGAGGGAAATTCGGACGGGAAAGAGTGGAGAGAAAAAGAGAGCGGGAGCCGCTATGTACAAGTTGCCGCTGGAGCGGAGAAGAAGGATCAGTCGCAGTCGAGCATCCTGGTAGAGTCTTGGTTGGCGGCGCGAGCGAACATCAAGAAGAGCTGCTCGAGGGTGGACGAGAGCACCGAGAAGTCGTCGATGCAGTCGTACCGGCTCTTCATCGCGTTCATCAGGTCGTACATCTTCCGCCAGCTCGTGCCTCTGGGCGTCACGTGGTACACGAGGTGGCCCTGCGCACAGACCGACAATCACGCTCGGGCCGCGAGCCGCGACCGCGCGCCAACTTGCCAGGTTCTCGTCGGCGAGCTCGCAGCGCAGCGCGTCGACCATGTCCGCCTTGATGGCGTCCACCTGGTCCCTCGCCTTCTCGGGATTCAGCTTCATCTGGATGTCGTAGCCCGCGCCGAAGCGCTGCTTCAGCTCCTGCGAGGGCCCGATGCAGACCAGCCTGCCGCCCACCATTATCGCGAGCCGGTTGCACAGCGCCTCGCACTCCTCCATGCTGCAACAGTGGCGCGCTTCCGAGGAGGGGCTCGAGATCTCGCAGGCGACGACGCGAGCGTCGGTCCACCCACCTGTGCGACGTGAGAACGACGGCCTGGCCGGTCGTCTGGCAAGACTGTACGACGTTCCAGAGCGAGTGCCTGGCGCCGGGGTCGACGCCCGTCGTCGGCTCGTCCAGCAGCACGAGGTCCGGGATGCCGATCAGCGCGATCGCGATGTTCAGTCGTCGCTTGTTGCCGCCGCTGTAGGTGCCGCTCGGCTGCGACGCGCACGCAGTCAAGTCTGCAAAAGTGGCCAGCTCGCGGACGTGGGGAACGATCGAAAGGGCGCGCGAGCCACTCACTCAGCCTCCGGATCCAGGTCTGCACCTCGAGCTCGACCTGCAGCTCGGGAATGCCGCGCAGCCGAGCGAACAGGCGCAAGTGGTCGCGGGCGTCGAGCGAGCTGACGAGGGCGCCGTGTTGCGGGCAGTAGCCCATCCGCGAGAGGAACTGCAACGACGGAGAGTGAGAGAGCGACGGTGACGAGCGAGCCGGTGCCCGCCCGGAGGCCCGTCGACGGCCTCGCTCGCTCGCGAGGCGGCACTCACGTGTCGCCGGTTGCGCGCGAAGTCCTTGTCGCCCATGTACATGAGGCCGCTGTCGGGCACCTCGGCGCCGGTCATCATCCGGAAGGTCGTGCTCTTGCCGGCGCCGTTGACGCCCAGCAGGCCGAAGCACTCCTTGCGGCGCACCGCGAAGCTGACGTCCCGCACCGCCGACAGCTCGCCGTATCTCTTGCGCAGCTCGTAAACCATGAACTGCACCGGGCCGTCCTGCAGCGCGCTCATCGAGATGTCCTCGGCGCCTGCGCGCGCCTCGCCCTCGCGCAAGCCGTTGATCCGCGCCGAGATGGCGGCCTTCGAGCGCTGCACCTGCTCGTCGTCGCTGGCCGCCAGCGTCGCCGTCCTCCGCGCTCTCGCCCGCAGCTTTTGGACCAGCTGGCACTCCAGCGCGACGAGTATTCCGAGGTAGAGGAAAGGCGTGACGCCCAGGTAAACCAGACTCTCCTCCAAGCTGATGTCGTACTTGAAGTCGTTGAAGTACTCGATGTGGCTCGCGCACTTGCCGTCGCGGCAGCCGAACACTGCGGAGAAGGGGGGGACGTTCAGTCGCGGCGCGGCCAGCATCCCCGTGAGGCTCGCCGAAGCTGTACTCACGACAGCACAGGTCCGCCGGGAAAGGGCTGCACTTGATGTCGTAGAACTCGTTCGGCATTTTCACGCATCTGGCGTTGTTCTGCGCCGTCAGGTGATAGGAAACTTGCCCGTGAAAGAAGCTCACGTATGGCACCAACAGAAAGATCCCCTTTTGAATCGTCCGGATTCCCCGCACGACAGCGTGTTGGCCCAGCTCCGATCTGACGGTGTGCATTATTATCTCCACGGTAACTGAAAATACCGAATCAAGTTTGTCCAGCTGCTGACCGAAATTCAAGTTTCGGAATGTCTTACTGAGGCCCAATGATATGTACGTCAGCAGTCGAATCAGGCTACTCGAATCTCTGTTCAGAAAACTAAATGCGTAGACGAAAGGGAGCGAATTGATGGCGAACAGCATGTACAGAAGAAACGATATCCCTGCAAAATATCAACCGACGAGCATTTCAGTTTTATTATCGCTATGAAATTTGTTTGTTCATTGGTTGTGCTCAAGAGGCTTCACTAACACATGCCGTTATACATGAATATCCTGAGGTCCAGGACGAAATCCATCACCGCGAATCCGAACAGGATCAGAATAATCAGAATCAGATAGACAAGCATGTCGAACAGAAATATTGTTCCCCAGTAGGCCAAGCAAGAGACACCGGTCATCGTCTGCAGCTGCTTGAAACTCGAGGTGGACTCGCGCAGCGGATGGATCGCGAACAGCGAGACGGCGGGGCAAACGTAGAAAGCAACGAGGACGGCAGTCGTGTAAGCGCTGACGATCGAAATGTCCTTGTAGAGCTTCTCGTCCAACGACGGCAGCTGTTGGCTCGACACGCTGATCTCGTACTCGTTGCCCAGTTGAGCTTTCGCCAGGGTGTTCATCATGAGGTTCACGGAGATGGGGAAACCGTAGGACATGTTTCCCGAATAAAAGGCCTTGGCAGCCAAACCACTGCCGGTCGGAGTTCGACTGAACTCGACCGCGGCTATCAAGTGGTTATTATACTCCGTAAACTGTTGTTCGGAAAACTTCAGTAAAGCTCCGGTCACACTCGAGTCTTTCACTTGAACCGATCGACCTCTGAACTTCTGCGTCATATGCGTATATTGTCTGCCTAAGTTGTCGTCGAAACTTTGAAAGTACGTGACGGGACGATGATACATTTTTAAACTGAGGGATATCAACCTGCTTGTTATCTTGGAGAAGTTGGCTTCTTTCAATACCAATGATATGCTCAGTAACGCCATAAAAACCTGAAACAGTTGAGCGACCGTTAAATACCATGTTTTTACCATTGCTGATAAACCTTATTCGTTCACCAGAAGTAATTTCAAAGTAATCGTTGACGGGTTCTTCAAAGTGTAGGTCATCTTTTTGCTTAGTAATGCTTTTATAGACTTCATGGTTAATTCTTTGCCGGTCACTTTGAACGGCGTAGTGAAGAACGGCTGGCGCGACGTAGCCGCGTCATCTTCTTCGCGAGTTACCCTGTCAAAGTAACATTGATTCTTTTACAAAAATAATGTTCTTTCAATCTCGAGACACTCACTTCAGATAAACTTGTTCTAAGCTGATCAGCGAGACACTGAGACCCGATATTCCTAGTTCGCTTTTCTTGCTTTCCAATTGATCTAATGAATCTGGCAGCTCATCCGAATAAGGAATGCTCATAACGATTTTACTTCCATCTTGATTTGTGACTTTTGCTCGACCTTTCAACTCGTCTCTTATTACTTCGACGTCGCAAGACGGTTCTACAGACAACGTTAGTTCCACGTTGTTTTGTCCGATTAGCTTTTTCAGATACATCGATGTCCCGCAACTTCTCAACTGTCCGCCATGCAATATTGCAATTCTGTCGCCGAGAATATCAGCTTCTTCCATGTCGTGTGTACTTATTAAAATGGTCTTCTCGCCTCTCATTTTCTAAACAAAGGAAACACATTATCATTACCGAGGTTTGTTACTTTTGTGTAACAGTGATTTACCAACAAAACGTCCCAGATGATACGTCGATTTTCCGGATCCAGACCAGAAGTTGGCTCATCCAAAATTAAAGTCTAAAAATCGCATAAGAACAAATAACTTAGACAAGGCTTATATTTTGAATAATTATAGGCTAAAACTTATAGTTTGTTGTAAACTTACATTCGAATCGCCGACGAGTGCCATACCGAGACATACGCGACGCTTTTGACCTCCTGACAATTGATTGGGTAAACAGTCTTTCTTCTCCGTTAGCTTGAACTTCGCCAGCAGAACCGTTACATTCTTTTGGATCGCTGATTTTGACTGATCTTTCCCTTTCAGCTGGTCGTAGAAAAGCATTGTTACTTTAATGAAAAATATATAGCTCGTAAGATTTTGAGTCAAATGCACTTACCATTGCGAAAAACTCCAATTGCTCTCCCACAGTGAGACTAGGAAAAAGCATGTTCTCTTGCGTGCACAAACCCATGTCGTTCATAATTTCTTTAGAGTGTTGCTTTATGTCCTTGGAATTAATGAGCACGATGCCGTCACTGGGTCCTCGCATACCTGAAAACCACCAGTCTGAGTATCGCGTCAAATATTATCCCTAGAACGAAACATCTTACCTGTTAGTATTGACATCATTGTAGTCTTCCCTGCGCCGTTATGACCCAGTAAGACTGTGATGTGTCCTTTGTAAAAATCTACTGAAATGCCTCGAAGAGCATCTACTTTCTAAAAAAATGAATTCCATTTAAAAATTGCATTCTCTTAGCAAAATGCCTGTCCAATCGATGATTACCATTCTCCTGAATAATCCTATGTTATAAATTTTTCTCAAGCCCCTGATCTGAATACCAGGCTCGTAATTCGTTCCATTTTCAGGTTCAAAAAGTTTCTCGTCGACATGGTTCAAAACAAGATTGTCCATTCTGTAATCGGTGTTCACTTTTCTTCCCCGAAGCTATAAATATACATACCAGAATGTTATCATCCATAATTAATGTTGATCCAGGAGTTTGGAAAAAAATGACCTTCAGAAAGTAAAACGGATGTTTTGGAACGCCGAACCTCCCAGGATTTATCGCATAGACGTAACACGCCAGAGTAAAATGTACGACAGTTCCAAACAGCGAGCACAATAACATTCCACCTACGCTTCCGGCAGTCCCGTAAATTTCATTTGCAACAGCGAATATGTTGTTCCAATGAACGCCGTCGCCTGAAAATTACTCATTGTAGTTCTTTCGCATTACATCGTGGTGAAGTCGAACGAGTGTAATGCGATTGTTATCGTGCATTAACCGTGAGTTGATTGTTGTTTTATTCTTTTGGAAATTTATTTTGCACTTCGATTTCCGTGAAACATTGAAATAAAAAATCATATGCAATTCAATGCAAAAATACACATTTAATATACAGCTTTGTTTGCTCGAAATAATTAAAATGTATTTTTTGCAAGCTACATTTTACAATCTTAATGAGCAATAGGAAAAAGTTATCGATTGACCAAGTGACGTATTTGGCTGACAGCTGTTCGTCTAATGATTAAAAATAGCGAAAGGTATATATTCGTTTGACTCTTTTGTTTTTAAATTTTCTTTGATACGTATACTTTACCGATAATTTCATAGTAATTGATCTCCTCAACTGCTCTGACGAGTAACAAATTCGGAAACAATACTCCGAAATACGGCACCATAAATACATTATCGTCGTTCAAAGCATGTCTGTGTACAGTGGATGCTACCATGTTCATTATTAAAATAGCGAACATGACGTACAAGGCTGTGAAAAAGTGACAATTAGCCGCATACTTGGTCGTAACGTTAGCCGACAGCGGCACTCACATCTGGCAAAGTAGGCGGAAACGTGGATTCCGTAGCAAAATATCTGGGTAACGTAGCAGGTGAACACGAGAAGGACGATGAAAGTGCTGCTGTAGTGCAAGTAAGGCACGACGTTGCCTTCGATGGAGCAGCGAATGACGAGGATTATAGGCAGGACGGAGCAGACGACGACGAAGACGACCCCGCTGAGGAGCCAGCTAAACAGGTTCAGGGCGTTGGACACGCCGTTCATGGACATCAAGACCTGCGTATGCGCAATATCGATCCTTGAGACCCACTGCCACGAGCTCTAGCGCCTTTGAATTAACAATGTGGACACGTACGTTCACGCCGAGGAACTTCTCGTTGGATGCCTTGGCTGTCTCGATGAATAGAGGGATCATGAACACCATGGTGAAGATTACACCGAATAGCTGGCGAAATATCAGGTCGAAAAGATCGGGTGCGGTGTAGGGTGGATAGGGCACTTGCTGCACGGATATCTGCGGACACGCGTGCGACGTTGCAGTGGCCTGCTCGTTCGTTTCGCGCCGACGCGCGTATACGTACTTGCGGATCGAAGGACGGATCATTCATCCTGACGAAGGACTCGTCGAGGCAAAGCTGCACCTGCACGAAGTAGTTCTCCTCGGTGAAAAAGTCCGTAAGATTCGTCAGCTCGTAGACGTTGAACGGCAGTTTCTCGGCGAGATGCTTGCTGCGGATTTTGTACTTGAGGTGCTGGGTGGACTTGCCGAGCGACGACGCGTCGAATATCACCGATGGCACGTTCCAGCCCCCCTTCTCGAAGCTCCTGTAGTAGTCGGCCAACAGTTCGCTCTCCGCCTTGTACGAGTACAGTTCTGCGGAAGAGAAAAGGACTGCATTGAGAAGAGCAAGGCGCGAGGAAACGATCGCCGACATACCGGCTCGATCGCGAAAGCACGTCCTCACTCCCGCCATCAAGGCCGCGGTGAACTCGCTTTCCGGCGCATACAGTATCTTCGCGCTCTCGTTGAAGCCCTCGATCATTCGGTCGATCAGCTCCGCCTTCGACTGCGCGCGGTAGTGCGTGTCGTTGGTAATCCGCAGCGGCGGAGTCGCGTTCAGGTCTCTCGCGGACCAGATACACGCCAGGATGAATATCGGCACGAGTATCTCGCCGATCAGGCTCACGAGCCACTGGCGTCTGCGCACCAGATAATTCTTGTAGAGCAGCAGCTTGAGCACCCGCAGCGACTCCGGTATTCTCCGCATTTTCCTCTGGCGAATCGTCAAGAACATAAATACGCGCTCCCGAGCCGGCTGTGCTCCTTCGCTCTATTTCTAGTCGGCTCTGCACTGTCGCGAAGCTTGCGTCACTCTGAGCTCGCTCGCACGCTCGACGTCTAATCGACGCGAATAAGCCGCCCGATTCCGCGTGTTCCCTCGGCAGCGCACTGAACCTTGTCTGTCGCGGCGCCCGGGCGAGCGCAGTTTTCAAGTGCAAGTGCAGCGGCGATCGATAGACGCGCCATGCGGTTCGCCGGGTCGCGTTGCTGTAGCTACGCTGGCGACAGCTGAGCCGAGCTGTTCGTCGGTGTTGATATAGCAACGTACTTTCGTGCGTGTCACGATTGAAATTACGCGCTTATTCGATATTTCATTCGCTCGGCGTAATCATCAGTGATTACTTAGTGGCTGATCGGTCGTTTGTAGCGATCGATGCAGCCCGAGGTACGTACACGTGGCCCGACGGAGCATAGTCAATTTATTGACTTCGAGAGGCGCGCTTGCAAGCCCGTCAAACATTTACGCGGAAGTTTCGTTAGAACTTTCGTCTCGAGTTCAACGGCGAAATATCGACAGCAAAGTTTCCGTCGACAATTATAGAATTCTATATACTTGAGAATTGGATAATTGCTTTTTAATTCCGCTTAATGCTATGTGGGTCAAGTTTGGCGTGAATCATCGTCTTATGGAACTGACGTGGACTTTGCCATGTAGGTATACGATAATTAATTTATTCTAAATAATCAATAAATTACAATTTTGTTCTCACTATATCAATTAATAGGTAACGTGCACCGTTCCTTAAAAGTAAATCTTTTATAATATTCCATAGTATGTATATGTACATTGTAATTTGTGAAAACATAAATTTAAAAAATATACAACATTTTTTAAATAACAACAGAATCTTCCGATGACCACGAGGTAGATCTATTCGCTGCTCTGGCGAACAGCAAAAACAATTGCTCTAACGACGACGACAGCACCGAGAAGTCGTCAATACAGTCGTATTTGCTTTTCATTTCGTTCATCACGTCGTACATTTTTCGCCAAGTGGTGTTCTTGGGTGCTACATGATACATGAGGTAGCCCTGCAACATATAGTTAAAATCGGTCACGTGGTTTTGCTCGACGATAAATGCCAATCGTACCAAATTCTCGTCGGTCAGCTCGACGTCCAGCATCCGTTTCACGTCGCTTTTGATGCCTTTCAATTGGCCGTTCATTTTCCCGGGATCCATCCTGATCTGAATATCGTAGCCGGCTCCGAAGCGCTGCTTCAATTCTTCGGACGGACCCGTGCACACGAGTCTGCCGCCTACCATGATGGCTAGTCTATTGCACAGCGCTTCGCACTCCTCCATGCTGAAAGCCGCGCGGACAATGTTCACGTTGCGCTGGCGATCAGTCAATCAGGGAGATCTTACCTGTGCGAAGTCAGTACGACGGCTTGTCCAGCCGTCTGGCAAGCTTTGATGACGTTCCAGAGCGATCGCCTTGCTCCTGGATCGACGCCCGTCGTCGGCTCGTCCATTAGGACCAGATTCGGGTTGCCGATCAAGGCAATGGCTATGTTCAGTCGCCGCTTATTGCCCCCGCTGTAAGTACCACTTGGCTGCAGTGCGCAGGCACTCAAGTCTGTCAACGTGAGAAAGTGATCAGTCGGCGAGTTACGCGCGCCTACCTACCTCTACCTTTGACCCACTTAGTCTTTCGATCCAGGCCTGGACTTCGTCTTCGATTTTGCTCTTGGGAATGCCTCGAAGTAGAGCGAACAGCCGTAAGTGGTCGTACGAATTCAGGGACTTGATAATGGCATCTTGTTGTGGACAATAACCCATCTGCGATAAAAACTGCCGAAGACACAAGCGATTATTCAACGGGTTTGCGCGCAAACACAGTGGATCACTCACGTAACGTCGATTGCTTTTAATATCCACCCCATTGATGTACATCGCTCCATTGTCAGCCACCTCTCCGCCAGTCATCATCTTAAAAGTTGTGCTTTTGCCAGCTCCGTTGACGCCGAGAAGCCCGAAGCATTCGTGGCGATTGACCCGGAAACTAACGTCTCTGACCGCGATTAGCCTGTTGTAGCGCTTCCGCAAACCGTGCACCAAGAAAATCGCATCGTGGTTTTGCACGCCGTTCCTCTGCGAATCTTTGCCGCTGTCGTTGATGTTCGGACAATGCAATCCATCTGAAGTTATCAATTTGTCATTCGCTCAGAGTGAGGCAAGCTAACGCGATTGAGTGAGACGTACCGATGTTCCAAGTGCCTTTCAGTTCTTCGATTTTTCGTGAAATCGCGGACTTTTCCCGTTGCACCTGTTCGTCGGCACCGACCTCTTGCGCCATTTCACGCCTAAATCTAATTGCAACGTTCTCAATGTATTGGGTCTCCAACAACGCGAGAATACCAAAGTAAAGTACTGGAGTTAAGCAAAGGTAGATCACACTCTCCTCCAAGGTGATGTCCTCTTCGAAGTTGGTGAAATAGGACTTGTAATTACCGCAGGTACCGTTGTAGCACACCATATCTACAACAATACCAAACGCCCTCGTAATGTATAGTTTCGGGTTGGCTCGTTCGAAACGACCTTACTCACTGCAGCAAACATCGTAGGACTGTTCACACTGCGAGTCGTAAAACTCGTTGGGCATTTTCGCGCATCTGGCGTTTACCATCGCGGTGAGATAGAACGACATCTGAGTATGGAAAAAACTGACGTAAGGCACGCAGAGGAACACGCCTTTCTGCACGTAGCGTATTATTTCCACGGATTTGTATCGACTCAGCGAAGCTTTCATAGCGTACATGACGAGCTCCACGGTGACTGAAACGAGAGCATTGATTCAATACTCTGCAGATTACCTGCATTGCTATGATAAATTTACCTATGCCCAAGGGTATATACGTCAACAGTCGGACAACCGTGCCTATCTTGGCATTGATGAAGCTAAATATGTAAACGAACGGCAACGCGTTCACCGCGAATATCGCAAATAGAAATATCAGTAATGCTGCAAAAGAGAATCGAAATTAACAGACCGAGAATTTACGAAGAGGACGAAGAAGCAATAAATTCGTCATACATATTTCGTAAAATCCATAAACTCGAAGCTCCAAAAAGTAGTCCATTGTTAGGAAACCAGCGATGATCAGAAACACGATAAGCAGATAAGTCAGAAAGTCGAAGAGGAACATTGTCGTCCAGTATGCTAAGCCAGAGACGCCGGTCATCCTCTGCAATTGTTTGACACCCTTGGACGACTCGCGCAAAGGGTGAACGACGAACAGAGCGAGGACCGAGCAGAATTGAAAGACGAACACCACGCTGGTCATGATCCCGTTTATCATCGTCACGTCCAAGTAAATCATGCTCGGTAGTTCCTGGCTGGACAGACTGATGGAATAGTCGTCGCCCAAGAGTTTCTTTAGGATGGTGTTCCAGATCAGGTTCACCGATATCGGTAAACTGAAGGTCGCCTTGTCCGAGTAGAACGCATTGGCCGAGCCAGTTTCATTGAACTCCGCTGCGGCAATCAAGTAGTTCTCGTAATGGGGGAGGTTCTTTTCGGCGTACTTGAGCATAGCTGCGGAGGAGCGTCGAGTTTTAGTTGAGTCGAATGTTCGCTAAATGTAAGTCACTTACCAGATGTTAAGCTAGATTTCGTAGCTTCCATCGCGTCACCTCCGAGACTTTCAGTGACGTTTCTGTATCGATCACCGGTGGTTTGGTCGTAACTCAAGTAATAAGTTTCCGGTTTGTTGTACATGTCGAGACTTATCGGCGTAATTTTCGGGTTCATTTGCGTCGAGACGCTGACTTGTTTCAAAATCAAAGAAATTGTTAGTAGAGCCATGGAGACCTGGAACACACGTGCATTTTTTTTCCTCAACTCGCATTTAAGTAAAAACATTTAATCAATGCTATGATTACCGTAAATAGTTTCAAGAGAATAATCGACATGTTCTTTCCGGTATAAGTCATTTTCTTAAGCAATAGCGCTCGTAAGTATTGGAAAAATAAGGCGTGATTCGTCAGCTTTTCACGATCGTTGGTGAGGGGTCTATGCGCCTTCACAGGACCAGCATTTTCTTGCGTAACTCTTTAATGAAAAAGAACGTACATTGTTACGCAACGATTGCACCTACAAGTTAGATCGCTTACTTCAAAAATACTTGTTCCAAACTTATAAGTGAGACGCTAAAACCAGACACTCTCAGCTCTTTCTTCTTGCTTTCCAGAATGTCCAACTGGTCCGGCAGTTCTGGAGAATACGGGATGCTCAAGACTACTTTGCTAGCGTCTTGGTTGACGAGGACGCCGTCGCAAGCGAAGGCAGCACAGATTTTCCGAGGATCACAGTCGGCTTCCACCGACAGAGTCACTTCCACGTTGCCTTGACCTGGGTAGAATGAGTGCCTTGAAGCGTAGACGCAAGCTTAGACGATCGCGATTTACCTATGAGCTTCTTCAAGAATAACGACGTTCCGTAGCTCCTCAATTGACCAGAATGCAGTATAGCAATTCTGTCGCCGAGAATGTCAGCCTCCTCCATGTCGTGGGTACTTATCACGATGGTTTTTTCGCCTCTCATTTTCTGCAAATGAAATTCGCGTCGCAATATTCTCACAGACGACCGCGCGCACTCACCAGCAGGATGTCCCAAATAACGCGTCGGCTCTCGGGGTCCAGGCCGGACGTCGGCTCGTCCAATATCAACGTCTGAAACACGCGCGGCAACTCACACGGTTATACTCGCGCGTCGGCAGTACGAACGAGGCGGGATCACTTACGCTGGAATCGCCGACGAGCGCCATGCCGAGGCAGAGCCGACGTTTCTGCCCGCCCGACAACTGCTTCGGCAAAGCGTGTCTCTTCTCGTAGAGCTTGAGCTTCCGGAGGAAGGCTTTGGCCTCTTCCTGCACGACGGACCGGGCCTTGTCTTTCCTCTTCAGCTGCAAAATCGATCAGCGAGAAAACTCAATTTCGCTTTCCACGCGGAATCTCAGAGGCGCGTACCTCCGCGAAAAATTCAATCTGCTCGATGACGGAGAGGCTCGGGAAGAGCATGTTCTCTTGGGTGCACAGACCCATGTCGTTCATGATTTCCTTCGAGTGCTTCGACATATCTTTCGAAGCGATCAGTACTGTACCGCCGCTCGGACTCATCATGCCTGCAAAAATAACGTTATCGGGTTCGCTGATAAGGCTTTTATTTTCATCGCTCGCTGCTATCACCTGTCAGTATCGACATCATGGTAGTTTTACCAGCTCCGTTGTGCCCCAACAAGGACGTTATTTGTCCTTTGTAAAAGTCAACCGAGATTCCCTTTAGCGCCTCAACTTTCTAAAAAGTGAGGCAGCGTTTACTTTTTCGTGAGATTCCAAGTAAACTCGAATGAAAAGCACCTCCTCTACCTCTCTATTAAGTAAGCCGATGTTGTAGGCCTTTCTTAAATTCCGAAGCTGAATTCCTGGCGTGTAAATCCCAGCGGGCGTGGGCTCGAAGGGCTTTCCGTGCATGCCATCGTAACTCAAATCTTCAAGTTTTTCGCCGTCCCACCTTTCTCTCGTCTACTTCGATTGCGAGCACAAAGCATTCGTTTGAAAATCGGCAACAGCCGACTACGTTTTAGCGCTTACCCTCAAGAAATATAGCGGGCTCTTGCGAACGCCGTACTTTCCCGGATTGATCTCGTTTACGTAAATCGCCAACGCGTAGTGCAAGATCATTCCTATCAGCCCCAATATCAGAATCATGCCTACGCTGCCTCCAATTTTGTAAGCCGCGTTGCCCGTCAAAAACACGTTGTGCCATTGAATGCCCTCGGCTGAAAGAGATCGCCGCTGACATTGACATTTAACGCGAAAGGTCAGTGAACATCCTCGAACCAACCTATCGTCTCGTAATAAGTGACCTCTTCCATTGCCTGATGCAACAAGAGGTTCGGCAGCAGGATCCCCACGTACGGCACCAAGTAGTAGCTGTCCTCCTTGAACGCGTAGACCTTCAGCACCATCGTCAAGATGTTGGCTATCAGGAGAACGAACATGACCAGCAGAGCTGCAACGCGCGTGAACGGTCAGTGAGCGTTTTCGGCGCGATCGCGGTCGTCTTCACCAACATCGCGAGCAGTAGGCCGCCACGTGCGCGCCGAAAGCAAGCAGCTGTCCGACGTACACGGTGAAGATGAGAAAGACTACGAGCGGGTTCCCGTAGTTTACGAACGCAAGGCCGTCTCCGAGCGGCATCACGAAGAACGCGAAAATCGGGAGCACGCAGAACACGCTGAGGAACAGCAGTCCGCTGATCAGCCAACTGAACAGATTGAGAGCGTTGGATATGCCGTTCATGCTCATGAGTACCTGTCGAGTGTAAAGAGCCGATGGATCGCGTTGTCGAACGGCCGAACGAACGCAGCCGAAACTTACGCCGGTACCGAGGAACTTCTCAGCCGTGGCCTTGGAAATCTCGACGAACTGCGGGAGGAAGAAGGCGGTCACCAGCAGCTTGTACATCACTTCCCGGAACAACGCGTCCCCGGCGTCGTACACGGTGTGCGGCGGGTACGGTACTCTCTGTATGGACATCTGCTAAAGCAACGCGCGTCAAGGGAACGCTGGAAAAGCCGGTCGCCGCGGGCGATAAACTCACTCGGGGAAGAAGGGTGCCGACGCCAGACTTGGTCCTCACGAAGGACTCGTCCACGCAAGTCTGCACCTGGGTGAAGGCGTGACTCCTGGTGTAGTAGCGAGTCATGTTCTGCACGGGTGGCGCTACGTTGTACAGAGCGCTCGCGCCCATGTAATTCCCGCGCAGCTTGTAGCGCAGTTTTCTCGTCGACTCGCCGAGCTCGTCGTCGAATATCACGGCCATGCCGCTCGTGTACTGCACGTGCTTGTAGTAATGGGCGACCAACTCCTCCTCGGTTCTGAATCCCCGAACGTCTGTCGAGCGGAAACGGCGGTTAGAGTCGGCGCTCATTGCCCGAGCCCGCCGTGGGCTACTCACTGGATTTCTGCTCGAAGCACTTGTCGACACTCTTCATCAGATCGTTCACGAAGCTGCTGTTCGGTGCGTAGAAGATGTTAACGTTGGACAGCTGGTCGATCAGCTCGCTCAGAGGTTGCATTCTGTAGCGCGACTCGGTGCTGATGCGCGTCGGGGGTCTCGCCGACAAACCCCTCAGAGCCCACGCGCACGCGATTATACCGACGGGCAGCATGATTTCGGCTATCAAGCTCATCAGCCATTGCCTTTTACGCACCAGCCAGTTTTTGTGCAGCAGCAGTCCTAAGATTCTCAGCGTTTCGACCATTTTGTCCGGACACGGTGGTGCTTTTCAATTGGTATTCCGAGGAACAGTTAACGACCGAAAATGTAATTCGAATGAACCACTCGTACCGATGGTCTTTCATAAGACGAGCGAGCTGTCAATTGGGTAACAATCGCCAATCGAAGTCGCAGATCAAACTATCTTTCTCCTTCCACGTATACTCTATACAGCAAAATTACAAAATTAAATGTCCAAAAATCCACGGAAAGTCGTCGAAGCAGGACGAACTTACGCGACCACATCCGAGATACCGCGACTAGACTACTCGTATGTCGATTGAAAACTTGCCGCTGACTAATATACGTTACGAACTTAACCACCAGATTATCCACGCACACAGCTGAATAAGCCTGATAAACGAACTGATCAGCACTGATAATAATCTGTAGAGGGCGACGTCGTCGCCGTTCTTTTCTGAACTTCGCTTTCGTCTTCCGTATTTCAATTAACAAGCTGTTCTACGAATGAGTTACACCACGCGATATCATTAAGAAAATAATTATTGTTAGAATGCGCGAGAACGTGAATTGGTTTGATGTTAGCGTTTGGTGAATGAGTGATCGACAAGGTTTTAGAATCTAACATTGACTGATAATCGATCTTGTTTGATAAGAAGTCGATTTTAACGGATAAGCTGCAGCACTCATAATGTGGCGAAGAACATTGCGCTATAACTATGACAAGGTTTTCCGCGAAATCGTTTTCGATCAACAATTTCACTAAAAAATTCCATTACTCTCATGCATTCCACGTGAAATAGTTGTTCTTGAAATAGCAATAGTAATAATCACGAGACGTTTACTAATTCTTTTTTATCTACGATCTAAAAATGATTCTCGATTCAATGCTTTATCACAAATAAAATTACACATAACTATAAATACATGTGCTTATATCTCAACGGCTTATACACGTAAATGATTGCTTGATTAACAATTTTAATCTCAACCTTCAATCTAAATGTACTCTAACTCTGGGCGGGTCGATTCAAGGTTTGCTTGATCATGAGTAGGGCTGCTACCAGTAGTTATCGCGAATAATAAAAAGCTTGTAAAATAATTAGCCAACGAATGCGTTTCGTAATGAGTGGGAATCATAGTGAATTTTTTCTGAAGCTTCGCTAAATGAGCTTCTCGCTGAGCAAATTAGCACATATATTCAGGTTTTACTTTTGCGTATTTATAGATGTTTCGCTGTTCGATTAATTGATACTGGCTTTCATCTTTCATTGAATGTGTAAATAAAAGTAAGAAAAATCATGTAAGTGGATATTTTTTACAATGTGAAAGCAGGTTAAACGGTTAATTATTAAAAAATACTATATTGATGATTTTTATATTTACAATGACGATATGAAATGTCACATCAACTAAAAAATTACATTTTTCTTTTGACCCACGATATACATTGATTATTTGCTACCTCCTGAAGTTAAAGTTATAAAACAATAGAGAAGATCGGAAAAAAATGTTCACTGATGAGATTGATCAATCAATTCAAAAGAAAACTATTAATGATTTTTAAAAATACCGGTAAAAAATAAGAAAACTTATAGGTAATTTAATTCTGGTAATTAAATAAATAGAATTACCTACACGCAAAAACTATTAAAAATCACGAAATTTTAATACTCTGCGCTACAGTCATTTAGATACTGTCAAATTGCTGTTGGCTGTTTTGTTCTCGCGAACAGTAAAAACAATTGTTCCAATGACGACGAAAGCACTAAAAAGTCATCGAGGCAGTCGTACTTCCTTTTCATTTCGTTCATCGCATTGTACATTAATCTCCAAGTTGTGCCGGTAGGCGCAACGTGATACGTGAGATTACCCTGAAATACCATTCGAGTTTGTAATCTTCGGATGAGTGAGACTAAAATTGGAATAATCGATATCGACTTTACCAAGTTTTCATCAGTGAGTACGCAATTTAGCACGCGAGGTATTCCACTTTTAATACTGTCCAGTTGCGTCTTCGCTTTCTCTAAGTTTAGCTTGATTTGTATGTCGTAACCGGCTCCAAATCGCTGCTTCAATTGTTCAGATGGACCGATACACACTAATTTACCGTCTACCATGATGGCTAACCTATTACACAACACCTCGCACTCCTCCATGCTAAAACTCATATTAAATGGTTATGTTCTTAAGTGGTTAAGCGCCACGTATTCGAAAAGTTAACCTGGGCGAAGTCAGTACGACGGCTTGTCCAGCCGTCTGACAAGACTTGATGACGTTCCAGAGCGATCGTCTCGCTCCTGGATCGATGCCCGTCGTCGGCTCATCCATAAGAATCAGATCGGGGCTACCGATCAAGGCGATGGCTATGTTCAGTCGTCGCTTATTACCACCGCTGTACGTAGCACTCGGTTGCGAAGCGCAAGCAGTCAGATCTGTCAAAGTCACCACTTCAGGCGTAGAACAATTGAAAACACAGACAATTCACTCACTCAGTTTTTCGATCCACGCGTCAACTTCGTTCTCGACTCGGTCCTCGGGAATACCGCGTAGTCGCGCGAACAGTCGCAAGTGGTCATACGAATTCAAACATTTCAGGATGGCGTCGTGTTGAGGACAATAACCCATTTGCGATAAAAACTAAAATTTTTCATCAGCCAATCATACGAGATGACAAGAAAGAAAGCTTTTTTTGTACTTAGTGAAAGCTTACGTATTTTTTGTTATTTACGAAGCTTTTATCTCTCATATACATCTCCCCGTGATCAGGTACTTTTTCACCAGTCAGCATCCTAAAAGTCGTGCTTTTCCCTGCTCCGTTGACACCGAGCAGTCCGAAGCATTCGCGACGGTTGACGCTAAAACTAACATCCTTCACTGCCCTCAAGTTTCCGTAACTCTTTCGTAATTCGTACACCATAAAGACTCGATCGCTGTTCGACGAATCTTCACTATTGGAGTTTCTGCCTTTGATAATGTTATCGGTATTAGCGTAGCTCATTTCTTTTGAAAATAATGTATTCGTTGTAATAAATCTACGTTTATTTTCAATGAAAGAACACTCACTTCCTTGTAAATCTATAATCTTCTGCGCGATCATCAGCTTTTCACGCTGCACTTGTTCATCTGCGCTGAATTCCATCGTAAAATGCCTCGTGAATTTGGCCTTAATCGCCTGAATCAATCCATTTTCCAATAAAGCAAGAATACCAAAGAAGATAATTGGCATCACGCAGAGGTAAACGATACTATCTATCGAGGAAATACTCAATTCGGAATGATCGAAGAAGTTTTTGTAGTGTTTACAGGTTCCGTTGTAACATCTCATATCTAAAAATCAACAATGGACGTTTATTAAAATTTTCTCGTTGATAATTATGTCGTCGGCTGCTTACTCCAACATACGTCGTACACTGGACGCGTATCGTAGAATTGGTTGGGCAATAATTTGCACCTCGCGTTGATCTGTGCCACCATCTGAAGTATAATCTGAGTGTGCAAGAAACTCTCGTGCGGTAACAAGAGAAATATTCTCTTTTGAAACAAACGTAATATTTGTGTTGTATTATCATATTCGAACAAGTAGGCCACCAGGAACATCATCAAGTCGAACGCCACTGAAAGTGAAAATGTTCACGTGGAATTGGTGACGCACAATAACAAAGGTTACTATCTGGAGGATTTTAAACAAACCAATGCCTAGCGGTAGATAAGACAACAGTCTGACGATCGTATAAGCTTTCGTTTTGACGAAACTGAAGATGTAAATTAATGGCAATGCATTAATGGCAAATAAAACGAACAGCAGTAGCATAATCCCTGTAAATTCAAGCATCATTGCGATTCACTATCAATTCGCAAAAGTTTGATAAAGAAAGATTCTTACCAATTTCATGGCTGCCATAAAGTTTGAGACCGAGAGAACTATCCACGAGTATAAAGCCAATAATTGTAATAACAGCTAGAAATACAAAGACTATCATATCAAACAAGAACATAGTTCCCCAGTAAGCCAAACCGGAAATGCCCGTCATCTTCTGCAACTGCTTGATGCCTGTATACGCCTCGCGGGTCGGATGAATGATGAACATGGCAACTACATAGTAAAGGAATAACGCGAGTATTATGGCCGTACCGAAACCATAGACATACGTATAGATAGCACTAAAGCCATTCTCTATCGGTAAATTTTGGGCAGAGACGGTAATGGAATACTCGGAGCCTAGCATACTCCTGATGATGGTATTCCAAACCAAATTGATAGATATTAGCAAACTGAGTGTGGCTTTTTCCGAGTAGAAGGCATTGGCAATCGAACCGTTTGTAGTGTTGATGAATTCAGCTCCAGCGAGTATGTAGTTATCGTAACTGTTGATATCTTTTTTGGCACGATTTAGAAGTTCTAAAACGGTATTAAGCAAATGGTCAATTGAATATCGTTTGAGATATACGAGCGAAGCAAATTAATTTTCTTACCATTGTCAAGGCTCGTCTCGCTGATTTTGATGACGTCTCCACCATCGTTTTTACCGATGTTTTCAAAGTGATCACCAATGGTCTTGTCGTAAGTCGTGTAAAGCACTATTGGATTGTGATATTTGCCAAGAGTCATACGAATCTCCTCTTCCCAGGTGTCTCTTAATAATGTGCTCGCTTTCAGAACAACGGAGATAATTAATATCGCTACTATTACCTAGACAAATATTTTTTAACATCAAGTTTTTTCTTTTCACTCATTTGTGAACGACTCTTTAATCGATTACCGTGAATATTTTTATCATAATTGTTGAGTAATCTTTCAGAGCGTACGTGAGCTTTTTGGCAAAAAGTGCTCTTATGGATTGCACGTGCATTGCAATACCTGTCAACTTTATTTCATTGCTGGCGATAACTTGACGTGGCTTTGTTGGGCCATCGTGCTCCTGCGTCATCCTGTTGGCGAGGAAAATAAATAAAATTTGCCCAAAATTAATTTAGAATAGTGAGAATGAAGGGAGACACACTTGATGAAGACTTGTTCCAGACTAATGAGCGAAACACTGAATCCCGATACGCCAAGGCTCTTTTTTTTCTCTTCCAAATTGTCCAAGCTGTCTGGCAATGACGGCGAGTTAGGAATACTGACAACCATCTTACTAGCTTCTTGACTGGTGATAATCCCTTCTGGATGTAGCTCCCAACAGATTCTCTTTGGATCGCTTTCTGGCTCGATCGACAAAGTAACCTCGACGTTGTTTTGACCTACCATACGTGTACATTTTCATTAGCAAACTTTGTGGAATCACGCAGAAGTAAATCGCTTTACCTATCATTTTTTTCAAGAACAGCGAACTTCCATAACTCCTTAGTTGGCCTGCATGCATTATCGCAATTTTGTCTCCAAGAATGTCAGCCTCTTCCATATCGTGCGTGCTGATCACTATGGTTTTTTCGCCTTTCATTTTCTGTAAACATAAATCAAGTGCTGACGTGAGTCGGCACGCAGTTAAGTTTTGTTACTTACAAGTAAAATGTCCCAAATGACTCGTTTGCTTTCGGGATCCAATCCCGACGTCGGCTCGTCCAATATCAAAGTCTAGAAAATGACGAAAGTTAATAAATTTTACTGCATAACCATTCACGCACGAAGTGACATACTTACGCTTGAATCACCTATAAGTGCCATGCCAAGACACAATCTACGCTTCTGACCTCCGGATAAAGTACTCGGCAAAGCATTTTTCTTATCGAACAATCGAAGCCTCAGCAAAAGATTTTGGACATCGTGCCAAATCTCAGACCTCGTTTTGTCCTTTCTTTTCACCTACGCAATTTTCCTGTCAGCTATAGGCTTCAGTTTGATAATCGATATACTCACCATTGCGAAAAATGTCATTTGTTCCGCGACTGTGAGACTTGCGAAGTACATATCTACTTGCGGACAGAGTCCCATATCGTTCATTATTTCAGAAGCATTGTCCTTCAAATTTTTCCCGTTGACGAGTACTAATCCATCGGTAGGGCCTATCATACCTGCAAACAGCCGAGCCGATTATCAAGCGAACGAGATGCAAATTGTGCAATGACTTTACCGGTCATGATGGACATCATCGTGGTCTTTCCCGCTCCGTTGTGTCCCAGCAGCGAGGTGATTTGCCCTTTGTAAAAGTCGACCGAGACGCCTCGCAGCGCGTCGACTTTCTGCAATCGAAGCTCGAGTTTGAGTTGGCTCTGACGTTAAAAAATTCGACTTACTTGTTGGCCGAAGAGGCCGATGTTGTAAGCCTTCTTTAAATTTCGAATCTGGATTCCCGGGCTGTAGGCGGTCTCGCGCGTGCGCTCGAAAGTCCCATCCAAGTAGCCGTACGCCAAGTCCTCCGCGCGCTGGTCAGCCTGGCCCTTGCGCTGATACTTGGAGCAAAAACGCGCGATCCGTTAAAAGACGAGCGGCGCGCCCGAATTCACGCGTCGCACTGGCCTACCGTCTCGAAGAAGAAGAAGAAGGGATGCCTTCCCACGCCGAATTTTCCAGGCTTGATCGCGTACACGTAGATCGCGAGGCCGAAGTGGAGAGCTGCTCCTATCGCGAAGAACAGCAAGATGATCCCCATGTAGCCGGCGCACCCGGTCGCTGGATTCGCGCTCGCGAACAGGTTGCTCCACTGGACGCCCCTCGCTGCAACATTACGAACTCGGTCCTCGGAAAGTCGGATCGCCGCGAGCAGCGGGATTAAACGAACCTGTGCCTTCGTAATCGCGGATTTCTTGCACCGCCTGGTACAGCAGAATATTAGGAAAGACGATGCCAGCGTAAGGCGCGAGGTAAAGATTATTTTCTTTGAATACGAATATCGCCAGAACGATCGGTACTATGCTGAGCGCCATGATGACAAAGGTCACGAGTATAGCTAGAAAATAACCAGTGGTCAATCGGCCGTTGTCTCTCAGCCGAGCTTCACTCTGGTCCCCTTACCTTTGGTAAAATATGCCGACAAGTGCATTCCGAAGGCCAGCATGTCGACCACGTACAGAAAGAGAGTCAGAAACAGAATGAGCGGATTACCGTACTTCACGAAAGGCATGCCTTCTCCGGACGACGAGATCAGCAGCGCTACGGTCGGTATGACGCAGAACACAGTCAGCAATACGAGTCCGCTGACTATCCAGCTGAGCAGATTCGAGCTATTGGAAATGCCGTTCATCGACATCAGAACCTGTGCAAATACGTAAGGGTTGTCTTTCGACTGCCGCGCAAGACGACAACTGTTGTACGCCAATTACGCATCATCGATACGGCTCCGCTTGTTTCGAATGCTCTCTCTCTCTCTCTCTCTCTCTCTCTCTCTCTCTCTCTCTCTCTCGCTAAGTTTTAAGCGCGCGCGCGCACTCAATTTTTCGATGGTATCGTTAACTTACAAGTTTTTGAAATCTAATAAGAAACAAAAAATAATGAAACAGCCGAAGCCCCGTGAGGCTCGAAGGAAGCTGTCGGGGAACATACACTTACACTATTTACGTAAGGCGATACCAATTATCCACTCTTACTTGCGATCTCTCGGTACTTCGTAGGAAGAGTCTACCCGTAATAACTGTTAGGTTACGATCTCGCTTAATATACTTACGTTCATGCCGACGAACTTTTCGTTCGTGGCTCTGGCAGTCTCGACGAAAAGTGGAAACATCAGAGCGACAACCAAGAAAATTACGTACATCAATCTGAAGCTGTCTTCGATGGGATTGGGCAGAACGTGTGCTGGATATGGCATTCGCTGTACGTACATCTAGGTCGAAAAAAAGAGGATAATTAGTTACTCACGCGGAGTTTCGGGCAATTCGGGCTTTACGGACACTTACTTCAGAGATTGTTTTGTCGCTTTTGGCTTTGACGAACGACTTGTCTAGACAAATTTGCAATTGGGCAAGCGGTCGATTTGAAATATAATTGAAATAAGTCATGTTCTCGTATTTATTGTACAAATCGCCGCTCAGGAGTCTAAAACTTCTGTACGTGTAACGCAATTGTTTGGTTGAAAAGTCGGTCGACTCGTCGAATATCACGACTACGCCATTAAAGCCCAGTGCTTTAACAGTGTCGTTGACCGCGTCGGCTTCCGATTGGTATCCTTTGATTCCTGTGAAAAAGTTCAGGTTGAATGTGAGAACGAGTGACGCTTAAAATTTAGCTGGCTCGTCGTATTTGCAACGGACGATCACCGACCAAACCTGTCTTCCGAGCAGCGATTCACTTCCATCATCAACTGGTTGACGAACGTGTTGTTCGGTGTGTAAGCTAATTTTATACTATCGCCAAAAACTTGAAGAAGCTGACGAAGCGAGTACTTTTGGTAGTGCGTGTCCGAGTTGACGACCACGGGCGCTTCGAAGGCGTTGCCTAGCAGCCCCCAAGGGCAAAGGATCAAGCCTATCGGTATCAGAATCTCGACGAGCAGAGTGCCCAGCCAATGTCTTTTGCGCACTAGCCAGCATTTATACAGTAGTATCCACAAAATTCTCAAGGACTCCATCGTGCCCGTAAAACAAATGTTTGCAACGGGATCTTTGGTGTCTTGATTGCGACAGTCGACGACACGGCGTTCGTAAATAGGTAATCGTAACTCGGACGAGTATTAAGAATTACGATATGGCGAAGCGTTCAAATCATTAGCCAGAAATAGAGACTGACCAAAACGAACAAGCGACTACGGCGGATATCTCGACTGATACCGCCCAGCTCGTGTAGCGATTGAACGATCAGTCCGATACTACTATAAGATTTCGTTTCTATCGGCAGGTGATGCGATAACAGGCCAGATAACAAGCCTAGTTTAAAGCTTTACGTCATCTCCGATAAAGCGCAAACCGCGACCCTTGGAATGTCAAACCTTGCCTGGTGTTTCTTTTTGTTGCGCAACGGACCGGGCCGCTTCCCGCTGCGACTCTCGCGCCTCCTCCGCGGTGGCGCGCGCACGAGGCCTCGCCGCCGAATCATCCAGCGCGGTCCGATCCCCCGCCGATGACTTTGCCGTTGCGCAAGCCGCGCGGATCTTCCTCTTGATCGTCGTCGTCGTCGCCGCCACGCTGCGCGCGTGGGAATCGAACGCGACTCGCGGCCGCGGCTCGGTCGATCCGCAAGCTCGCGCGAACGCGCGCGGCAATTAGCCGCGGCGCGTCGGCCGATATTTCATTCTCCGGGCGGAGCGCCCGCCAACCGAATAACACACGACCGCGAGAGCGTGCATCTGCCGACGGCCGGAGCGATCATCGAGGATCGGAGCGCGCGATTTTACATAACGCACACGATCGGCTCGCCATGATCGACAGCACTTTCGCCGATCGACGGAGCGCCGTCGAGGGATCGGCGCGGGAATGCCGTTACGAATGTGCGCGCATGCAAATCCCGCGCGTGCGGCCGCGCTATAATCAACGCTCGCGCCGACGCTCGTACGGTCGCCGTCTCATCCGCGCTGCCAGCGACGGGAGCGACGCCGGGACCTCGTGTGCGGCTGCGACGATCGCCTCCCCCTCGGAATGTAACGAAATCGATTAACGCGCGCGCGCAATAGTTGATTGATTTCTGGTAGGCGGGGTCCGGGGGGGGGGGGGGGGGGGGGGGGAGCGAAAACCGATCGGCCGCCATGAATCTCGACGAGTTTAGCGCCTGCACATTTTTCCACCCACTTTGTTCGCGGCATTAATGCGCACGATAAATCTGGCGCTGAGCAAAGAGAAAAGAAGAAACGAAAAAAAGAAACAAATAAGGAGAAACACCTCGCGCTCTCGCGGGTATTCCACGAGAGATACGAAGCTTGAGAAACACACGGAAGATCGACGAGCATCACGACGCAGCAAGGCGCGACACATCTCCATTATTCTTCAGTGTTGCGCAAGTTTGCAACACATACCTAATTTTTCCCGAAACTTTTGCCGATTCTCTTTTTCTTCCTATTTCCCCCCCGGCCCCTCCGAGATGGAGGCGCGACGATTGATAAGCTAATCGTTGTGTCAAGAGCCTGAGATGTGCGTGCGTTTAGCGTTACGTAAGGCCGAGATATCACGAAGATGCATTTTCGCCAGATTACACGTGGCAAGCTTCCTGGAGGATATTACGGTCGGATTTTTCTTTTCGGGAATCGATTTTTGCGCAACGCAATGTTTATGATTGAATCAGTACTTTCCACACGGCAGAAAATTCGTTCTAAATAGTTTTTCCAAGAAAATAGTTTTTCTATGAACAATGTGCTATAATGATGGTTAATTACTGAAATTGAAAAACCTAAATAAGTTTTCTTGAAAAAGGAAAAGTAAGGAATAAAAGTTGTTAATAGTTTATTATCCAAAGAAACCTTAGCTTATTTATAACTTCAATTACGAACATGAAACGATTAAGAATGCAACGTTATTTATAAAGTGTGCAATATTAAAGTCGAAAGCCTTGACATTGTCACGTACAGGACCGAGTAAGAAAAGTCCGCCACAATTTTTTCGCAACACTTTTGTTTCCTCTCATTTTCAAAAGAACGATCCTGCGAATTGTCAGCGAGTAGCGGCAAAAAGCCTCGGAAGTGGAGGTCGGATGGACGAGGTCGAAGAGTTCATCGAGCGAATACTTTCCCAGTTCGGCTCAGGCGTAGATCGTCGCGCAGCGAGATGCGCAATGGCGCGAGACGCGCGCGCGCTACCAAACTGTCGCGCGCGTCATCGCACTCGCGTCGCAATCGTCGCGAGCAGATCGGTGAGCACAATGACGCAATTGCGCAAGCGCCGCCGCTCCGGGATGCGAATTTTTCGGGCGCGGGCGCGCTCGCCACCGCGGCAATGCGCTTCGCGAATTAACAAGCGACGGACGGACGGTGGCGCCGAGACAATGGCCGATTCTCTCCTCGTTTTGCGCAAGCGATTAATAAGGGCCCCACTTTTTTTTTTCTCGCTCGTTTTTTTCCTTTCCTTTTGCAATCTCAGTTTTTATCCGCTCTTCCTGCGAGATTGCCGAGAGCGAGACGCAATGCCGCGTGAATTTGCATGCGAGTGCAAGGCCGTCGGCGCGCGAGAGGGCTGCCTTTTCGAAACTGGCGTAGGCGCGCGCGGCGCGAAAATTGGATCCGCGGCTCACCTCGGGCGACACGCCGATAAACGCGTCGGGGCGCTCGCTTCGACCGGCGACTCCTCCGTCGGCGGATTTACGACTCGCTCGCGGCTGTAAATCACGGCCGCGCGCCGCGCGATCGACGTCCACGGCGACCGAGACGACGAGGCGCGGAGCCGACGCCGAGGCGACTGACGCTTCCGCGGCGCAGCATTGACACGCGCGCGCGCGCGCCTCTGCCGCGAGGTGCGTCGCCGCGCCGAAAAGAAACGACAGGATAGGAAAAAAAAAAGCAGCAGCCGCGGCGCGCGTTCTCACGGCGCGCGTTGAGCAACGCGATTATGTGACTTGGCGAATTATTAATCAGACCGATAAGCGCGTGTAATTGGTTGCGCAACGGGCGCCCAATCGGCCCGTGTGCGAAATTCGCACGTTATCGTCGCTCTGCCCGCAACGACGACGCGCAGGATCGTTGGGCCGCGTCGATCTTGCCAGCGTCCTCCGTAAAAGCGAGTACGCGAGAGAGAGAGAGAGAGGAGAATGCTAATCGGCCACGGGGAGTGCAACGAAACGGACGAATTTCCACAGCGAGCCGCTGCAACTCCCTGGCAATTTGCCGATCGTAAAACGCGAGGATGACACGCGCGTACGAGCCGTTTAAAAAATGCCCGAGAATAATTACGCGCGCGCGGCTTCCTCGGCTCGGCCGCGGACGAGAGTCGATGGGGTTATTCAACGCCGCGTAAAATTGGCTCGTCCTCGGCGCGCCGAGCGGCCGATCAATTTCTCTATAAGCTTTCTAAACGCCCGCCGAGCGATTTATCAACCCCGCCTCGCGACGGTTTTATTGCCGCGCGGCGCGCCGACGCGGGGATCGATTCGCCGTTGGGCAAGCGATTGTTGCCGGAGTGTATGCGCGGCCGCCTCCTACTGAGTTATGTCGCCGTTCGCGCGCACGACCTGCGCGTCCAAATCGGCCAAGGAGCGCTGATTACGCTCGGTCCCGTCCGGTGCGTCTCGACCGAGCAACGCGTGAGTTTGCCCTCCGCCGACGGGTCGTCCTCTCGAGTGTCAGGATTACTATCGTTCAAAATGGAACGCAATCGCGAGGCAGCATTACGAAAATGTTATACACCGTTCGCGCGGCACGAATAGTGAGAGAGAGAGAGAGGAAAAAATATAATAGCGTAATAAAGCGCATCACAATCTGCTGTACACGTTGTATGACTAATCGTAATTCTGCGCTGAGCACGTCTTTGTGCGCGCGTCTAGCCAACGTTGAAATAAACGAATCACGCGACGATAGGCGGCTGTACGAACTTTCGCGCGCAGGCCGAAACAATGAGAGTGTCGATCGCTGCACCGCACGCGTGTGTCGATCCAACAACATAATCCCTTTTGGCGGAGTCACGATCGTAACGCGGTTGCGACATTGGACGGGTAGTCGGTGCCGTCTCAATTTGGCCGAGGCCGAGGCGAGCACTGCGTGCCGCGCGCGACTCCCTCGGGAGGCGACGCGCCGGCAGGTGGAAGCGCGGCGAGCCACGACGAGGCAGGGCCGGGCGCGCGATAGTCATCTGGCGAGCGACGCCCGCTCCGAAACCCAATCGCGCCGAGCGAGAAACGTGAGCCGCGCGCATTTGCACATCAGCCCTCGGGAGTCGGCGGCCTCGCCTCCTTTCCCCGCCGACGGTAATTGCCGCGCGATAGAGGCGATCCCTCGCCGCGTCGGCTTATTGTTTGCCGATGCGATCTGCCGGGCGCGCGCGCTCATTGGATTGCGCAAGCGCGCGAGGCGCGAAACGAGCGCGCGCGGCGGGACGGCCCGCGATTACGCGCGCGCTCGCCCGACTCGCCCGTCTGCCGAGCGAGAGCTCTCGTTTGCGCGCGCGCGCGCCTCTCGCTCCCGATGCCTCCGTCTGGATTATGATCGCTGGGCGCGCCGCCCGACGCTCGCCACCGGCCGCGAGCGAGCGCCGTTCGCCGGGGCCGGGATGCGACTGCGGCCGGGCGAGGAGTTTCGGCGCGAGCACCTGCGCGGAGAGCTGGTGCGTGCGGAGGAAAGGAGGTCTCGCGAGCCGCCTTTTCGATCGTTTCTCAAGCGGCGCCGAACAAAAGCGTCTTGCAAAACTGGCGCAAGCAGCCGAACAGCCCCTCGCGCCGCGGCGCTTATTGGCATACGCGGCTCTCGACCGGGGGAGGGAAGCCCCCGCGGAGGTGAGAGGCCGCGTATAAAAGTCAGCGCGCTCGGCAGATCGCGCCGACAACGGCTCCGACGCGCTCGCGGAAGATCTCGCCGACCGAACGCCCAGCTGCTCTCCTCTCTCTCGCGCGCGCACCCACGATGAAACTGGTAGGACCTCTCTCTCTCTCTCTCTCTCTCTCTTTCTCTCGTTCTCTATCTTTCTCTCTCTTGAGCTTCGGCGGGCTGACGGTGTGCCAAGTGAAGTGCGAGTGCTTTCCGTGGCGGACGCGCGCCGCTGCCGATCTGCTCATCTCCGTAGCGAAAGATTACCGATGGTTGATCTTTCGATGGTCGCTCGTCTGTGTTTCAGCAAGTTGCAGCAGCGTTGCTGCTGTTGGCGTCGTTGCGTGTCGGCACGGCGGCGCGTCTCGACAACACCTATCTGCCACCGGGCAGCGCGACATCGGCCGGCGGAAGCGGCCTCCAGGCGCCCGGCCAAGGTTTCGGGGGTGCCGCTGGATTTGGTGAGATTCCTTCATTTAGACGCGCTTTTCGTCTCCTTTTATTGCTGCATGCGCATTCCGTTTGACGCCGTTGTACAAATGTCCTAGACGCAAGATGAGGCTTTCAGTACTCGAGAAAAGGACAGCTCTTTCTCCCGAAAGTTAGAGTAACATTGAGTAAAGCTCGCAGCGCTACTTTGGAGCATGTCAGTAATTTTTTTAAAAACTCTGATTGTTTTGCCCTAACGAACATTCCAGGCGGCAACGCCGGTGGCTTCGGCGGCCGACCAGGCGGTTTCGGCGGCGGTGGTGCGCCAGGGGGTGGTTTCGGCGGTAGACCTGGAGGCTTCGGCGGCGGAGGCGGCAACTTCGGAAGCGGCGGCGGCGGTGGTGGAGGCGGCGGACCGCAAATCCCGATCACTCAGTTCAACGCGGAAAACAACGGCGACGGCAACTACAGATACAACTACGAGACTGGCAATGGGATCAGCGTGCAGGAGCAGGGATCGGCTCAAGGTCAGATACGGTCACACATCCTTTGTCGCTGTTCGGTATCGAACTTCCATCTTCTGTTCCGATGATCCCGTCGAGCCTCGTTTTCCTTTTCGATTGTTCAGCAACGTAACGAGCGAGCCACAGTCGCGTGCGCGTGGCGGTAATTAACACGTTTCTCGCATCGATTATCACGTTCTAACGCTACTGCAGGCAACGGCGAAGCGGTGAGCGGTTCGTACAGCTACACGGGCCCCGACGGCCAGACTTATAGCATCAGCTACACAGCCGATGAAACGGGCTTCCACGCCCAGGGCGCCCACATACCCACACCGCCGCCCATCCCACCGGAGATCCAACGGGGCATCGAACTGTCTCTGGCGGCCGAGGCGAGGGGTGAGAACCAGGATGGTAGTTACAAGGGCGAAGGTGCCGCTGGAGGTCAGTTTTTCGCACGACTATGTCCATTGCCAAACAAATCCCCTTTCGATTGAAAGCGTTGGCCTTTCCAACAATCATACCCCGTAGCGCGCTCTTGGCCAATCTCGCAACGATGCTAATTCAAGCAAGCGAGCATTTTCAAAATTGTCTATGAAATTTAAGGCGGCTACCGCGGTGGTAGCGGCGGCGGCGGCGGCTACCAAGGCGGTGCTGGTGCTGGTGGTTACCAAGGTGGCGGCGGCGGCGGCGGCAGCGGCGGCGGCGGCGGCAGTGGAGGTGGCTATCAAAGCTCACAGGGTGGATACAGATACTAGACGCAGTCGCCGACTCGGGAACGGTACCTCGACGAGCCGCCACTCAACCTTGAACGCCCTATTATTTACTGTAAATACTTGAAGCCTCGACTGGCGCACAACACAATTTTAACGATATTTAATCAATGTATTATCGGTTACTGGAGAGCGTTGTGATAATATGTAAGTATATATACATTTTTATATGGATTGAATAAATACTACTTTATCATACGATTGATTTTGTTTTTTTCTGGTCGAGGTGTCCTAGAGAAAATCGGTAGTTTTCAGGATGCATTTTTATTACAATAAGCATCTCCATTGTTTCAATATACATGCAACATCGAATCGACATAGATAAACTGTAGGTTACGATGATAAATCGTACCAAAAAAAAACAAGTATTCAAAGAAACATCATGGAGAATTATGACAAACTACGGAACAAATAAACGCGTAGTCTAGATGTATACTTAAATAGATGTTTGAAACGAATCAGAGATTCAAATTGCACGTACGTGAAACTTAAAGCTCATTATTTAAAATATATATGTACAGATTCGTATTGCGAGACGTAGTACAAAATTAACCATGTTTTTAAAAAAATATATCTAAAGTATACAAAGATTGATAACAACGTACTATATATAATACTTGCTCTTTCTCATCTTTTTTTCTTTAATTCGCTTTGACCTATCAGTGCAAGTTTGCTGCGCAAGTTCGATAAACTGCGAAAGTTTAGAAAAAAATCAGATCTTTCTGATAATTAATTAACAACGATACATTTAATATATTCGAATCAATTATAAATACTTATATAAATAAACAATCAACGCGGAAACCAAAATTTCTTTCTAACAATTTTTTAATACTCGATTTTTCCTAAGAGAAAAGAAAATAAATAAGTGAAACGTAATTGAACCTAAGCCAATACTTAACCAAATAATAATGGTTAACAAAATTTAAACTTATTATTCACTTTCCGTGTCGGCAGTTATACAAAATTTACGACTAATTAGAGTCGTATAATAATATGGATTTCAATAATGCAGCCTTATTATGTTTAACTCGAGAGCTTTGCTTCGAGTAGCGATTGAGATTCATCTTATAACACTAGCAGACTTTGCGTAGCTGCCTTATGAATACTGTTCAATAAAATAAACCAAAGCTTTATAAATTATTGTAAAGTGCATTAAGAAGTACTTGTATAATGTATATCATCGGCAGTTATTGATAAAATATTCTTATGTACAAAGTAAATTATTTTACTGTTTTTCTTTTCGTTAAAAACGACACGGTGAAAACTATTGAAAACTTATACTCTGCGATAACTTAAAAAATTACACTCACGTCTCTCTCAAAAATGTTAATACTATGATAAAAACTTAATTTCTAAGTATATTGCGCCACCCGATCCGAAAATATAAATACTGAAAAGGACGTTTTTGCAAAAACTAACAAATTTTCAAATAACTTTCACCATGTGTCTCTCCGTTAAACCTATTTTACGAATATATATGTAACGCACGTCATTTATAAAGACGTGCACATTGATTTTGATTATAACTCCTATAATATCACACGTAAAACTAGCCTTTCGAGCCTTTGGTTCTCGTAATATCGTCGTTGGTTTTAATATGTGAACATAAAAATTACTTGTAGGCCTTGCGATTTGATCGTTTAGCCGTACGAGCAAAAAGTAAGAAGAGCTGTTCCAAAGTCGACGACAACACGGAAAAATCGTCGATACAACTATAATTATTTTTCAGTTCGGACATCACGTCGTACATCTTTCTCCATGTGATTGATGCAGACGTGACATGGTACATAAGGAATCCCTGGAATAAACAAGTTCATTAATGTATTCGCAAAGTCGATCAAATTCTTCAACAAAAGTGTCCGTGTTTTACCGAATTCTCATCGACGAGTTCGCAATTGAGCGCCTTCTCAATATCTCTCTTAATGCGTTCCTTCTCAATCGATGACCTCTCAGGATTGAGCTTCATCTGGATATCATAGCCAGCACCGAATCTCTGCTTTAACTCTTGGCACGGTCCTATACACACCAACTGGCCGTTCACCATAATGACCAGTCTATTGCAAAGTGCTTCACACTCTTCCATACTAAAAATGGATATAAACATTACTTTTTATTTCACGGAATTTTTGATTTGATAAACAATGAGTCATACTCATTTTAAGTATATCTAACTCGAAAAAAATCTCGATCAGATTAATTTGGAACCAATCAAAATTATACCGTAGCTTACCTATGCGAAGTGAGAATGATAGCTTGTCCGGTTGACTGGCAGGATTGTATGATATTCCAGAGCGAGCGCCTTGCGGCGGGATCGACACCTGTCGTTGGTTCGTCAAGTAGCACCAGATTGGGATGGCCAATCAAAGCGATTGCTATATTCAGACGTCGCTTATTACCACCGCTATACGTACCACTCGGTTGCGATGCACAAACATTCAAATCTAAAATATTGTTTCACGATTTATTTAGCAATTTTGTTCACATGCAATGATTGCATTATTGATTATAGTGTATTTACGTAGCCTGTCGATCCATTTCTCAACCTCGATGTCGACTTGACACTCTGGAATGCCTCTAAGGCGAGCAAATAGTCGTAGGTGGTCGTAGGCGTTTAGGCATCTTATGATCGCATCGTTTTGCGGACAGTATCCCATTTGCGAGAGATACTGAAATTAAAAATAAAACATTTTTTTTCTGTTTAAGAACGAAGTTGACAATGAAAATATTCTAAAAACTCACGTATTTCTTGTTGCTGTTAAAATCTTTATCGCCTAAGTACATGACGCCATTGTTAGGAATAGCTTCACCGGTAATCATCTTGAAAATCGTACTTTTGCCAGCTCCATTAACACCCAAAAGTCCAAAACACTCGTGTTGTTTAACGCCAAAACTAATCTCTTCGACGGCTACTAATTTACCATAACGCTTGCTTAACTGATAAACGAGGAAGAGATAATTATTTGATGTGTCCCCACTGGACAATGCATTGCTCTCTTCGTTAGCATTTCCGTTTGATATTATAGGTTTTGCCTGCTTTTTCACGGGCTTCTTGTCGCCTGGAAACCAATACAACATTTCGTGCACTGCTGAAAAAATGGCATCCCAAAAAAAAGAGAAAGATACTACGTGAGTTGCATTACTTGCGGAGATATGTGACGTGTTTGGGAGTAGTGGTATAGTATTTTGTGCTATTTACAGGATGGTTATATATACAGAAATCATGCGAAAATTAGGGCACTATTTACAGAGAACTAATTTCGTGCGATAATTTCAAGGGATTTTTTAGCAGTTAACTAATAGACGTTTAGAAAAATTGTATTTACAAATTGAAAAGAAAAGTTGAACATTTTTTCGACAATGTTATGAGTATTATACTCACATAAAGCTACTATCTACAAGCAAACTAATTTTTTAACAATTTTTAGTCGAAAACACTTTCAACTTGTCTATACCACTAAAACAAAATCAATTATTACGCAAACTCACAGTGACTCTTTGCTTTGGCAATTTCGAAAGCAACGGAATGCTTCTCCTTCTTCACTTGTTCATCGCATGGATCCTCGAGTAAATTGTACTTTCCATTACGTATCCTTGCCAACATTAAAGGAATGACTTTGTATTCTAGCATAGCGAGAATACCAAAGTAGAGAATTGGCGAGATACACAAGTATATTATGCTCTCTTCGAGTGATATATCGTCATTGAAATCGCGGAAGTAGCTTAAGCTTTTCTCGCATTTACCGTCGAAGCATTCTAAACCTGAGATTAATAAAAATTAAATTGAGATTGGCGAAATATCACTTAAATAGCGCTTGCAATCCATAATCTTACCACAACAAACATCTTTCGTTAGACAGGCAACCTCGTGAAGTAAATTGGGTAGCCTTCGACAGCGAGCATTCTGTGTCGCTGTGGTGAAAAAAGAAATTTCGCTGTGGAAAAAGCTGAGGTACGGTAAAAACAGGAATATGCCTTTCTGAATCGTACGGAATACTTTGATGGTCTTGATGTTGTTGAGCGACAACGAGATCACATGCATTATCAACTCGACTGAGACTGCAAAGAAATAAGTAGATGTCGATAAAAAGTTGAAAGAAAAATAAGCTTCGTAGAATTTACCTAGGCCAAAAGGCAATAAACTCAGCAATGTTATGACGGTGCTTATGGACTTTTTGAGAAAACTGAATGCGTACATCAGTGGCAATACGTTGACCGCAAATAATACAAGTATCAAGACTGTTATACCTGAAATCATACTCGTATTAGCAAAACATTTTGAATAAAAAACAATTGAGTCTCACAAAACATACCTATTTCCGTGTTCTCGTAAAGTCTCAAGTCGATAATGCAATCCATGCAGATAAACCCAATTACAATGAAGCAAATGCCAATGAGAAATACGAGAAAGTCCAACAAAAACATTGTACCCCAGTATGTAAAATACGAAACACCAGTCATCGTTTGCAGCTGTTTGACATTCGACAAAGATTCCCTGAGTGGATGTATGACGAACAACGCAACAGCAGGGAAAAAGAAAAACACAAACAATAACACCGAGGCATATACATCAACATTCTTATCGGAATTCATAGACGAGTGTAGGGAGTGAGGAAGTTGATGTCCGGATATGCTAATAGAGTGATCTTCACCAGCCAGTGTCTTGAGAATCGAATTGGACATCAAGTTGATGGAGATTGGTATACTGAACGTCGCGTAACCAGAATAAAATGCATTTGCTATTGTATCGTTGCCTGTTATGTTGAATTCTGCTGCAGCAATCAGGTGATTACGGTATGTTGCTATATCCGTTATCCCAAGTTCTAACATTGCTGTAAGTGTGGAAAAACATAGATTTTGGTTATTCATAATGGTATACGTGATACCGAGGAATTTTTGATTGAAGATTCGTGTGTCGAGCGATCTTTTGTGTGTTAATTTTCCGCGTGTACGTGGAAGTTGCGCAAGCGACGTGAAGAGAGAGAATGATGAATGATTTCTTTCGCATTTGCGGCCGCACACTCAAATTCTAACAAACGCAAGATTAGAAGGAAAAGACAAAAGATAAGTATGACGTCATAGTTCCGCCGTAGAATATGAATGAAATTCAGGTATTTACTTTTCTACTCTAGACGAGAGCAATCAAAAAGGCGTATTTCATTATTACCATCAGTGAGAGACGATGGACCAGTGACTTCAGTTGGTTTTCCAGCATATTCGTTAGTAGCTAATTGATATGCTCGACTAATAACGTTATTATCGCTTTTCACATAAGTCTCAGGTTCGTTATACATGCTGAGTTTCAGCGGAATCATTATCGTCGTGTCATTTGACATGTTGTAATCCATTGTCATGAACATTATGCTTATTATTGGTAATAGAATCTATTAAAATAAATAATTTCGTTTAATAAAAGTAAATATTATCGAGGTATTAATTTATACTTACGATAAGACTAATTGTTGCAATATTTTTCCTCATATACGTAACTTTTTTCTTCAGTAGTGCACAAATAGAATGGAAGATCAAAGAAGAACCAGTTAATTTCATTGTAGAATCCAAGAAAGGCTGACAAGCATCTGTTACATCCTGATTATCTTTTGTTACCCTATATGAGAATAAAATATTACATAAAGTAGAATTTAAAAAAGTGCTTGCACAAAATGCTAGAAATAAAGCAGAAAAATTAATAGGAAAATTGAATAATTAAGTGCTATTACACATTCCAAATCTAAAACTAGAAGTACAAGAGAAACATTTTAACTATCTCAAACCATGAGATGAGATACGGTAAAATCAAAATAAAAAAAAAATAAACGTATGCACAACCTCTCGAGGAATTTGTAGTAATTGATTGAACGTACTTTAGAAATACTTGTTCCAGAGTTATTAAAGAAACACTCATGCCGGTAATACCAAGTTCTTTTTTTTTCATTTCCATTCTGTCTAACGAGTCTGGTAATTCTGGTGTATATGGAATACTCAGTACTATCTTGCCACCGTCGACGTTCAATATCTGACTTCTTGTATCCAATTCATTGCAAATTCGTTGTGGATCACAAGTTGATTCCGTTGATAATGTTACTTCAATGTTTCCTTGACCTAATAATTTCTTCAAGAACATCGATGTTCCATAGCTTTTCAATCGTCCCATATGAACTATCGCAATTCTATCTCCTAATATGTCAGCTTCTTCCATATCATGCGTACTTATCAGAATAGTCTTTTGCCCTCTCATTTTCTATTAAAAGAATATATTCATTAAAAATTGATGAATCTCCGATGGCTTAAAAATTAATAGCTGTCAATACTTACTAATATTATATCCCACGTATCACGCCTACTTTCGGGATCCATACCGGAAGTTGGCTCGTCCAATATCAAAGTCTGACAATTAGAAATTAATTATTGTCACGAATGACGATCAAACTAAAAAATTCCATTTATGATACTCACAGATGAATCACCGATAACAGCCATTCCGAGACAAACTCGCCTCTTTTGTCCACCAGACAACTCATGCGGTAATGTGTTGCGTTTATCAAAGAGATTTAGTTTTTGCAATAATGCATTCACGTCTTTCTTTATCACAGTGTTCTTCTTATCTTTACCCTTCAACTAAAAATCCAAAATTCTTTCGTTATATTTTCCATTACAGTTTAAAATGCAAAATAATAACTGTAACAATTACCATTGCAAAAAATTCAATTTGTTCTGCTACAGAAAGAGTCGGAAACAACATATCTTCTTGAGGACATAGACCGATATCGTTCATTATAGAACTCGATTCATCCTTGACATCTCTTCCGTTGATATATACTGAGCCATTATTAGGACTTATCATGCCTGCAAAAATAGACGAGTTCTATAATGATGAACATTCTAAAATGTGAAATAAAATTTTAAAACTAAATTCACCAGTAAGAATCGACATCAATGTAGTTTTGCCAGCTCCATTGTGCCCCAATAACGCAGTGATATGCCCTTTGTAAAAATCGACTGATATGCCTCTTAGCGCTTGCACTTTCTGCAATTATAAATAAAAACAATCCGTTAATCCTCGGTGTTTCTTGAAATAAAATTATTCAAATAATTTTAATTTTACCTTTGAGCTAAACCAATGAGTACGATATTCTTTTTTCAAACTTCTTATTTGAATACCCGGAACATAAACGCTCCTTGGTACAGCCTCGAATGGTTTACCATCCGCATTATTACATTCATAATCTTCCATTTCATCATCTGAATTCACCCTATTTTTTCCTCTACCAAACTAAAAATAAAAATATTTTTATTTTTCATCCTTTAATAAAATACACACATCAAATGTCTTGTAAATATATTTTTACCTTTAAGAAAAAAAACGGATGTTTTTTAACGCCATATTTTCCCGGTTTTATCGCGTAAATATATACAGTCATCAGGAAGTGGTAAAAAGTTCCGATTATGGAAAAAATCATTATCATTCCCAGACTTCCGGCGGTTTTGTACGCAGGATCGCCGACTGAAAACAAGTTACTCCACTGTACACCCCTCACTGAAATAAAAAAATATTTAATCTTATCATATACGATAAAAAACGACAGTCGTTCATCGTTGACAGTATAACAGTGTTATGCTTACGCATGCTTTCGTAGCTGTTAACTTCTTGAAAAGCTCGAAACAACAGAATATTAGGAAAAAATATTCCTAGATACGGCACGAAAGAGTAAAAATCACCCTTGATACTGTATTTTTGTATCATGCTCGAGCCTCCGTAAAGTGCGAGAATTCCAGAGATCATGAACAGAGCTGTAAGGAAATATATACAGTAATTTGTTTATCAACAATGTTAATCATTATCTGATGTTGCATTAATATACCAACGTTCAACGATTGACATTAACGACAGATAAAAATAAGGCGTTAGTCAAAACAACGTTCAGCTTTTCTATTAAGATAATACTCACATTTCGAAAAATACGCGGAAATGTGCATGCCAAAGGTAATCAAATGTCCGACGTGTAAAATGAGCACAAGCCAGAAGATGAAACTGTTGCCAAAGTACAAATATGGACGCACGTTGTCCGTAAAGGCGAAATTGAAGAGGATTATAAGTGCTGACACATAGGATAAACTGAATATCAATCCACTGATCAGCCAACTAAGCAAATTCAGATACGTTGGTACACCGTTCATTGACATCAACACCTACAATACAGCACAATTTCTTTTTTAATTTTAGAATTATTAATGTCATATACGCAAATAGAACATTGAAAACTCACATTAATACCAATGAATTTTTCTTCTGCTGGATATGTTGCTTCTACACATAGTGGAATCAAAAAAGCAATCACAGCAAAACCACAGAACAATATTCTGGTAAAGATATCACTTTCATCCAGTCTGACATGTGGCGGGTATGGCATTTGTTGGATGGATATCTGAAAAAAAAAACAAATGAGTTTCAAAATAGCTCTTTGTAACTACATAAGCATAACACGGAGTATATAATTGGAATTTTTTTCTAGATCAATTTTGATTAATGATCAATGCAGTAATTAGCATTTCTTAGAAGCTCTAAGTTGCTTTCAATTGATCGTCAATGTAAATGCTAATTCAAGGTTAACATAAGAGCTACCCATTGCATATTAATAAATATTTTCAAAGCAATCAACTGTGCATTGAATGCTTAATTTAAATAGACAAAGATTAGTGGTTTAAACTACGTCTTAAATTATGGCAGTCAACATTTAACACACACCTGTGGCTTGAATGATGGGTTTGGTGCTTTCATTTTGATAAATGCCTCGTCTAGACATATTTGGAATTGCACAAATGGTATCACATCCATAAATGCCTGGTCTATACTTATTGAAGTTGGGCCTTGGTTATCAGTTTTATACAAAATATTAGGCAGGACATAAGATGATCTTATTGTATACTCCAAATGTTTTGTGGATACATTTACATAGTCCTCATTAAATACTACAGCTACAACATCATTTATTGGAGATTGAGTTTGATACAGAGCATACATTCTTAACATCTCTTCTTCTGTATTGAAACCTGTTATCTCTATAAAACACAAATGGTACTTCCTAGAATCTAAATTTCATTCACTTTCATGTCTAAAATTAATCAATAATACTTACGTCCATTAGGAAACTTGAGACAACTCCTAGTAATTTCCATAAGAGTCCTAGTAAATCTATTTTCTGGCACAAAGTAGATGTTGGTCATGTAATTAATCTTGTTTAACAGCTCTGCTTTAGTTTTCACTTCGTAATATGTATTATTCTCAAACATCTTGGGCTGCTGAGCAGAAAAGTCTCTACAACTCTGTATGAGTAGAAAGAGCAGCAAAGGAATCAGAATCTCAATAAACAAACTCATTTTCCAGTGCCTCTTTCTCACGAGATAATTTTTATAGAGTAGCAGCCTGAATATCCTTAACTTCTCCATCATTATGAACTGACTTTAGTAACAGAAACTGCAAGCACACTACGTGGCAAAGCAACCCTTTCTATGGCTTACAAAACCGTCCCTCTCTAGTTGCCATTGAGACTTAAATACGTATAATCAACTCAACCAATAGTGAGGTCAACTCCATAATTATATGTCAACAAATAAAATGCAGTAGTAGCAATAAGATAGAGTATATATAAAACATACGGACATACAGAGTGGTTTCGAAAGCTGAAAGAACGTAGGATAATTAACGGTGTAGTCACGGTTGTCGCCAATGGATACGTGAATGGAAAAACGAGAGAAAAGCCGAGTAACATGTGCGAGGCTCGAGGCGAGACTGTTGAGCAACTGGCGCGAGTCGAGCTCGCGAGGGGTATAAACAAAACGTCGATCGGATGTTCGCTCTACGTCATCGCTTTGCAGCCAATGGCGTGACTTCTTTACTATGGTACCGTTACGAGGTTTTCCAATAGCGAGGCTCCGCACACGTGTGATAATGACGCGTTGCATTTATACACACCCACTTTTTCGTGGTAACTGGAGAGCGTCAGACAGAGTTCTCTTTCTCTCTCATTTTAGCGGGTATAAGGATTAACGTGTACACGCGATTACAACAACCGACATTGATAGGAAAGTCAATCGTCAATTTATTTTGTCCTAAATTCGTCTTCATTGTGAAATACGCGTCGATTTTTACATAATTTAATTTATATATCTAAGTTACTTTTTTTCGTGTGGATGTTTCTTTTACTTGAAATGACCAAATAAGAAAAGATTCGCTGCCACATCGATTTGAATAAATCAGCATTACAGGCGCTTTTACTTGAATCCAGCTCTAAAGTTTTTTTTACGTCATTGTTTGGATTAAATCCTTGCAGGCTGAGCTGAATAAATGATAGGTGCAAGTTTGTATTCGCGAGTCACACACGTCTGCAGGCGTGCTGCGCGCGGCAGGCGAAGAATAGAATTTTTATTGAGGGTACACACGCGAAATTAAAGTGTCACACCACTGGCGTCTCGACCAATAACGCATTAACAAGCCAGTAAAACTATCGATAAAAGCTTTCGAAACGAGCAATTGATCGCGTCAATGTCAAATCAACATTATAAATCACCGAGTGTCCATATTTTTTATTTGTATGCGCCAGACGAAGCTTTTCTAAGAAAAAAAATTTTTTCCCCAACTTGTAAATCAAAATTAATAACGTGTACTGTAAAACAATAATTTTCTCGTTAATAGATCAAATATAGACGCATCTATATTTGATCAGTTTCTTCTTTCGAATATTCAAAGTCAAAGTTCTTCAATAAAATCACGTCCACGCGCAGATATATAGTATTTAACAATATGCGCGCAGTTTGTCATTGTTTAAAGAGTGTCAGGCGATGTTACGTGTGATACACGTCACACGACTTTCGCGGTATCCTTTGATATGGGAACTAATAAAGTGACGTCAGACCAGTCGAATCTTTCGTCTGGCGAAAAAAAAGAGAAAAATTCTGAACGAGATAGACGCACGACAGACGGAGACCAAATGGTAATGCTCAAAGAATGTTATTCGATTATCGTGTCGCTCGCCGGTTTGATAATTTCGAGAATTTATTTTAATTGACAAATATGCGCTATCGAATTTTTTGGAACGATGCAATTGAATATCCAATGTCCTTCTGAAACTACCTTGATTTTCCCGCGTATCATCGGCAACGAACTCTGTGACGAAAAAGAATCGCGTGACTTGTCATCATCGCGAAACCTATAAATAAGCGTCTAGGCATAGCACGTTAATACAACGATACAGAAATAGCCCTGTTGTACAAGAGCGCTGTATCCCCTTCGCCGCCGCCGCGTGGAATGTCACTTATATTATATTACTTATAATGAGTGTACTCTTGTCACTTGTGTTGTAGCGAGCGGGTAATCTACGCACGTATACTACCTCAGCTGTGTGTTGACATGACGCTGATGACACATGTGCTGATTAAAAGCTTGACATATGGCGCACCTATGATTTCGGAGTTGAAAGGTTCTTGTCGAAGTGATCGTGAATTGTTAAAAGAAGAATAATGTCGACGGTTGAGCAATTACAGCAGAGGATTCAAGTTCTTGAAAAGGAGCTGGAAGATGCGAAAGCTGAGAAAGATGCACCGGCGAGACAAAAAATCCATCAGATGTCTAGCGAAGTCGTCGATACAAATCCTTATAGGTGGTTGTTTGTCTATTTTGGAGTTTGCTTACATATTTTCTGTAAAAGTGGAGATACAGGAATAATTTTTATATTACAAGAGAATTTTTTTAAGCTTAAGCTTAGGATATTTTGTTCTAAAATTTATTGATTTTTTAAGAATAAAATTAATATACTTAAAGAGTTCTTTAACTTGTCTTATTAAAATAACGTTTAATATTAGATCTTTAAGTAATGAGTTTGTGTTTTTAAAAATCATACAATCGTATATTGCTAAATAAAAATGCAATCAAAAATATATAATTTATTTATTTAACTTAAATATGAAATTTTCAGTCGTTTACTGGCACTCCAACGAATGGGAATAGTAAAAAAATATGAAAAGATACGCAACATGACAGTGGCTATAGTTGGAGTTGGTGGAGTAGGAAGTGTCACAGCTGAGATGCTCACAAGATGTGGTATTGGAAAAGTGTGTCTATTTATCATTTCTCAAGCTTCCAACAATTAAACAATAATATTGTTTTTGAATTTTCCTTCCTATCCCTTAAATTTGTTTGTTTACAAAATAGATTTTTGTACATGCTATCAATCAATTAGCCTCAACAGAACAGTTTACAAAACATTTGTCTTGCTATTGCAGTTGGTGCTATTTGATTATGATAAAGTGGAATTAGCTAACATGAACAGATTGTTCTTCCAACCGAATCAAGTGGGACAGACTAAGGTCGATGCAGCAGCACGAACACTAAGGTTTATTAACCCAGATGTTGAAATAGAGACACACAACTACAACATCACTACAGTGGATAATTTTGTTAAATTCATGAACTCAATTAAGTATGTAAATTATTTTCAATTCATCTTCTGTCAATGTTTTAGTCATTCTCTCCTAATTGCTCAATTATACTTTACCAAGTAATTGAGCAACAATTGAGATTCATTACATAAAAAGTAAATTTTTAATTTTACAGAACCTCAAGTCTTAAAAGAGGACCCGTGGATTTAGTATTAAGTTGCGTCGATAATTTTGAAGCTCGAATGACGATAAATACAGCTTGCAACGAACTGAATCAGAAGTGGTTTGAAAGCGGAGTATCGGAAAATGCCGTCTCCGGACACATACAATTCATCGTCCCGGGGGAAACTGCTTGCTTTGCGGTAAATTTCCGTCTCAATTCACGCAAAAAAGCATACAAATGAATTTAAAATCAACAACATCATTATAGTGCGCGCCGCCTTTGGTTGTCGCATCGAACATCGACGAGAAAACATTGAAACGCGACGGAGTTTGTGCAGCCTCATTACCCACAACAATGGGCATTGTTGCTGGTTTTCTTGTGCAAAATACACTCAAGTATTTACTTGAATTCGGCACGGTAACGCATTATTTAGGCTACAACGCGATGCAAGATTTCTTTCCAACAATGAGTCTCAAACCGAACGCAAGTTGCAGCGATCGTTTCTGTAGACAACGCCAGCTTGAATCTGCAATCAAACCCAAAGTAGAGGAATGCGAAGAATGTGTTGAGGAAAAACCTCTGCACGAGGACAATGAGTGGGGTTAGTGAATAATGTCATCTTAATTTTCATTTCCCCTTCTTATTGTTTTCTCTAATTTATACTCGACGTAAATGCTAATTCTGTCATATTTTTGCAATTTGCATACAGGTATTTGTCTGGTTGATGAGACTGTACCAGAAGAGACTGAAGCGCTAACGATTGTTGCTCCCGGAATCACGCAAGCATACGACTTGCCAAATCAAGAACTGGATCTAGATGTGGAGTCTGAAATTGCTCTTGACATAAGTGATCAAAGTTTGGAAGAGTTAATGGCAAAAATGAAATCTATATGAACGCTTCCCTTTGTTATATTCCATAAAATAGCATTTATATCTCATTTCTTAATTAAACTATTTTATAATTAAATTTTCTTTTTAAATCTATTTTATTATACAGTTTATAAAAATAATTATTTACATCTCTATGTACAAATTTGAGTAAAAGGAAGTTTAGTTTTTAAAAACTAAACCATTTAAACTCACTCTTTTTCTGAAGAATTCATTGAAAACATATTATCTATATGTCAAACTTATCGTAGCACACATTGTGACCTTCCTCTTCATACTCCTCCCTTTTAACAATCAAACTGGAATATCCTGAATCTTTAGCCAATAGCTTACCACCTTCCCATGCAAATGTTATTGGACTAAAATAAAGTAAAAATTGCTCAAAACATTGTTTAACTACAATTATGAAAAAAATAAGGTAATTTTAACCTACTCATCTGGTAGATGCACATTAATTTCATATTCATCAGGAGCCAAACTTCTAATATCTGTTTCAATTCTTTCTTTAAAACCTGGAAACAAGACACTGCCACCAGTTAGAATAATATTTGCTAACAAATGTGGCCAAGTTTCTTCTGCACAGGCTTTCAAACAGTCCATTATAGCTTCTGAGATGCCCATTTGCTTTATTCCTACATCACATGGATGAAACATGATTTCTGGTATTGAAAATCTCTCGTTGTTCATACGCAATACTTGCTGGTCGGTTTCAGTTCCAACGTCAACCAACATGCCTCTTTTCAAAGTTGTAAAGTCAGGTAGAACGTAATCTTTCACAATAGTGTTATTCTTGAAGCCTCTCTTAGCTGTTTCCATGTCTGCATAAAAATCTTGAGACACAAAACACGAATCTTCCTTTACTTGGTTAACAACATAAGTTTCATCCATAACATTTAACTGTCTGTACGATAAAATTTCTTTTAAATGATTAGTCAATAATTTACCACCAACATCTATTCTTCTAATTCCAGCTTTAATTCTCATATCATTCACATAAGGAGATATATAACAAAAACTGTAACCAACATCCACAATTATGCAACACTTAGCGGTAGGATTTTCATGTCTATAATGAAAATTGGCCAAAGTTGATGGGTTGATTCTTAATAAACTTGCTACATCATATTCCTCGAAAAAAATTTCAGCCATCGCTTCTTGGATTGATGCGAAGTTAAACGGGGGCTCCGTAATTATCATCGATGTTTCACCGAAATTTACATTACAACAGTCTTTTGAAAAAATATGATCCCATACTGTCTTTTGCACGTCCCAGTTAATCAAATATCCTTTTTGAAAGGGCAACATGAAATATAAACCGGCCATGTCTCGGCATTCTTCTATTTGATTACCAGTAAATGGTCTTCTTCTCTCGCTTTTGGATTTCATCATGCAATTGGGAATTATCCTAGAAATACAAAAAAAAAAATTTTACTAACATTACATACTCTTGATAATGATTATTTTAAAAATCGGAAACAGTTAACATAACCTTACTTCGATACATTTACTTACTTTGATGATTCTGTGGACTGACCAGCTTTAGCCGTATAAGCACCATTGTCTAAAATAAATATCGAATTTGGCGTTTTCATATTCAGTCAGCGTTTATTTCATTTACTTAATATTAATAATAGAGTTGGCGTCTTTATAAGTTATGTACATACAAAAGTTTTTGAATGAACAAATTTATGAATAAATCAATGTGAGCACGGAGGTATACAGTCTCCATGGATGTGAGTAATGTGACGAACCGGCATCACGTATTATCACGTAAATAACGTAAGCGCGTAAAATACGCGGATAAGTAAAGAGTAAATTAGAAATAAAGAACTGAAGGAACTCAGCAGGAAGTTAACGAAAATCGACCGAAAAAAATTATAGAAAAACTACGCGTGGTTAACAAAGATAGCAAAAGTTATTTATAACTCCGCGCAATTTCATTTTCATTGATAAAAAACTTTATATCACTCACAGATCATCGATAACTGTATCTGCGTAGAGTTTTAATAAAGTTTTTAGAGAAATAAACCCGTTCAATCGTTAGCAGAAATCTCGCGCAGTTTTTCTATCCAAAGAAGGCGGACCTTGCATGCTTAGCGAGTTAGCACTTTTGCACAATCTAAATGAACCGAGAAAGAAATATTTTCTCTCGTACCTCTTTCCTTTTGCTAATAAAGTATACGTATATACTTGTCGTTTTCAACATATATTTCAGTATTATTCATTGATTTCATTTCCTTTTTTCCAACTTTAATATTTTTCCGCGCGCTACCATTTTCTATTAATTAATCACGTTAATTACGAGGATTTTCAATAATTAGCAGCCCGCGAACAAATATACCAATGTATATAAATTTCAAACAGCTGATAGTTCGCGTTTTTGCCCCCTAACGGAGATAGTTATAACTGATAACATCTATGACGTCAGACGTGCCGTATACTCATTAACGAAATGTGTAAAGCAATTAATTAATGCCAACCTCTCATTCAAAAATGAAAATAGTACATTTCGACATTCCGTGCGGAAAGTATGTATTTCCCGCACGCTCGGATAAAAATGTGCGTCTAAAAACGTCTTATCGAAAAATACTATACCATACATGTTCGGGAAAGAGATTCTCGTCTCGTGTATCTTTCCACCCTCGCTTCGCTCATGCGTAAACGCCACACGAGACAAGAATAACTTACTTCCCCGCAGTTATTTCGTAATATTCGTGATAGTTACAAGTTATAACGAGAAGAGTCTTCTGTCGTTTATGAGGATGACGCTGTTCCATGGGCGTTTATTCCACGAAATTAAAATGATCATTTTATTTTGCACAGAAAGGACTGGCGCAAAATCATTTTTATTTTTATTTTTTGTACGATGCACTTTCGTGTGAACTATAACTATTTAGGAAAATTGATATCAACAAGTAATACCTATACAATATAAATTATTGACCACATTTCAAATTAATCAATTATGGCATATTACATATCAAATCAATTAAAGAGGATGTAAATTATGTATTGGAATTATATATTGGAATGTATACCACCGAGTCTATTAATTGATATTGATATCAAATTCTATAAATTGGTTGTATTAGGAGTAAACACCTTTGCACTATTTACATAATTATTACTCTGTTTACTAGGCTTTGTAAGTTACAGCTAACAGACGCACGTCTTCGTATATGAATAACAAATATTGAGAGTACAACAGAAAATATTTGACAAATTTATTATAATTATAATCCAATAATGATTGGGTATTTGTTTTATCAAGCAATATGATCTTTTACATGATAATTTATTTATTTTCGTTGTTTCATTCTTGATTTTAAACTCTCTCACGCTTAACGTCTATGGAACAATATCGCTCTCAAACGACAAAAAGATCCTCATTATAACACTTGCATGAATAACTCAAAATGTAATTATTATCAAATCCAACTATTTTTAAAGAATAACGCTATTAAAATAAATCCATAATTTATTTTAATAGCTTAGTAATTCTATGAAAAATAAAAACAATTATCAATGACAGGTAATAAAAAGTTATATAGTTATCGAACTATATATATGTTATAGATGGATATTTTCTTTCATTAATATTTTATAAATCTTACATCTTGATTTCATCCGTACACTCAAATCAATCCAGACGCACAACACAGATGCCAGAATAAAACAAAATCAGCGAGAGGTATATATCTTCTAAAACAACAAAATCCAAAGTTGGCTATAACAAACAGTTTATTTAGCTATCATTGTATCAGACATAAATGAACATTCGGCAATTTTTTGTTTCTTTGAATTCGCAGCACGGTGCTGCCCATCCTCGTTTATCTTTTCATTATTTATTAAATATAACTATATAATATAAACTGAAGAAAGAAGAGAGGGAGAGAGAGAGAGAGAGAAAGAGAGAAGGGTTAAACTATCGTACGGATGTGTATGAAGTGTGTTATGTTTTGTTTTTGTGTATAAATTGTGTATAGTACGTATGAATGCAAATCTCATCAGCCGCTCCAACTCCTATACACTTTCATAGGTCCTTCGCTCGTAGATGTAGCAGGTGTGTGTCATCATTGTCGTCTGACCCTCTATATACGACTCGCGGTTTACACTTAATTATACACATTATTGTTACAGTCGCTGGTCAAGCTCGCGTTCCTCCGGCTGCTCCACGTCCAATATCACTGAACTTATTGCCAGCATGCCACGATCATCTGTTGAAAAAAAGCATCGAGCGTTTTATTTTTCTTTTTGTTCTCTTTATTTGGTTTTCCGTAGAGACCATTTCTTTATAATCGGCATTTAACTTTTTAATTGGGTTACTTTTCAACGGCCTATACAACATTACTTGTAACGAGAATTCTAGGCAAAATTTTGCTCGAAAGGAAATGATCTTAGTCATTGAAAATATTGATTACCAACTTTACATTACGTAAATCTCAGGATAGAATACAAGTCGACGAGAAAACAACAAGCAGCCAGTCATTTGCTTTTGTTATTCAATAGTAAAAAAGCACTACGCACCTGTGACTTTCAAAGATTTCCTTTTTTCTCTAAAATTATTCGATGGTCGTACGACAAACCGCAGGTATATTTTAATTTACAAAATAACAAACAAATAAAAGATTCAATGACCTACCTTGACTAAAAAACGCATTGACTGCGCCACATCGACGGAATGAAAATTTTTATATAATCAGCAAATATTTCAAAATCACAGGTACTTTAGTTTTTCAAGAAGAAATTCAAGATATTCACTAATAAATTTCGTAATTCGACTTTTCAAAACAAAAAAAATCTTTATGCATACATCAAACTTTTGAGTACTGCTTAAGTGCAGTTTTATTATTTTTTTAATGAGAAGCAGTACACAATGTTGAAGAAAATAGTTCAAAGGTAAGTTTTAAGCGAACTAGCAAATACAATCAAGCTGAAGGTATACTTTTTGCTGATCCGAGCGTTGCAGGTATATACGTAAAAAGTGACGTTGGTGAAGCAGAGGTAAGGGTATGAAATAGAAGAGTTATGTTATAAAATCAAGTATTATTAAAGATCGTGTGTTACATCAATCATTGATCAGACTACAATTTATTTTTACAATCAAAAACTGAATTTTTTAATTACTTTTCGTTCTTTTCCTCGGAAATAAAATAACTGTTTTATTCGTGTTACAGCTCTCAAATGACTGTTTAAAAACTTTACTAAATTCAACATTAAGAAATTGCCATTACAGGATGTATTTAAACAATGTAAACTCTGTCTTTCAAAATTATTAACCAAGCTATTAAAACAAGCTCGTTACGTTCCATTACAATCATTGTCGTCATTATTGTTAACCATTATTATTTGTATTCGAATGAAACTTTTCAAAACATTAAAATTTAATAAAGTTTTTAAAAATTTTATGTACATGTAACGACATTTGTTGTCATTTGACTGACATTACAAATTGTTACCCTAACTAATGCGTATATATACTAACAATGAAAATCAGGCGTACACCAATTCGAAAATTAATTATTTAATTGTACATCACATGGAAAAAAAGATGGTCGGCGGCGAGAACACATAAGAATGTTGTATGTAAGAAAGAAGGGCTATGCGAATAAAACATTAGTAAAAAAATAACCACCAAAATATTTAACTTTGTTTAGTAATTTGTTTTTCCTTTTTCAACGACTCTTACAAAGTCCAAAGAAAAAAAATACTCAATTGCTATCAAATAAATAGCGTCAATGCACATCAGCTTCATTTCTTTCAGGCGCTTCTTTAACATTTCTCATATACCTAAAAAAACATGACTGCCTTGAGTTGACTTCACAAATAAATTAATTTGATCAACTTAAGCTATCGATAATGTATTACTTTGTGAGTTTCACTATAATATCATCATATAAAATTTGTTCAAAAATTATAAATTACTTGGATTTTCAAGCTAAAACTGTTTTTTAGTTTAATTACTGGCATTTAGACTAATGATTGCTTTTGTAATACAATTTCTCTTGTCACTCTTTTCTTTCTACAAAATTGCTCTTACTTCTTTTCTTTCAACAATTTCATAATAAAGACAAATAAAAATGTAAAACAAAGCATTTTTAAAAATTAGAAAAGAGTAAGGCATCTTTGTGGCGTATCTAAATTCTTTCACTTTACATACTCTAAAAAATGTTTTACATATGCAACTTTTCCATTTATTTTCATGCATATGCCAAAGCATGTAAGTTACTGAAGCCGTTAATATGTAGTTGTTTTTTTCCAGGTGTATTACTTTTTTTATATCTTTTTTGTGATTTTTTTTGTTTTGTTTTAAGGTAGAAGCAAGTTAAGATGATGGACATTACCTGGGCCGCTACTCACCTACAGGCAATGAACCTGTCATGGGAGTAGGCGATGACGACACCATGGCCATTCGGCCTTGTTCCTTTACAATCGGATCTGAAAATTAATAAATCATCGTAAACAGCTGTTACTTGACTAACAAATAATCAAGCATTGCTTTTTTAATGGTTTATATGATTCAAAGCCCTATTTATTTTGCGATACAAAATTTTTCTATTTTCTAGAAAGTATAATTATTATGTAAGATTAGTTTCATGGTAAATTGCAAACACGGTACAAAATGTCTTGCAATTTATCTACGTTAAAAAATAAATACAGATGATATACGGATGACTCATACTATTACTAAAATTAGAATCACCGATGAAAAAGATCATCTCAATGAATCAACATTGTTTTGAAAGAACAGTTCAAGCTAGTCTCAATCACCCAACCTAGTTCATCCAAAAATAAAAAAGCTTGCAAAAAATTCCATAAATAAAAAGAAAGTATAGAAAACTTACAAAAATATGGATGATCCATGGCTTCGCGTGCAGTAAGTCGCTCATAATGATCATAGCGCAGCAGTTTATCAAGGAAGTCTAAACTCTCGGGTGAGACGAGGTGCTGGTTGTCGGCGTGTACGAAGCGTTCCCAACGCTTACGCGAGTGTCTGCCAAGGATATCGTTGAAACGTGGATCGAGCTCAATGTGATATTTGTCGAGATACTCGAACAACTCTTCGGTACCAAGTACCTTGGCGATCCTAACCAACTGATCATAATTATCGTGGCCGTGAAAGAACGGCTCTTTCCTGAATATCATGCTCGCCAGCATACAGCCCAGCGACCACATATCCAGCGAATAGTCGTACATCTAAAAACAGACAATAAAATTCATTAGCATCTCGAAACATTTTTAGACTTTACATTAATGGTCATGCAGTAATAAAATATACCTGATAATCCACAAGAAGTTCTGGTCCTTTGAAGTAACGCGATGCAACGCGTACGTTGTATTCCTGGCCTGGATGATAGAACTCCGCCAGACCCCAATCGATTAGCCGCAACTTTCTATTCTCATGATCGATCATCACGTTGTGCGGCTTTACATCTCTGTGCATAATACCCATGCTGTGGCAATATTCCAGTGCCTGCAAAAAGAAATTATTCATGGAGTATAAATCATTGATATAATAAATGTACAATGCATAAAAGAAATGCAAGTAGGTGTTACCTTCAACAACTCATAGAGGTAGTATCTTATGTCATAGTCTGTCAGAGTCTGATATAGCTGCTTAAAGTCTATGTTGTTGACATGTTCAAATATAAGCGCTGGTGTCCTGGATACTGGATCCTTGACAACAGCTTGGAGTGTTATTATGTTGGTCCCTCCCCTAAGATTTTCCAGGATCTTGATTTCACGTTTGATCTTCTTCTTTTTGACGGGCTGCAATTGTCCATTAATTAGTTTTTGTTATTTTTAGATATTTCAATCATTTCCTTCAGTTAGTTTTAGGTCAAAATCAATATTTATACCTTTAATATTTTAACCACACACTTTTCATTATTTGTGATATTGATAGCCTCGAATACTTCACTATATTTACCACGACCCAACTTTCTTACTAATTGGTAATCATCCTGTTGACTGTATAACAAAATATTAAAATTTATATCGAATAAACTATTAAGAACAAAGTCAATCACAAGACTTACCCCCAATTAACTACATAAGCTTCATAATCCCAGTATTCCCTAGGTTTGTGTAAGTTAACTTCTGCATATACTCGTGCTCTACTTGGAAGCGCCATATTACCCAAACACTGGGTGTTGGTTTCACTGCTGTAATCCGTTGTTACACTGTTCTCAACCAATTTTCCTTCTGAAAATGTACGCCAGCTGATACCAGTGTTCCTCCCTTTCACCCAGCTACCCACATACGAGTGGAGCAGCAAACCTATTGATAATACACAAGATAATATAGATTTAGACACATGAAATTTTAAATATGAATCATTAGAAATTGCAAACATGCCTATTCATTATTCAAACAAATCAGCCTAACTAGTAAAAATATTTCATAAATCATGATTCATGAATAAACACATAGCAAAAAGTTTGTTTTCACTTGACATAATGAATACAAGAGTAAATATTTAGAATAACTTTTTTATTAAAACAACATGCAGCCAGTATTTATTTCAATGAAATAGCAAATTTGATCATATTTGTTGAGATTACCATCCCAAGAGAGTGAATAATTGTCCAAATCCAGCCAGCCTCAGTTTTGTACAATTATGATGGTGAAAGAACACGCTTGTATGATCAAACAGCTTGCAGATGAGTTACATCGCAAAAAAGTAATTCTCATAGATATCTCTGGTTTATCTCTTAATAGTGGATTTGTTCAAATAACTATCTGCCTGTAAATGACAATGACTAGTCGCACATGCACAAAGAAAGGGTTTTTATAGATTAGGAGATTGTTATTTCAGAAAATGGGTAAAGAACAGAGTGTTATTACAATAACTTTGATGGCAAATGATTGATTGGTCTAAATTGACAGATACTAAGATACTAGGTTAACACACAATAAATCCATTGAAAGGATTAGACTGATGAGTATCATTGGAGCAAAGTTATTAACAAATACAAAGTAATTGAAAGCTTGGCTTCCATGAGATACTTAAAGTTGTCCAATGTAGAAACATCAATACTACAAACAAGTGTAAGCAAACCACATTTTCAGAAGCTAATCAATGAAGCTGCAATGAAGAATCCTTTAATCAAGAAGTCCCCCTAGACACTCAAGGAGCAACAAGATAATAAATGTACCTTTGCACAAACTGAGCTTGCCACACACGCAGAGAATATCTCGCGAGCACTCGGAGAGAGCGAATAAACGATCAATTGAGACGTTAAAAGTTTCCTGGTTGACTCAATGTGGCAGAAAGACTCATAAATGTGACGAGCTCTCGTCGCGTCTTCGCCTACTATGCAAACGCTCCGAAACTCCGGTTGAAAAGGAGTGTATGAACCTAACCTCAACTTGTCGACTGTAAAATGGTATTGGAGCTCGCGACGAGCATCGCTTGGGACAAATTTGCACGTGCCAGCGGAGTGTTTACGTGTATAAGGCTGCAAGTTAAGTATCGACATGCTCATGCAACAATAATGAGTTCGAGAAAATCGCGTGGAAAATTGCGGGCCACATGGTCGGTAAAACAGAGCATGTATATGCGTGTGTCTACACGGTAGCCAAAAGCGAGTACGAGAGCGCAATACAAAAAAAAAGGTTTTGTTCGGCACACGCGCGGGCGTTCACGTAAGCCATTAATATCGGTTGCGGCATCTGTCTGTACTATGTCTTCCACGAGTTCTGTTTTACGTGTAATGGCCACGATGATTCCGCGATTTATACACTCACCTAACGCATTCCGAACTCGAATGTTGGTGAACGTTGGCCGGCTGTTGACGGCCTCGACGTCGGCGGTGCTCGCTCCAAGATGGCAGCCGGCTACGGCGGCGGCGGTGGCGGTGGTGGCGGCGGCGAGGCACTAATACTACCACTCTGTCTCTTTCTCTTTTTCTCTCTCTTTCTTTCTACCAACAGCAGTGGCACAATCGACAATTGTATCACCTGCGTTTTATTACTGATGTTTGTTGGTCAGATTGTTGTGGCTGTGCTAATAGAGACAATGGTTGATAATGATGATGACGATGAGATTGCGTGGCCAGTCGTCTCCACAGTCGCACGGCCCACACGAGAGAAGCTCTGTAGGGCCAGGCCACGCCAAGGCGGTTATGGGTCGTCAGGTCAGTCCTCGGCAGGCGCAACGGACGAGACGAGCGAGCCAGCAGCGCCGGATCAAACCAACGAGCTATATGTCTATATATATATTTATTGGCTCCGGCTCGAGAACGAGCGAATCCCATACGGTCCAAAGAGCTCGCAGCACCACGATACATGCGTGTGTGCATGCGTGATAAAGAGTGACATCTTGCGGCGGCGTGCACACCTCCGCCTCTCTGTTCAATTATTTGCATTTTCGCATATTTTTTAGCTATAATTTAGCTGGAAATTTCACTTCAATCGGCATCAAAAAATTACATAAAACTGTCGCGTTTAATAAATCTTTTGATGTAAGATTCACTTGGTGAGAGATACGAATTCTCTCACGTCAAGATCACCAAACTATGTTGCTCCCGAAAGCCAAGAAGCAGTTGTAAACATATAATTTATCATCGACAAGCTTTCATTCAAAAATATTCGATGGATCGTGAAAAATTGCTTCATCACACGCAGTGGTTTCGGTTAATTGCGTTTATTAAGGGTCGTGTCATTCATTAGCAATATTCATTATCAGTTTATTTCAGGTGCCAAAATAATGATTTGTTATTGACGCACCGATGTGTAAACTCGTACACGAGCAATGATATAATTATACCTTATTGAATTCAATCATTACTTCATCTCGTTAAATTTGCCGAGTTTAAAACCAAGGTCGTCGCATCAATTGTCAACTACATTTGTTGGAAAACCGATCTCCAAGCTTTCGCTGGACAATCATTTTTTCCTTTGAACATTTATTTAATTTAACTTTCTTGTTAAGAACTTTATAAACTTAGAATTGTTCTATAGACATTAATAAAATAATCTCGATAAATAACAAAATTCCATATTTATATTACTTTTTGTTTGTTTCTTATTTTTCATGTTTCTAATGGTTTAAGAAAGCAGACGAATTCCTTCTGCTAATCATTACCGAAAACATATGGCTAGATGGCAATTATTTTTCAAATATGTTTTCACCCTAAATACTCGTGTCTCAACAGTTTATTGTTATTCATATTTCACCTAAGAGTTCTTTATATTGTAGACCACAAACTACGAAGTTGTAAAAAAGAAGACAAATCTTTAATACTTCGGGAATTCTGATCGCATTTATATTTTTCTTACAAATCGAAAGTTTAACCGCATTATATTTTGAGGATTCTTGATTGATTAGGAACAATTTGGCAAGACGCTGCATTTATTAAATAAAACAAATCGTCCACATTATTAGTAGATTTTTAATTAGAAAAAATATTTGCTGCGTTATGCACAAATAATTGTTTGAGTAACGTATGGAGTTATGAAACACGTTGATGGAAAGCATATTCTATCCAGCATAATTTTGTATTTCGATCGATAGACTAGCACGGTTTTTCAAAAATGTCATAGCAGAAAGAACCTTTGATTTTCACACCGCTTTCTAATACGAATATGCGTACGTGTACGTTGTAACAATTCGGAATCTTACTTAAGTGGCGCACATGCGTATATATAATAGTTTCGTGCTGGGGAATTATAATGAGTCAAAAGTTAATTTTAAATTCACTCTGCTCCTATGTGTAAAAAGAAAACTGGTGACCTTTGAATAGAAAGCTGAAAAAGCAGCTTTCACATTAAAATATATTTGTAGATGAAATCCATTTTTTATATGGTTTCTCGCGAGAACTCCATGTAACTTTGCACTCGTACGTTCGCCGAACGCACGAAACCGTAGACGGCAAATAATTTTTCTAAACTTGTAGTCGATGGTCGAGTTCTTTCTTGTTGGATGAGTACCACTTTACAAAGGCTATCCCCTAATCTCAACATCCAAATAAATCAGTGAATCATCAGTATATAGCAGAGTACCCTCATTTATCTTATCCCCCCCCCCCGCATATACGTATGCGATGCATCCTCTGTTCTCCCCCTCGCGAAACTACTCAAGCTCGAGCGCACCCGAAGAAAACTACTTGAAGCTAATAGCATTTTTCTTTTTGGAATCGATAAGAAAGCGAAACCGCGGTGTGACGTGTTCGTAAGGGCTGACGACGAGCGATGCGCTTTGTGCGCGCGAAAATAGCCGCGACGGGGAAAGTCCCTGCGTGATTTCCGTCCTGCCGTCGGAGCACGAGGTTATTTGCGCGTGCAGCGCGGCCAACTTCACGCCGAGTCTCGACGCCACGCGGGAAAAGACCATGACGCGCTGAACTTTTTCTCCCGCTGGCTCGTGGATACGCTGCTTCCCTAATGATCTACTTGAGCCGAGGAATAATCGCGTAGCAATTTAATATGTAAATACAGCCAATTGGATCGTTCGCGAAATATCGCCTTTTGAAATTCCCGCGCGCGCGGGAGCTTGCGCGCGCAACGTGGAACGTCGAACGAGCAAATATTTGAATTCGCGGCAGTCTCTTCATTGGTGATTTACGGAGCGCAATTCCATACCATCACGTCGGGAAAACGGTCAAGGTCGAGTCGCATCAAATGCAAAACCATGCACACTGTGATTTTGAATTTGAATTTTTACTTGATTCTAAACGAAAGAACCCGCACAAAACATAATAAGAAAAAAATGGGAGACATCGAAGGCTCAGAATCCAGTACCGTATTCAGGTGAAAAACATAAAAACAGGTTCGACGAGCTTGAAACGATATGACCGTTCGAACTTACAGACCAATTATATCATTATTCGACCGCCAATTGTAAAAAAAAACACGCTCGTTCGCATCAATTCATTCATTGAACACGCGCGCGTCAAATAACGTGCGCACGTATTTATACTTATATATATATATATATATATATATACACACACGTTGAACTCTGGGAGAGAGAGAGAGAACATGATCGAACAGCTCAATGATATTATGTAAATACTCGCTTGACTACGGATATGAAACATAACTCTCTTCTAACCACTCATGTATGGCATATCACGCTCGGCGCTATAATCGAAAAAAATCTGTTTTTATTCTTGGAATGGCACCGACGGTTAATAAGGAGTAATTTTTTTAAATTAAGTAAATTAAGTTAATTAATCGTCGAGTGACGTTTGTATGTAAAAGAGAAAAGATTATGTTCAAAAGATTATATACAAGTGAACGAGAAAAGAGATGAGTGGATAAGAAAATTTTTCGTACTACTATGAAAATCAGCGGGGTGACCAGTCAGAAAACCGTCACAATACCCATTGTTTACCTCACGCACACGCGTCTAAGAGCCGTGCGTCTCTTATACTGCAGGCAGCATCGTCGTACGCCAGTGTGCGAGTGTTTCGCTTGCGGAGCCGTAATGTTTTAGTGCCTGCACTGATACCGTGGAGGAGGGTCTTCTCTCTCTCTCTCTCAATTGCCTCCTCTCCGTAGCTCTTGTGTGCCGCAACAGCACGCGCGACAATCATAATATCGCCCAACTCTCGACAACGCGTACATAAGCGCACTCCTAGAGATTGCGAGAGAGAGAAAGAGAGAAAAAGAAAGAGAGTACGACAGAGAGCATCGCTCATTATGGCGGAGGAGGCGACGCACTAGGAAGTACCTCGAGACGAGGATTTTTTAATCGTGTGAAAACAAGTGAATATAGTTTACAATTGTTAGAGCAGTCGCCACGGCTTTCACCGAGATGGTCGGCCTCGCGGGCGGGGGAGCACATCTCTACCCCTCGCCCCCGATGCAGCCGCCTAACCCGGAGCGTGAGTAACATTTTTCATATATACAGAGATCTCTTAACTTGCGCTGATGCTGTATGTACGCTCGAGACAGAGATAGAGGGAGTCCCTCACTCTCTCTCTCTTTCTCTCTCTCGACTGCTTTGTTTTGGGATGCTGTGCGTCGACCTTTCATTTTTTTCCACGATTGTTGATGCACGTTTTCTCAATGATTCTTGAACTTTCGCTATGATGTTTGCGACGGAAGGTTAGTATTGCGAATTTGATGCTTTTGTTTTGGTATCTAAATGAATGATGAGATGTTTGTACGAATCTTTAGCTTTGGTTAGGGTTGCCATGAGAGGAACATACTATGTTTGCATGCGTGTGTAGGTAAGTGCGTGCGTGCGTGTGTAGGTAAGTGCGTGCGTGCGTGTGTGCATGTCATGTGTGTTGTTTTTTTCATTTTTGATGTATATAAGTTGATATGATCAAGTGAACAGTTTTGATGATATAGATGATAGTTTTATTTTAGTTACAAAATTTTCAATTGTCATTTGACGTTAATGAGAAAATGGTTTGTTGTTTCTTTTATTTTTTCAATAATATTTGCTTTCATTCAAGAGAATAAGATTTGTATTCAATTGTTGTTTTTGGTGGAAACATTGAGAAAATGCGAGCGACAATTGAGAATAAGAATGTGTAAATAGCATAATAATTATTTGATTGATTTAATATCATGTAAAAATTTGTTTTATTATTTATAGTGAGAGAGATTCCTGGTATACAAACTAATGCACCAACAAGCGCAGATGCTTGTCTAAGTATAGTGCACTCATTGATGTGTCATCGGCAAGGTGGAGAGAGCGAAGGCTTTAGCAAAAGAGCTATTGAATCTCTAGTAAAAAAGCTAAAGGTATCTGTCAATAATATATCATTCATCTCATATTAAAACATGTAGATTAAAAATTATATGTTACATAGGAAAAGAGAGACGAACTGGATAGTTTAATCACTGCTATAACAACAAATGGAGCACATCCAAGCAAGTGTGTAACCATACAAAGGACACTAGATGGCAGGTTACAAGTTGCTGGTCGCAAAGGTTTTCCTCATGTCATATATGCTAGGATCTGGAGGTGGCCAGATCTACACAAAAATGAACTGAAACATGTCAAATATTGCCAATTTGCATTTGATCTCAAATGTGACTCTGTTTGTGTGAATCCCTATCACTATGAACGAGTTGTTTCTCCTGGAATTGGTAAGTTTTTGTTTGTTGTTTTGCAATTGCTTTTCAATATTGGCGCAAAAATAATATATGGCATTATTAGTTATGGCAGAATACGATAAATGCATTACGTTGCACTATATAGTTCTAAATTTGTTGAGTGTATTAATTTGATGTTTATCTCAAGTCATTTTGTTTTTTATATCAATGTTTTTTCAAAATTTATTTCGTTTACATTTCTTTTCTCTTTATTTTCAAATTGAAAGTAATATTAACTTTATTTATATCAATTGATTAAAATATTGTAAAAATATGTTTAATATGATAAGAATTTTTAAAATAAATACTATATTGGTTTGGAAGAGCATGAGGATGTAATTAAAGCTGCTTATTTTGCTTGAAGCAATTATTTGTTCAAAGAAAATTCATTATCTAAAATTGAAATCCACAGATTAACCTTTTCTTTATTACATTTGCCAACAAATCAATACTTTTAGTCACATTTAACTACTGTAAAATCATGCTAATTTTCTGATATTCTGCAGAGATCGTGCCATTTATTCTTTCAAAATATCTTACTAATTTTTCTCGTGTTTCGTACACTTTTCTTCGATGGCGGTCGGGTATTATCAAGCTTATCACATGATATTTGATGCTATCACGATAAATTCAACGCATTGTCTTTTGAATATGATACCAATGCTTATCTTGAGGAACTTACTATAACAATCAAATTACAGTTAATCAAAAATACAATGCAAGCTCGAACCCCTAGTCGAAATAGGACATTACGATACAAGTGCGGGTGGCATTTTCGCCCGATCGAAGCATGGATGAAAAGGCAGACGAGACGAGAAACTTTTTTCTAAAAACGTGTCGTACTATATTTTTCGATACGACGTGTGGAAAGTGCTTTGCACACGGATTATCGAAAATTCAATTAAAAATTTGCGCTTCAATATGATTTTGACATTGTGTATGCGTAAAGGCTTTGTTGTCGCAACTGTAACCGTATATTTTGTACTGTCGTGTCCCGGCATTGTCGTACGACCGCAGACCCGTTCTTTACAGACCTGTCGGGTTTGACGTTGCAATCGGGTGTCGGAGTTGGTCCTGGTGGTCGTCTCGTCAAGGATGAATATAGCGTTGGACCAGCACCTGGTGTCGGTACACCTGGCAACTCGAGTATGGATGTCGATGCCGAGATGAATCAAACTGTACAGCATCATCCAACTCAACCGCCGCAACAACCACCGCCACAATCTAATGGACCCAACAATGGCCCAACCAGTGGGCAATCCCCACAGAGCAATCAAGGACAACCCTTCTTACCAGGACTTCCACAACCTACGAGTGGTGAGTACATTTTCAATTTATTTTTTGGATAGTTTTCTTTTTGCTGTGGGAGTTTTTCTTTTAAATATACGAGCAGTTTTGACAGCTTTTATTACACCTACTTATTTTGGAATTCCTTCTGTTGAATTTGATGTACGATTGCATTATTTATATATCGCTTTCAATGTATTTTTATTTATGCAACGCCAAAGCATATTTCATTTTTATTCAATCGTGCATTCGTTGATTCTTTGTAATTTTTTTATGTATAGCGCACGAGCAACAATAAATAAAAATAGATTCGCAATCGTTTTTTCAAAGTAACTACACAAAAATCAAGCTCTCGTAAATGAAAAGGTGAATCGACGAGTTTTTTTTTCTTTTTGTACACGAAAGACGCAATTTCCCCACGGCTATGATCAAGTACATTTGAGTTTGATGACGAAACGTTATCTCGTGTACGCACACTCCCGAAAATACAAAGATTCTCAGCCTCGCACTTGAGCAAACAATCGAAGGCATCGTTCGACCACTCGGTATCTCAATTTTTCAAAAAAACAAGAAATAAAAGAAAAAGAAAACACAACAACAGAAAAAAAGATATGCCTTTGTATGTATGAATTAGTAAACGGTGGCGAAGGTATGTTCAACGGTACAAGCAGCCAACAAACTGGCAACAAACTCGAGGACAGTAGCCCCCGGCAGAGTTGGATTCCCCAAGGCCAACACCCCCGTGGCCCTACAACCTTACAACATTGTACGTAATACATATGCCGCTTGTTTTTTTCTCTTATTTTCAAGCTTCCTTCTGTTCTGTTTGTCTATCTGTCTCTCTCTCTCTCTCGCTCACTCTCTCTCTCGCTCTCGCTTTCTCTCTCTCTCTCTCTTTCTCGCGCGCGCGCGAACACGTAGTTGTTTTTCTACTTCTTTTTGTAAAGTATCTTGCACGCTTGTACGAAAGTCGACAATGTTTGCGAATGAGTAAGAGGGTTAAAAATAAAAACTCAGTTCAACATACTCTGAAAAATCATGTACCGATCTGTTCGCTTCTGCCTTTGAAATTGGACCGTGAAAAGTAGCGCTAATCGCGTTCTCGAAATTACAAGTAGGCAATCAACAGCAACCGTTGAACTCGACGAGCGGCAGCAGTAGTGGTCAAATACTAAATCCCTCACCGGGCCAGACTGCCGACTCGTTCTATAGCACGACAACGCCGCCGCAGGATCTCAATCACGCGCCGAATTCCGTCGATGCCCTCGCTGCTACTTTACGTATGTCGAAACTTTGACCTGTCCCGACGCGATCACGCGATTAACGAATAAATGACGTTCCAGCCGGTGGCAGTCAAAGCTCGCCGGTGTCACCTGTGCACCTGCAACATCAGAATGGTTTTACCGTGGCGACGGTCGCCAATCCATACAACACCGGTGCACCGCAGTGGAGTGGCAGTAACACGCTCACTTACACCCAGAGTATGCAGCCTCCGGAACATCGGCATCTTCACCCGTCGTCGTATTGTAAGTAGAGCTAGAGATGGCGCATAAGCCCGTATAATTGAACGTCAACGGCAATTTTCAAAACAGGGGGTAATCCTGGAGGTGACGTAGCAGGTAGCGTTACTGGTGGTCTTCTGTCGAGCCAACCAGCGCCGGAATACTGGTGTTCAGTCGCCTACTTCGAGCTGGACACACAAGTCGGCGAGACTTTCAAAGTCAGCAGCAGTTGTCGGAGCGTTACCATCGACGGTTACGTCGATCCTAGCGGTGGTAACAGATTTTGCCTTGGTGCTCTCAGCAACGTTCATCGTACCGAACAGAGCGAGAGAGCTCGACTTCACATTGGTGAGTTTATGTGCATAAGTAAACTACGATAAAATACTAATAATTGTTTTCTTTGACTTCAGGTAAAGGTGTAGTGTTGGATTTACGAGGCGAGGGTGACGTGTGGTTGCGATGCCAGAGTGAACACAGCGTGTTCGTTCAGTCGTATTATCTTGACAGAGAAGCCGGTCGAGCGCCTGGTGATGCAGTTCATAAAATCTATCCGGCAGCTTACATCAAGGTGTTTGATTTGCGACAGTGTCATAAGCAGATGCGTGGCCAGGCGGCAACTGCGCAAGCCGCTGCTGCCGCGCAAGCTGCTGCTGTCGCTGGACATCTCACGCATGGGGCGCCAATCACTAAGAGTAAATTTGAAAATTAAGTGAATTGTGATTTGTGTCATTTCATGTCGTTTAATCGCATTTTTTTGCTTTCAGGCCTTAGCGCAGCTGCCGGTATTGGTGTTGATGATCTCCGTCGTCTCTGTATCCTACGTTTAAGTTTTGTTAAAGGATGGGGTCCTGATTATCCTCGAACAAGCATCAAAGAAACTCCATGTTGGATCGAGGTAACACATGATTTTATATTCTTTAAAAAAATAGAGTATTTATGATTATTATTTTTCCAGGTGCATCTACACAGAGCTTTACAACTCCTCGACGAAGTCTTGCATACAATGCCAATTGACGGTCCACGAGGGATAGAATAGCCGTGTTGAACAGCTCGCTAAAACAAAAAAGCACCACTGTATTATTCTATCAATTTTTCCCTTTTTCTTATGGGGATGAACCGAGCGAAAGTATGTGCCTACCCAAAAGAAAGAAAAAAACCGTATGAAGAGAGATGCTCTGGCAGTTTAATGCAACTGAACTGAAGATTAACGAAAAATTTTGAAGAACAGAAAATATAAACGAATCCAGTGATTAGAAGTCGCATGGTGCGTACAAAAAAGCGAATACATACGATATACTTGAGTAGAAGACAAAACAAAAAAAAAGTGGCATGCTAATCGTTGTTGTATGCAGCTCAAACGAGTGTGTGTGTGTGTGTTTTCTTTTTTTTATCTAGAAAATGCGGTGTACATTGTAATAATTATATTGTGAAGGATAATGTAGTTGTTTTTTTTTCTTTTAAGACCGACTAGGCAACGTAAAAAAAGGTCTTGACCTGCGCAGCTTTTTTCTACACGCATTAATTAAACTTGGAGGGAAATGCTCACAAATGGCGTGAAATAAGGGGAGGTCGACGATCGTGCGAAAGAGAAAGAGAAAAAAAGAAAGAAATTTAGTGCTCTTTTCGCAACTCGTTATGATTTATCAAGAAAAAATTATAATTCTATTTGGCATTTAATTTTCCCAAGTTTTCGGTGCTAAGAGTGTTAATCAACGTAAGATGAAACTTACTTTTATATAAGATTGTTGAAAGAAAGAAAATGTTGAAAAAAATATTTATATGATAAATGAAAAACAAATTGATGAAACGTTGAATTTGAATGTTATGCGATTGTCGGCCTCCTTGAAAATTTTGTGTGTGAGGATGAGGACAGGGGTCATTATAATCGTGCTGTAGGTGAGAATTTTTTTTCTCTATTTGAGGTGGAACAAACTAACAACTTCTTTTTTTCCTAATACTTGACTAAGTATATTATTGTTTTCTCGTGCAAATTGTGTCAAACTAGGTATGTGTTTGTTCCTCCTCCGATTGTTTTTTTTTTCAATGTTACTTTATCATGTAGTACTTGTTGAATACTTATATATTTACTGTTTAACGAACATTTTTTTATTATTACATATTATTATTAAGACGAATTATTCATATTACACCCTATTTGGAAAACAATATGGTGAAATGACAAATGACGAAAAATCGAAACAAATTATGTAGCGAAACAAATCTTTTTTCCCCGAGTAATAGTCATAATTATTATCGCCTCGGCTTAGTTGAACATACTTACAAAAAAAGCAATCATAGCATAAGGAGATACATATATATCGCATTACCTGTAAATGGACTTATTATTCATAAACTTGCATAGATGCCTATTAAGTAGTTGAAACCAGTCGTCAACTAAAAAGTTTTACAACTGTTTATCGATTTATATTATGCTGATTTTCAGTTTTTTTTTCAATAATGGGCAGTACTCCGATTTGTTTAAGTTTTAAAGCATTGAGGGTAGTTTATGCCGCAGTAATTAGCATTGTTCGAGTTTTACTATCAATATAGTTATACATATACGTTTCATACTGATATGAAAAAATGTGAAAAATTGCATCATTATTGTGTATTCATTACGTGGGAAAGTGCATATTACAAATGTTTCAAGTATAAATTTACTGTAGCATTGGAATCGTAAAATACAGTTAGCAGTCGTTTACTCGACCACTCAACTACTGTTAAAGCAATTTTTATAAACTTTTTTATTATAAGTAGTTGAACTCTCGAGTAAATCACTCGTCTGTTTTTCAAAAACGATCCGTATATTTATCTATTTTGCTAAGTACTATATAGCATAGTCCGTAAGAATATAGTAAGCAGAAAATACCTAATAATACACGGCCACTACAACTTATATGTAATTAATATGCAATTTCGTGTGATTGTTTCTTCTCCGACAATCTAGTTCGCCAGCCAATAAAAGTTTTATTTTGATTTTTTTTTGATTTTTTTCGATGCCAATTGGTCATCATACAAGCTTCTCGTAAAATTATTTGAAAATAGTGAATGAAAGTGCTAATTATTTCCCTTCATATAAAACACGTAAACGTGACAAAGTGATGATTTTTTAGTTTCTAACAAGTGGCACTGTGATGATATATAAAAAACGACGATGTAGTGCAAAAATCGCCGATAGTAGAACCTCAATTATACGCGGCCTGCATTATATATAAATAGCTGTGTGTACCAATGCCTTTTTTATGTTTGAAAGAAATAATAACTATAATAAAAATAATCACTCACTGCCCAAGAGATGATGATGATGAATAATGAAGCAAAAAACAATAGAGGCGTGGCATACAGACAGAGATCGGAGGCAAAAGACTCCAATATGAAAAAAAAAATTAAATGAATAATAAACGTATGTGCCATCTTTTAATACTAATTAAAATAGCAAATGGAGAGTATAGTAAGATTTTTTACGATATAATAAATCATGTATTTTTCATGCGCGACCTGGCACACACAGAACCGTACGATACACACAATTTTGTAATCGCTTACATAAATACATAGACATTACGAGGCAGTCTATAAAATTACGCGTGTGACACGTGGGAGGCACGCACAAACATTATTTCATTGACAATCAAATCTTTTTCGTTTCTTTATCTATTTTTTTTGTTTGCATTCGATAGACTTATATTAATTTTGACTGCCGCGTGTGCACACGTTCAGGTGTATATAGACGATTATTTATATGGCCCGAAAATGTAGGAGAGAGAGAAAGAGAGAAAGAGAGAAGCGTATGCGGCTCGACAAATGAAATCAAGTACAACGTTCATGCTATGCGCCTGTGTATGAAACGGAGAGAGCGAAAAAAATTAATTAGCGAGTTATATAACGACGTACCTTAAAATCTTTAAACATATACAAGTATACAAATATATATATACATATATGTATGTATATATGTATATGTATATATAAATATATATTATATATATGAGGGGATAAACGAAGTTATACACGCATATATCATATACGAGCATATATATATATATATATATATATATATATATATATATATATATATATAGAAAAAGAGAAAGAGAAATGTCTTTTCTTTTCATTCGTAGGTTGGTCATTGTTGAGCGTAGCAATTGTTTTACCACTGAAGTGCAATAGAATCGTATGAGTATCACACGAAGAAAAAAAAATGAAAATGAAAAATGCTTGTGGATAAATTATTATCACGTGTATGCGCAGCTAAAAGAGAAACTGTTTTCCGATTGTTGAAAGAGCAAAAAAAATATATAGATTGCGATTGTTGATGATTGATTTTTTTCGGCAGCGAAGAGAGAAAACAAAAAAAAATTATGACACACTGCATCGATATAATTTATGTATGGTTATTTTTCATGAAGAATCATCCTTCTGATTAATAATAAGCAAACAAAAAAATCATCGCCCGAGGTACTTTTAGTAGGTAGATTCTACATTGCGTAAGGCATATTTTGCGTTTTAAGCTGAAAAGGGGAATGATGATTTGTGAATGCTAAATGAGAGCAAGAGAACACGAGTATAATTGATAATTTACCAGTAAGTTTTACAATATTGTAGAGTAGACGCCTATAGAATAGCCGATGTTTTCCCCTGCTCATTATTCATACGACTTCGAACTGAGAAATATATTTAGAACGTTCGCACACATTATAAATACTATTCGATTATAGTGTATTATTATTATAATTATTATTATTATTATTATTATTTTTCTCGCTCCTTATTTTTTCTTTTGTGTATAAACTCTTTTCTTTTATTTCTCGTATAATTTTTAGCAAAGCGAAGCGCATTGTTGATTTGTATGTTAGATATCGTGTTTTCTTTTTCTTTTTTCTAGATATATAAACGTATTGAAATGAAGATGGGAAATAAAAATTTAACAAAAAAGATAAGAGAACTTTTTGCGGTTGTGTTTTACATTCTTTAATATATAACTTGTTCTTGTATGCGTTTTCTTTTTTTCAAAAAAGTCGAATTTGTACCACATTACACCTGGACTTGACATTTATTTCACACACCTGCCTCACTGAAGACCTGATTACCTACATGAAAATATCACCAAATAGAAAAGATGGACTCCCAAGTGATCAAATCTGCCAAGATTGATATTTCTTCCAATTGATGTTTTTTATATTTTTCAAATGATAAAACCAAAGATTCTTCGACTATATATGTCATTATAAAAAGACTATGACAATTCAAAATCACGAATATAAAATAACTATTATTAAGCTACATTAAACAAAACCTCATTCCTTTACACTTGTATCTTCCTCTATAATCTTCATAAAAGCATAAAATATGGTAATTATGTAATCTATACAGAAGACTGTTTTACTCTGCAATTTATATTGGCATTACAGTCATGATAATATTAGCAAACTTGCAAATTTGAATTGTCACAATCTTACTCAAAGGCTACGGCGTACTTGTTTGACTTTTTTTAGTTGCATTAAATGAATCTGTATATTTATGAAGGAAAAAATGTAGTATGTGACTAGTAATAAATTTGACTTGCATTAAATAGTAAAATCAACAAAATTCTAAAGAACATAATTTTATTTAATTTACAACCATCAAAATCTAACAGTGATTAAAAGCTATTTACAAAAATCCACCAAGCTTCTCAGTGATTAATCTGCACTTGTTCAATTTTTGGAATTAATGATGGTGGTAGACCAGACTTCTCAGTGTACCATGTGCCATCAATATCAAGAGCTTTAGAATAATCAGTGACATTATCCAAAGCTTCTTCAATGGCTTGATCAATATTGTCTTGAGTAACGAAAGTTTTTACTTCGATTTTTGCCTGACGTACTTTTTTTTCTACACTTTGTATAATCTCAGCATCACGTAATTTCTTATTTTCAATAGCTTGAAGGATTTGAAGGTCCCTTATTTCTTTTTCTTTTCTTAAACGTTCTTCTCGCATTAGTGCAATCTCCTGATTCCAGGCAGCATTGATTTCTGAGCATTTAGCAAAGTCTTCTGCTTCAACTTTTTCAATGAGTACAGGATCTTGAGCAACTTCTTTAGATGCAACTCTCTCTGCAAAATAATTTCTGAAAACATATAATAATAAAAAATAGTTTTTCTAGATTAATTAAAGTTTTATTAATTCAATTCTTAACAATAATATCAATAACAACGGAAGTCTACAAGTATGCATTCAGTAAATTTATTTTATTTTTTAATCTATACGTATTACTTTTTTGTAATTGTTTTATTTATTATTAGAATCATTGACTAAAATATTTTTTAAGTTACTTGCATTTTTATTCCATCAACATCAATTATTGAAATGTAACATGAAAACAAAAATAGAAATGTTAAAAAATTACCTAATTGACTTCATACATGTTCTATAATTGTTGTAAATCCTCCGTATTTCCTTTAGCTCATCTTCAGGTATTTGAGGTCTTTTTGGTACTCTGAATACTTTGCTTTTAGCTGTGGGCAACCAAAATGGCTTTCTCCATCGTAGACTTTGTGCAAATACAGAGTTGATGTTGAAAAAACTGCATGAGTAACCATAATTTACCAATAGTGGACTGTTGCCAATTAATTTTACAGCTTGCATTTTAGTGTATGAAGGGATAAATCTACAAGCAGTTTTGTTATGAATGTAAAATTATGATAAAGTAGAATTATTTATGTATAACTGGTAAAAAACTTACTATTAAATAAATAACAACGAATTATGTTAGGAATTCATGATATTATTTTTAAACTATCATTTATTTCATCGATTATATTAGCCAAATTTAGAAATGTCAATAACTAACGTGTAAATCGCTTATTTTGAGGTTATGATACTGTAAGGGAAAGTTAGTTCAGCTATGGCGTTGAAATTGAAATTTTCATTCGACAACGGAGTAGCAGACGAGCCATGCGACGCAATGGGAGCTAGTCGAGTAGTCATAATCAGAATAGACCATAGAAAAATTAATGTCGCTTGATTCATTTACCTTTGGTTTTTTGAAATGTAGTCCCTAACTTTCATGAACAAATTGAATATGTAGATTATTCAATTCAATTCAAATGAATATGAGATTTATAAATATTTGCGCTGTTGCGCAGTGGATTCTCCAAGAGAGGAGTGCATACACGTGTTTATGATATAAATATCTACATGTCAATATAACATCGCATTATATAATTTTTAAATGGTTTTATAGTGTATTATTTATTAATTAGTTGAATTTTAATTTTTAGTCTTGTAATCACTGTAAAAAGGGGGACGGCTGGGGGCTTCTAGTACGAGTCATTGCAATAATGGGTCTTGAAATAAAAAAATTTAATTATTTATTTTATTTACATTTCCATCAAATTAAACTATATATCTTCTCACGAAAACAAAGGTTGCCAAATATTCATCTTTGGCAATGTGATCTCACCTATAGCTATTACTCATCTACATAAATATTCTCTCCACCATCTCAGCAATCGTCGCCTTGATAAAATTGCAAGCCATTTTCTTGCGAGTTCGACTTTTGTAAAAGTAATCTTTATCCACCTGTTTGTAATGATCAGCTGAGCTCTTGAGTAAATAAGTAAAACAAATTTAATACACGGCCACCCCAACTCAAATGTCATTTGTTTCGACTAGACATAGATTGCCAGTAAATAAAAGATTTTATTTTATTAATAAAGATAAGTAAAACTGCTAATTTATCTTCATATAAATCGCATAAACGTGACAAAATATGACTATTTAATTTCCATCGAGCAGCATTGCAATGATATATGTATACGCAAAAAAACACGAGGGTATAGTGCAAGAATTGCCGCGAATATCTTAAAGAACATCAATGATTACGAAATGTTATTAGTTTGTTTTTGATTACGGTCATTACAGGTATAGCTTACGGAACAAGGCACATGAGAAATTTCACATAAACTGCCAAATATTGGAATATAATGGCTTTTCCCAAAGCTCCCATTTGCTCGGTTATCTTCTTAGTGTTATTAAGAACAGATCCCAGCGACGCATACATATAAGTATACGTATTTTATCAAACTGCACTTTGAACTCACAATAATAAAACGCTTGATTCTATTTTACTTGAATCTTCCTTTAATCTTACTCTACTGGATGTATGAAACATTGTTATGCTCATTACAAGTGATGCTTGTAAAACATGATTGGAGCATTCCAGCGATCGTCAGATCGATAACGATTCAGACTCGATCCCCACGATCCTCTTCCCGGCCAGTGCAGTGCAAATACACATGTCGCATATTCGTCGTGGCAACACCCGGACGGACAAAAAGAGAAAAGAGCGCGGCAGCAAATAATTAGTCAGCCTCTGCCTCTCTCTCTCTCTCTCTCTCTCTCTCTCTCTCTCTCTCTCTCTCTCTCTGTAGGCCAGCACTCTCGACTCTCGCGCGAGCGCGGCAGCTCATTAAAGATACGAAGGCGCACCTGGCCGCATCCGCATAGCGTGCGCGAGCTTTTCCCTTCGCTCTCGCCTCGCGCGCGCACCAGTCGACTCGCAGCCGCAGCGATCGCGCGATGCCACGCTGAAGGTAAGCGCGCGCTCGCGCGCTTCTTCTTTCCAGTGCTTTGCCCTTTGTGCGCGTGCAAGCTTCGCTCCTCTTTTCCAGGCCACTTTCGGCGAGCTACAGCTCGCTGCTTTTAATTTGGACGAGAGCTTTCCCTCGCAATCGACGCGCGCCGCTAGCTTACAGACTCTCTCTCTCTCTCTCTGCCTTTGTTCTCGCGCGCGCGCACGCGGCAGAATTTTTTCCTATCTGTGTCAGTGCGAATCGCTACGGTCGTTAGCGAGCGCAAAGCCTCGCGGGATTAAATTACGGCCATTCCCAAAGTTCTACGGGAAGTGGCTTTCATTTTTAAGTAACAAAGTGGCGACAGACTCTCGCTGAACTTCGAGATAGAGAGAGAGAGAGTTTATAGACGTATTTTTAGAAGGAAGCCTTCAATTGCATTATTTTTCGGTTAAACCAAATTTGCCGAATCAGCATTTCAACTCATTTCTGGCTCTATCCGTGTTCAATGAGCCATTTACAGTTACAACTTTCAAGTAAATATGAAAGCTTGGAATGGTTTCGCCGGACAGAACAATTGGGAGCATTCAATTAAAAGTGCGCGTATAATCTTGAGCAAAGCCATTCATAAGTAAAATAAAGAGTCGCAGCAAGCAACGTACATACGCTCGCGAGTTATTAAGGAACTGCGTACACAGTAATTACCAGCCGCACCGCTCGCATGACAAACTCGCACAGCGTGTTCCTAATTCCCATCTCTACTGTGTACTTCGCGACCAACGAATTCCCAGAAATTGAGTTGCAATCCTTGGCGCCGCAGTTTCATTTGCACGCTCGATTGCCGATTTGTCGCTCTCGAGAAATATTTTTAATTAATTCAAATGGCACAAGCGTGTGCGCGCGCGGAGTGCTACGTATATATATAAGTGACGCGACGCCTGGGAATAATGAATGAGCACTGCGACTGGCGGGCTCTCATTGCAATTATTTACCCCGACGACGACAGAGCAAACAAAACGCCCCTCCGATGTACCTTCGTTTTGGATTGTGTTCCTTCTGGACCTGCTGCATTATTAACGAGTTTTAAATTGCTTTTTCTATCTACAGGGCACACACGGCACATTTCAAACTGCATTTCTGCCTTTGACTCGCTTTGTCTTCTGTCGCGCGATCGATTCCGTGCTTATTTCCCAATAAAACGAACGACGAAAATAACTCTCGCACGAATTATTTCACAATTTACAAGACGTGAAAGCTTTTTAATATTGCACGAGAGAAACGGATCATATACGGCTTATACAGATGGATATATATATATATATATATATATACACATATCTTTCTCTCTCACCCCTATTCGAGTTGTAATTTATGGCTCATAAAGGTGAATCGTACATATGTAAATCGGCCCACGATAAGAAACTCGCAAGCGCGCCAAGCTTTGGCACATTAAACAGCTCTTTTAATTTTAAGCTTACAAACAAAAGATTTTTATGCGCGGTAGTGCGCAGAAAAACAAATTAAAAACTTCCTTTTTTGTCACCAAACCTCGATGTTACTGTACGATACGAGTTTTTTAACTTAAATTATGGGCTTTTTTTCTTTGTAACGCTATAAATCACAAAAGCGAATTGAAGCGTGTACGCGGAAATTCAACGAAACAACATTCACAGGCTAAACGTCACAGTCGACACTAGTTAAAAGTGTAACGATGAAAGCCTACATCACTCTGTGGTAGCCTCATAGCGCGAGCGGCAAACTGTTAATTTTAGACAAAATGAATTGATGCGCTTTGTAAACTTGGCAGTGGCACAATTCGCTGAAATTTCGACTACGCTTTATCATTCTAGTTTTTCAATTCAAAATATTCAGGTTGAATATAACTATTTAACAAAGGGAGCCACACTAAACACGCCGAAAATCAAGTTTACAACACGAGTTTCGCCTGATACTGACTACTTGCAAAACTTTCAGGATGTACACGGTGCACGTGACAAGTCGTTCGGGAGGTGATGGAGAGGCTCGGAGCTCCGACGTACCCGACAGTGAGATTGTTTACAAACAGCGTAAAAAGGATTCCATACCACTGAGAGTTTTCAACTTCATTAAGCAACGTTTCAATCCGCAACCGGAACCTGGTGAGCTTTTCTTTGTATATCAAGCTTTTCTTGACTATCACCGCCTCGTCGACTTTACAAGTAATAATACCCCAAAAAAATACGAGAAATAAATATGAAATGAAACAATTTTATTCGGTATAAAAATATACTTGAACATAATATGTATGATTATGTCAATACGGAAATTAAGTAATCTTAACGGTGACAAAATTAAGTACTGAATGGAAATTGAGTATTAAATTTATCGTTATAGGCACGTTTGAACATATCTGTTATAACAACTCCGGTTAAAGACAATCGAATATTCTCGTAGTAACAAAAAAATATAGATATTCATACCTATGCATGTAATTGTAATATTAGTTTGGACCCTAATTATCCTCCTTTGTTTATCATATGTCCGTACACGCTATACAAAAGATATTCAGTCCAAATATGCACTTTAGCCACCTTCTGTCATCAACAACTTAACAAGGCCATAATTGACGGATCAATCAAATTTAAACAAATTCTAAATAAAAGAAAAATAAACGGCTCGCCTCAACTATTTCCTCTTACATTTATATCATCATTTTATATGAGATGTTATTGGATTTTCAACTATTTGCTTAGAACTTTGTGTTAAAAGTTAACATTTAAAAAAAAAATTATACAAAAATCGACAAGAATAGATGAATTCTTTAGAATTGTCATTTTACAATGAATAAATGCACTTCAAGATCATATCAAATGATCACTCATATGTATTATCAATTATAAATGCTGCCCGTTCAGATACACTAATTTATTTTCTAAATAAAGCAATCATTATTGATTCTAATTTAAATACTGCGTAAAATCTATTCAAAGTGTAAATTGCCAACAAATAAATAATTCTAGTTCACCTCCACTCCTATTAAAGTAACAAGACAGAATCCTACATATCATCGAAAAAAATTCCTCGAAACTCTTACAGTTATGGCACTTGAAATCACAGCCGTGAGCTGCAACGAAAAATCATTATGAAAAATTATGTAAACAGTTTCGAAAAGCAAAATTATCACGGCCGATAGAGAAAAGAACCGTCAGTAGGAAATGACTTATCCTCAAATGATACTCGCAGGGGTTATCTGATCGACTGAGCCACCGTCGTACAACAGATAATTCGACGAGAAATTGTGCTGCCTGAATTCTCCAGGACTACCGACATTGACGTTTTGCTGATGTGTCATCGCCGTTGAATTTTCACCTTTGCGTAATGTCATCACCGGAGTTTTGTTGCTGTACACGCAGCACGTCTCAGTTAGTTTCGAATAGATCACGTAGTTCGGTGGACACAAATTCAGTGTATTTTCCAAGTTCCGACCACCTGTGCGAGACGCTATTACTGGAAGGTCTGAATATGACCAACGTGGCCAATAGGTGTCGAGCACTCCTGAGCCTAAAATTAATCAAATATAAAACACTTGTTATTTTTAATTCTTTCACATTTTTACATGGCTTGGTTTGTTCATGATACATATTAAATATTTAAAAAGTTCATCACCACCTTCTCCATCTAACAACTAAAATCAATTATCAATCTTTAATAATTGCAAACTGTCAAAACTTACAGAAGTTGGACCAGATATTTAATTTCAATTGTTTACAAAAAACTGACAGTTAAACATTAAAAAAATTAATCATTTTTCTCGACCTCCCTCTAAAATATTCTAATCGCTATACTGTTTCCACAACCATGAGTTATTATACTTTGAAAGCAGCGCACATTGTCGACAGACAGTGAAATAGTAGGCTATCCGTATCCCATAAATTTCGAAGCCTGTCAACTCTTAAAGTCAAACAAAATTTTATATGAATGGAACACATTTCGTGTCGCTTATAGATTCAATTTCTCTCCACCACGCGAGCAGTGAAAACTCGTTAGACCAGGCGAATTTATAACAAAGGTTGTGATTTCATTACAGCGTCAGCGGCTGAGAGAGTTGGAACATAAAATTAAGATATGTTAATAAAGACCATCATCCTACTACCCGCCCTCCCGTCACACCAAGTTAGTGCACGACAAACTACGACACGTTATCAAATTCATGAACCCGATATTTTCACTATTATTGTAATGTCGCGAATAATATAATTAATCAAAAAGTTCTTGATTGTCTGCGCACGCTTACGAAAACTTTGCTACTCCCCGAACGAAAGTTAGATACCCATCCGCTATGATTACCCCGACTAAGCGCACCAGAGATTTCGAAATCATATAATTGATATACGCTTCGCAATCGCTGATCACGTATTCCTCTTTAACCGTTTCCTCGTTTATCAATTGAAAACGAAGACCTGATTACAGGCGATTAATGAAAAAAACAAACGAGACCTTTAAAGAGTAGCGCGCAGCGGAGAGCAATTATCCAAGCGTGACCCAGATTCCAGCGGAGAGCTCTTGGCGTGTAACTCACCGTAAGCCGGTGGTGGCGGGTACGCGTGTTGCTGCTGCTGTTGCTGTTGCTGTTGCTGTTGCTGTTGTTGTTGTTGCTGCTGCTGCTGCTGCTGCTGCTGCACCTGTTGCAGGGGGTCGGGTTGATTAGCGAACGGCGCGGGCACGCTCTGCTGATAATACTCGGTGTCGTAGCCAATGTTCTCAAGGTGCACATGATATATGGGCGGCGGGGCCTGCTGCTGCGACGTCCCTTGCTGCTGCTGGCCATTGTAGTCAGAGTCATAAAAGTCGTGCGGTCGGTAGCGCGGTGGCGGCGGTGGCTCCTCGAACGACGGTAACTCTGGCACTATCTCGCTTGGCTCCAGCAGGTTGTTTATGACGGGTGCTTGCTAAAAACCCAGCGTGGAGCAGATTGTTAGATAGACGATCTCGATTTGACAACTACATCCATTAAACTAAAATCTATCGGGTACACACAGCGCGCAAATTTGAAATGACGTTGGTCCGTACAGGAAATTGATTCAAAGTGTACAAACTAATCGACTAAAACATGAAGAGCGTACACTGATGAAACTTTCAAGGGAATAACACATTAAGCTACGGCTATAGATGTTATTCCTAATGATTATGTTCTCGCCTCCACTCTACGTTAGTTGTAAACGCTGCACGATAAAGTCATGTTGAATAATTTTAAAATTAAATAATTGAATCTAATGACAGTTACGATACGAGAGTTTTAACAACACAATATTGACTTTCGTTGAATGGCAAATTGGAAGTTCAAGATAGCAACTAATGCAATGTTCTTGTATATCATCAATAAAACTGTTTAAATTGTTTAAACTGCTTCATACAGAACGGAAAAGTCGTCATTATCTTTTTACTATTTTCGATAGGCTGGAAATAGTTCTTAAAAAAATATTGTGATTTGAAAACATAAAATTAGATTATTTCAAATTGAATGCGGAGGTATTACAATGCTAGATTTAATTAGGTGCTGTCAGCTGGCGTAATTAAATTCGCAGAGCCCGTAACGTTTCGTTAAAATCCCAACAAAGTTCAAATGTATATCGAGCAAAGTTCTGAGCCGCAGAAGCCAACAAAGTGAGTGCTGGAAATACTCTCGAGCGACCACTTTCCAATCGACTCACCGAACTGTACATCTGATCACTGGCAAAGCAATAGGGATTGTCCAAATGCTGCTGTTGTTGTTGCTGATGTTGAGGAGTAGTCGTCGTAGTATTAAGCAAGTCCGCGTCCTCAGGACTGTGATATTGAATTGGGGTGCACGGGCCAAAACGGGTGATCGATGTTGCGTCGTATTCGAGGGTAAGCGGTCCTCCCGTTGGCATAACGTCCAGACTTGAGTTTGATGCCAACCAACTTCGACAGCTCTCTTGGGCATCTGCCTGCGGGCCCAACTCAAACTGGTAAGGCTGCTGTTGCTGCTGCTGCTGTTCGCAATTCTATGTAAGAGGAAATGTTTTTAGTCAGTTGTGAAACTTTATCGATATAGTTTATTGGTCGATTAAATTTAGAGAAAATTTTGTAGTTTACAATGTGAAATGAATATTCAATAAATTTTTCAATAGGAATATCGGAAATAGATTTTTCAATTATGAACGAGACTAAACGTAACGAACATATAATTTCTAATTAAGATTCCAGTTATCTTCTTGTTCCGGCGAAATAGAAGATAAAACGCTTCATTTCTCCACTAAAATGAGCACTCAATATCTAATTTTACTGTAATCATAAACTCAGAGCATTTTGTATAGCACTACCAAGATGAAAATTCAAGCTCAGTGACTTTTCGAATTATTCAAATAAAACGTAAATGAACAATTGTTAACTTTTAAAAAAGTTTATCAAATTGCGTCTATTCTTAATTATTAAGAAATTTTACAAAATTAATATCTAAAATTAATTTTTACTCGAAATAAATGATTTCGACAAAAATTGCGATAGTTTAATTAATCAATATGAGCTCAGCGAACAACCAAATTGACCGGATTTCGAATAAGGTTGTAATAAAATTAAAGTACCAAAGAATTCCCATTGTCAAGGGAAGGTCTGTAGAACGAGTCAGCATTTCTGTAGCAATGGCTATCGTAATTCTGAGTCGAGTCGAATTGACAGATCAAGCCAGTGGGCGTAGTTGCCGTCAAACCATTGTCCTGCCAGATTTCGTCGTTTTCGTTGATGTCGGATTTGGCGGTCATCGTTTCCGAGTTGTCTGGCGAATGCTCTCTCAGGGGATATGACTCTACAGGCCAGCCTATAAACGAAAACACGTTTTCGTTCCAATTGTAGCTTGTTACGAGACTCTCACGTATTCCAATTGAAAATTTTTGTTATCTTCAAATAGAATGAAATTGAAAACTATTTGAATGACTGAAATACTGTACAAATGTGCTGAAGGTTTTGCTTATTGAAAATAAAAACGTTTTAAGTAATGACTTAAATAATTGAACAAGAAAACATTTTCCAATAAAAATAAATCAAAATCAAAACACCGAAGCTTAAGTGAGATACGTACTTGGAGCTGGACTTGCAATAGCACCCAAGTTTGCTCCAGCAGGAGCTTGCAACATTTTTTTGAGCAACATTGTTTTATGAGTTGCACTGTCTTCTAATGTAGGTTGTGCCATTTGCTGTTGTTGATTACTTTCATTTACACGACTAGTATCTAAAGTGGATCGATAATTGGAAACTGTGGTTTCAGTTCTAAGGTCCATTATTTCATCAAGGAGAGTAGAATTATTGTTGTTGTCGCAATTACCGTATGAATTTTGAGAAGAGTAATAAACAAACTGTCGAATGTCATTGTATGTCAAATTGTATTTCATATCGTCATACTTGTACGTGTTTACCTCTTCTTCTGCACCTACCTACAAATGTGCAGAGGCAATATGAATATTTCATACCTTTATTTACCATAAAATATCATACAATTAACTTAATGAGCTTTGACATTTCAATGGTATCACATCTGTCATGAGTTCATTTTAGTAGTAAAGTCTCACCCATTGGAAAGGGTATTGCTGTGACTGTTGCTGATGAATAGAAAACAATAAATAGTTGTTGTGCATCGCATGATCGTTAGAATCGTGACTCATCACCTTCAGCATTTGTTCCTCTTTCTTGATGGCTTTCAACCTTTTCATCCTCTTCTTACGGTTCTTTCTCACATCAGTCAGCAGCCTTGTCACCTCAGAATTGTTACCTGACCGAACCGATTGAAGGATCTTCACAAGCACTTGTTTCTGCAATCCACAAATTGTTTCATTATAGTTTAATATAGTCATGTCAGTACAAACTACACCATATCTATAAAACATCTTTTGCAAGCTATTTAATGAATCTAAACTTTGAATGGACAAATCACAATTGCACAAAATGAATTATCAATCTAAAATATAAATACCCAACAAAATCCAGAACCAAAAAACCACCACAAAAATCATTGTCACCAAACAATTTAGGTATAATCTCGTCGGCACTTTTGAACAGTAGCAACGATCAGCGGACAAACGGTTATCAATGAAAGCCTCAAGAAAAAAAAGAAAAGTTCAAAGCTCACCACAGAGAGGTTGACTCTTTACTATGAGCAACGTTGCTACGAAGGCAAACAGCGTTGCCGTATCGCCGTCGATATATTTTTGGGTTTACTTACCTTGACATTACCAGGAATTTTGTGCTTGGAGGCGAGGGCCTGGAGTTCTTTGTACGACAGACTCGACAGGTCCTCGGCACTCATTCTGACCGCGGCGCCGGCAGCAGCAATCCATGCGGCCTTGCAAGAAGCGAATAAGGAGAATTACTTATGATACATCAAAGTTATTTCAACAATGCGATAGAGGCAAATGCGCGCGCATCGCGTACTACTTGCACGGGATTCGACGGGACGGACGGGGACCAACGTTTCTTCCCCTCTTTCACTGACGTTGCGAGCGAGCGACCGAGCGAGCGAGCGAGCGAGAGCGGTCGGCCACTGGCTTTTGTCTTTGTTTCGATGCTGTGCTGTAACGTCCATGCCATATCGCTGTGTACGTCTAGATCTTCTTGAACGACTGGATAATTAGGCCAACGAGTAACATTGCAAAACAATTTCGCTTGTGCTCGACGAATCTTCGCGAGTATAACGTCGATCTTTTTTTTCCCCTCTTGAAAGCACCGAGAATTTGTAAAGACTCGAGGTAGTCTACCGCGCGTGCAGTAGCCACTTTTCAAAGGAACAAAGCACTCGTTGATTTTTGCATTTCCGTAGCGATCCGTCGTACCAAAATTGCTACTCCCTCTTAGCGCATTTGCATTCGGCTTAAACCTTGGGAAATTGCTGCGCTGCTCTCGTTGCCTCGAAAACCTTTTGTGGAGAACGTCGGTGGCGTCTGAATCGACTCTCATTTCCGAGACTTATTCGTGGACTTTTGTGCTCGGGTGTAGTTTGCGTAAGTGGCGACATTTACTTTTTCATTGCGCGCGAATTAAAAACTCTCTCATTTGAAGATATAAAGTTCGGTGTACTCGGCTCTTGCTCGGGGTTGAGCGTCTTACTCGCCGAGTTGTTAAAAAATTTCAGCAGAGTAGGGCTTGAGATGGCTTAAACTTTCGTTATATATTCATGTCGAGCGCAGCCGAGACTTCAGTTTAGCAGTATATGCGTCGGCTAAAAGGAATCTTGACGTTAAACGCTTGGCGAAATCTCGATAAGCCGTTAGATCGAAAAAATTGAAGAATTTTCGTCGAAAAAAGAAAGCGTTCCAGAGCACGGCTGTCGGTTAATCTCGAGATATATCTCCGGATCTCAATTTTCTTTTTTGAGGGAACGCGCCGTCTCGTTCGCGTCATATTTTGCGGGCTATTGGGAACGGCCCGGAATGGGTATATTTCACGCGTATATACGCGCCGCGCATTTGTCTTTCGCATTACGATTCCGCGTGTGCTGTTCTTTCCCTCGTTCGTGCCGCTCAAAAAACTTGAACTCGCGTCCGCCGAAAATACATCTGCAGGATAAATTGGCTTCTGTGCGGGCGCGATACGGCGCCCGACGTGCGAATTAAATTTCAGTTTGCCCCCGTGATTCGTATTGGACGTTAAATCATTCGCGCGCGTACGTCGCGGGCAAAAAGCGAGCCGAGTATTTATCCGGGCGCTTTTATGGCTACGTATGACTGCGAATCTATTGCAGTGGCGTTGGCGTTTCAATTTACTGGCGGACGCGACTTTCGGCCCGATCATCCTCGGCTATTAGCCGTTCGCGTCGATTTTTCGCCTCGATTTTGCGTAATCCCAGAATTCCCGTCGAAATTTCGCGATCAACCTTCATCGTTGCAGACTGCGGCACTGAGAGCATTCACCGAATTGCCTGGCTTCCGAGTTCCTAATATCGCGAAATACACGAAGCGTTCAGAACGGCACACATTATGCCATCTATGAGCAGCGTGCGCTTACGAGCGAGCTCCGCGCGGAGACGTCGGAGACAATTTCGGAAAATGGAGCCTCGCTCGCTCGCCGACTGCACTTGATCAGCGTCGCTAAAACGCAGCAGCGCCGAAAACCCGCCCCGCGAACAGCTGCGCTCGCCTCCCCGTCAAAGTTTTTAACGAGCGCGGCGCGTTCGAAACGCCCGCCAAGTGCTTTATTACGCAAACGGGCTACGCCGCGAAACTGTCGGCTCGGGAAGCTCGAGTTTCTTTTACTTTGGTTGCGAAGGCGATCGCGAACTATTTCCGCGCGTCAAAGGGAACGCAGCCCGAACTCGTCGTTCGCCAATGGGACCGCGAGCGCGAGCGTCACCGTAGGCGCGCTATAGAGCAGCGGGAGGGGTAGGGAAAGCCGAGGAAAGAAAGGCCCGGCAATCGATCGTCGCCGCGGCTAGAGGGCGATTGCGGGACGTCTCGAGCCGCGCCGGCGGCGAGCCACCGCAGCCTCTCGCCCGCGAGAACGACGCCAGGCCGCGAGCCAAGCCGCCTCGCTGGGCATTCTACGCGCTTGTTAAGCGCCGGCCATATCGATTGCCGAGCGAGCGGAAGCGCGTTAAATGCAGCGGAAAAAGCTCTTTCAATCAGCCAAGTTATTGTCCCGATCGGGTCGATTGATATGCTAATTTATACCCGGCTCGCGAATTTTTTTCGCCCAGCCGCGCGAATCGACATCGACGCGGGACGATTTGCCCCCACTCTCTCTGTCTCTCTCTCTCTCTCTCTCTCCCTCTTTCTCTCTCCCTCTTTCTCTCTTTTTCGTGTAATTAGCAGGCCGCGCAATGCGACGGAATTGGACAACAGCGTTCGCGCGTTCGCGGCGATGAAAGGCAGTTGAGCGAGCTCTAATCGCGCGTTAACAGACGCCGTGCCCTCCTTTTTAACGAGCCCGCGCGTGCGGCTCCGGTATATAGGTGCGCGCAATTCGGCGGGTCGCGCCATTCTGCAATTAGAGGGGAGTGGGGCTCGCGGAAAGACGCTTTTCTGCGCTCGTCGACGCTAACGAACGACCTGGAGTCCGCGACTCGAGAGCACGTCGCGACGCTCCACTTTTCCGCGAGTTCTCGTCGCGCGCTCCTTCGAGCGTCCCCGGGCACAGATGTCGCGGACTCGAATCTCTGCGCAGTTCGGCAGTTCGGCGATCGCGAGGCCCTCGCGCGCGCGCGCGCTTTCGATAAGAGACGTCGCAGCGCCGTGGAGCGCGGGAGAGACGCGACGGCCGACGAGGGGCGCGGAGCTCATTGCCGCGAGTTCTCATTCGCGAGTGGCCTCGACTCGGCCGCGAAGGCCCTCGGGCTTCGGCACCAAAAACCTCGAGTTGGTTTGCGCGGTTGCGAGCAGTGGGAGAGCACGCGGGCCCGTCCCCCGCTCGTTATATCCCTTGACGCGAAGGCAAAGGCACGTGCCGCGCTGCTGTGCGAATGCAAATTATTCGCAATCAGAGCCGCGCCGGCGAGCGGCAAAGCGAAGGATACGTCGCATACTCGCGGCGGGGAGGGAAAGGGAGGACGAAAGGAAAGCAGCCGCGGTGGGCGCAATGTCGAGTAGCCGTCCATCCTATGTGCCACTCGACAACTCTCTCTCTCTCTCTCTCACTCTCTCTCTCCCTCTCGTCCGATCGACGTGTCGCGTATCGAGACCCACTTCGCGCTCCGACCGAAACGAACGCCCAATCAATCAACTTCTTTTCACGACCGGGTTCACCTAAGCGCCGTTAATTAAAGCGTCAGCGCGCGCGCTTTGTCCGTGTTATTTATGCCTTGCGCGGCAAAAAAGGAAAATAACGCGCGACAGAGGCGGATCGATATAGGCGCCGCGTCCCGCGTAATTTACGCGCCTTCGGCGCGATTGCGTATCGCGTGCTCTCGATGGAAACTCGAGAGCTTCCGCCCGTAAATTTTCCGTAATTAGCGCGATCCCTCGGCAAAGGCGCGCGGTGGCTGGCTAAATTATCCAAAAGCCGAGGCCTGAACGGGGCGTTTAATCCGTCGGCGTGACGCGCTGCGACGAGATATATATATGTATATATATATCAATCGAGTCGGATCGCGATGCGTACGCGCGAGCCGGCCGAACGTCCCGTGGAACGAGGCCCGCCGGGAGCCGCAACTAGCCGGCTCGGTGTGACGTTATTCCTCGCGCGCGTTCGGCTGAATTGTGGCGAAGACGCGTGCCCCCGACAAGGCGCTGCTAACGTGTCGGATCGTCGCGAAAGAGCCCCTCGTTCTCCTCGGTGAGAAACAAGATTGCGCAACTTGTGCCGACAGAACAGCGCGCAAGAGCGTTGTAAGAGCATCAGCGCTTTCTGGTTATCGAGGGGATGACGAGTGGAGGAGGGGGTCGCGGCAGCGCTCTCGAAAGCTCATCGAAGACAGCCCCCGCGCTGACGATGGCGCGAAAGCGACGAATCTGTTGACGCCAGCGCAGCTGCTCCGCGCGCGCCGAACGCGGCTTCTCGAGTGCGATCTATTAGCGCGATCGGAACGACGCGCGAAGAGGGAAGAAAAGCCCACCCCTGTGACTCTCGTTCGCTCTCTCTCTCTCTCTCTCTCTTTCTCTCCGGCGAAGGTCGGCGCTTGCGAGCACGGCGCACGCAAGCGCAGAGGTTGCCCAGGGCCGCGCCGCGGCACCGACGCTCGCGCGCGGTTCAGTTTGGCGCGCGCGCCCGCACAGGCAGCACCGAGCGGACAGCGACGCACGCGCACGCACCATGCCTGGCTCGCCGGCGGTCAAGCAGCGCAAGAAGGCCGACAAGAGTGAGTTTGCCGCGCGTGCACGCCTAGACTACCCCCCCCCCCCCCCCCCAACCGCACCTGCCCGCTTGGTCGTTGCATCGTGTCCCGAACGCTCGTCGCCGAGAAGCCGCAACGACGATTCGGCGGTACGACCGCAGCCTCGTCCTTGCCGTTTCCCCGGCTGACGACGTTGGCCTCTCTCTCTGCTATACTACTTCTGTTTCTCTCTGCACCCACAAGCCTATCTCACTCTGTTGTGTCGCTTCTTTCCGTCGCTGGCGCCGCGGCGGAGGTGGCAAACAAGTCACGCACACGCGGAGCGTTGTATTCAACACCTCGGCGACTGGATTCGAGGTCTCGGCGTGCCGAGCCGACGAGCTGGGACCACCCTGCGCGCTGGTCTTACGCACTGCTTGCGAAAGCTCTTTTTAGCCGCGCGCGAGCGCTTTCGGACGTATCCGCTCCGCTGGATGAAGCAGACAGGCAGGCAGGCAGGCAGCCGGCAGATAATGGCATTGCCGCCGAGAAAAACATTCGTGTTATATTTGGCCGCCACCGCGTGTTTCTCTCCCGTCGCGGTTCCCTTCGGCGGACGCCAGTCGCTGGCAGTTCCGACTCCTTATGCGTACATGCGTACGCGCGTCCGGCGCGTGG